TTTCATATCAGCTCTGATGAGTGTTCACAGAATCTCACTTAACTAGTGACTTGACTTGTAGTAGAGAGTTCTACCCCGCACCAAGCCTTACTAATTAGACTCAGCCTCTATTACATGAGGGCTTTCATGGGTAAGAAGTGGCAGATGTCAGCAGTGGGATTCAAACTCACACATTTCTAATGTGTGCGGCCTTGATTACCAGTCTTACCAACTGAGCCACGCTGACTAAATATCTGTTTCAATCTTGTAAAGATCTCATGAGCTTCTAAGATAAGAAAGTTCTCACAGTTCTTTCTTCTTAACAATCTTTTCATTCTTTATTTATAGAATAACTTCTTCTTATTTTCACTCTTCAGCATGTCTATAAGAATTAAGAAGATTCTCATGAATACAAAGATAAATTATTTATAGAAATTTATAAAGCTTAGAAAGATCTGAATCTCATGAATACTAGTTAACTCTGATTATAATAGAATAGTCTCAATCTATGAAGATTTCATCTGAATATTATCTGTGATAATTACATATTCTAGAAAATTAATTCAATAGATACTGAAGTTGCACTTTACAAGCTTAATATACAGTTCTGTCTCATCTAAGATCTTTAACATACTTCATATATACTCAGTGTGTTCTTTCTTCTTTACAGAGTATATCATCACATTATTCAGATATATTATTACAAAGATATTCAGATATACACAAAGTATTTTATTAATAAAAGACTGAAATATCACAGGAATATTAATCAGATTAAAAGACATCACTAGATATTTAAACAATTTCAGTGCAGTTCTAAAGACAGTCTTTCATTCATTCTCAAACTGTATTCACAGTCATGTATATATATTAATCACATTCAGTTGTATAAATATAACAGCTTCTGTGAGACAGTTGATTACATTCTTAATCAGAGATAGAGAGTAGTGACTCTTTATTATCTTGAAGTTCAGATTATAGTAGTCTATATATAATCTGAGATCTTTATTCTTCTTCTTTATAAATATCACAGAGACTTCTGCAGAGGTCTGTGAAGATCAGATAAAGTTATTCTTCAGATTCTTCTTTATATAGATTTATAAGATCTCTGTCTTGTAATAAGAGAGCTTATAGATTAATTCTCAGAAGAATTTCTATTCTTCTATTAAATCTATTATCAGATTCTTCTCACAGTGAGAAGAAAGCTCAGCTGTCTTTGCTAAGCTGAATATCTCTATGAGATCTTGATATTTCTCTGATATCTGAAGCTCAGTTTTCATGACTGTGAGATTCTCAGACACTTACAAAGTCATTATATAGATAAGCTTATCTTCTCTAATTAACTCTGCAGTATCAACTGATTCTATCTTTATAAGTAAGTCTATTAATACTGATCAGAAGTATAAACCTGACTTACAGACAGTTATGTATAAATTGTATCTTTAAAGTTATATAAGTTTTAAATACATGTTATCTGTGATGTCTGTGATAATCACAGTTTCTATAAATCTTCTTCAGATTTCAGAGAGATCTTGTAATTCAAAGATAATTCTTATAAGTTTCTCAGCTCTCAGATCTGAGTTCTCATACTCTACTTATTATAAGAGCAGATTCTCAGTCTTCATCTTTCAGCTTATTCACTTTATAAGCTTTAGAAATATTATAGTGATCTGAGATTCTGAGTTTATCAATACTTTCTATACTTACAAAGTAGTAGTACTGCAGTACAGTCTCTTCTTATAAGTAAGTATTTTCATCAGAGAAGCAACAGATTCAGATATCAGCTTTAAAACTCTTAAGAAGACTGTTACTAACTCTGTCTATAACTTCTTAAATTTCTATTTTAATTTATTCAGACAGTTTATATGAAGATATTCTGATTTAGAATAAATAAAGCAGAGTCTCTTTTTCTTAATCTCTCTATTATATACTTTATTTATAGAAGCTTATAAAGCTCTTTCTTTCTACTTAGTAGTCAGATATAAATCTCTCTATATCTTATTATCTTTTTCTAGTAAATCTGTTCTCTGTTATTCTGACTCTTGCAGAGCTAGTCAATGATTCACTCTTTATAAATCTATAACTCTCACAGTGATCTGTAAGTGATGAATAAGAGTTATCAGTTTCTTCAGAGTCAAGAACTTAGAGTCTTACTTAATAAGCTTATTCTGCATGTCTTTATTCAGTCTCTTTATAAATATCATTATTCAGATCTTGTTTCAGAGCTCTGTTTTTATAAATCTCAATTTATATTATAATTTTATAAAGTGCTGTAAGTAGTCTTTATCAGATTTCTCATCTCTTTTTCTAATATTAGTAATCATAGTTCAGATATTCTCTATTCAGCTTGCAGAGTCTCTCAACTTATTCTCTAAATAGATCTTGAGAATAGATCAGTAGAATCTCTTATAATCATTTTCTAGATAATTCAGTCAGTTCTTAACTTCAGTGTAATAGAGATCTATTATTATATAGATAACAGCTTCTTCATCTTTTATATCACACAGCTGAGCTTGTGAGTCAATTTCAAATACAAACTTGTAAAAGCTTTTATAAATTGTGATTTGATAAGTGATCTTAAGTGATTATAACTTAAGAAAGTTTCTTTTCAGTTCATAAGTATCTCTGAAGATTATGTTTAGAGACTCAGTTTAAAAGTGTTTATAAGTAGTAAGTATTTCTTATAGAAAAATAACTTAATTCTGTGAAAGATACTCAAGAATATTCTTCACTGAGATTAGTTCATTTGAGAATTTAAAGAGTTTCTCTGTTATAGATGCAGAGAATAATATTTTATAAGTAGTTAATAAGTTCTCTGAGACTTCTTTTATAGAGATTATTCATAATTCAGATAACTGCTTTTAAGTGTCTGCAGTAGAGTTTACAGAGATTGAAGTATATAAGTTTCTAGTTCTTTCAATTATAATAGACAGTTGCTGACTGACTGAGCTTGAAATGTAAGAATAAGTACTCATAGATAATTATTCAGATGTTTGCAGCTTGATGTAATATGTACTATTAACTACTAGAAGTATTTATAATAGAAAGATAAAATGTAGAGATTAAATATATAATAGTATTCAAGCTGAGTTATGAATAGTATTCATGAACTTCAGTCTATATAGTTGTGTGTAGCCAAGGGCCGCTAGCTCTATTGATTATATGAGAGATAGAAATAGAGGTAAAGAATTCATAAGAAGCGGGATTTCTTACAAGTTATATATAGTCAAGAGCTGCTAGCTCTATTGATTACATGAGAGATAGAAATAGAGATAAAGAATCTGCGAGAAGCAGGATTTCTTACACATTCTATTAAAAGATAATTAATATAGAGAAACTTTGCACTATTAATTAATAGAGATATTACAGATATTAAGTTGTTTTAAAATAAGCTCTTTCTTACAGAAGATGAATAACAGACAGAGAATCTCTAATTAGATTAACTTTTAATAATAGAAGCTAGATCTTGATATTACAGTAATCAGTTTTAACAGATTATTTTATATTAATAAATACTTAATCTTTTTACAGCATTTGTTACAAACTCTAGAGTAATCTTATAATAACAGTTATAGTAGTATCTTAACTAAGATATTCTTAACTAAGATTGTTATATAGACATACTATTATTATTATACTAGATTATCAGAAATATGAAAAATAGTTGATTTCTCTAAGTAGAATAGTTAGAAGAAGAAAGAGAAAAGATTAGAAAAGATAAGCAGTTCTCAGAATACACAGACATACTAAGAGTTATATATATAATGTATTTATACGCGTATGAATGTGTGAATAACACGTGAGTTACATATATAAATAACTCGTGATCGCGTATATATAACAGTATTTTCTATGTTCTTATTATCTTAATATAATCTTAACACCTGTATTTCCTTCTATATAATTAACACTTAATCTGTATTTAACATCACGTAAGAACTCATTATAAGCTCTGCTTGTATATAAGTATAATAAAAGAATAATAATAATAATAATAATATATTCAATTTCATCTGAACTATACTACTCTTAAAAATCTTATTTAACTATTTTATTAAATTAGATATAAGAGTATTCTTCATATCTTCTAAGATCTTGACTACTGTATTAATTTAATAACATAGTTTTACAATTATCTCTGAAGAGATTAATTATAAGAAGATAGTTAACAGTTAATCTACAGACAGTGAAATAAAGTGATTGTATATATTATTATTATTATTATATATATTAAAATTTAGAGTATTATTAATAATAAGAGATCTTAATTAATTAAGAATTATATTATAATTAACTGAATACATTTCACAGTCAGTAAAGTCAGCTCTTACAGTATTAAATTTAAATACTTACAGTCAGACACTCTTCAGATTAGTAAGAAATTATCTATTATTATACTACTTATATCTGTAGTAAACAGTCTTATTAATAATATTTAACTGATGAATTTATATCTTAATTATCTCTTTCTAACTGTTATTTAATACTCAATTCAGTGAAACTCTTATAGTTCTTGATTTCTTTCTGTTAATTCTCTCATATAAAATAATATATAAGACTTTGAATTCTTATAACAGAGATATGATTTTTAATTTTAAATTACTTTTATATATATTAATAGCTCTTTACACCTGCTTCTCAGTGTAATTAGAAGATTTAGATATGATTATAATTAATAATGATTATTTAAAGATGAAGAATGAAGATATTGAAAATATTTTCTGTACAGTGTGATTTTTCATACACTGTGATGCACTCACTAGAGAGAGTGAGTAAGCATGACATAATTAGTATCTTAGTAGTATTCTGATGATAACATCTGTCAATTACACATTACTGAGTAGTGTTATGATAATGTTAGAAAGTTCTGTACTGTCTCAACACTATCTTAACATTTAATATTCAGTGATGTGTCACTGAATATAATGATGGAACATGTGTTACAATCAGCGACATGTGACACGGGTGGGTGGAATGGTGGATTCACGGTGTAATCACCGTAAATTAACTGTAGGCTAACTTACTGGGGCAAAAGAGCTCGGTCACCACCAGCGCACTGCTGGTAGAAGGGCCGATCAACTCCCGGGACCCCCAACATTAACCCTACGTTCTTCCCGTATGGTAGTAATCACCAACATATAGGGCATCCGGCCAACAGTCTCAATCCCGACCTGGACAGGATGACATAATCTGTCGCCAAGCCGGGGCCTCGGTTTAGCGTTCAGAGCTTGGCTTGATGGATAGAGTCATCGTCTGGCCTGCCAAAAACTTTTTATATACCCGTATACGGACATTATCATGCTATTGTGCTACCTTTCTTCTTTTCTCTCGTCTTCTGTGCGGCTGGATGCTTCCTTGTATATAAATTGATTTTATCCCCCCCCCTCCCCTCTCCGGTTTCTCCTGCGTGATTCATTGACGAACGAACAAACCCCGCGGCGAATCGGAGACACACCACCCACCCCGCTCCACACTCCGTACTCCTTTTAACAGCCATGTCACCACGAGTATGTTGTTTTCTACACCTCTTTTTGGGAAGCGGTGTCAATTGGACTACATTTCTACCATTCCAGTTGTTTTTCAAAACTCTAGGCTATCTTGGGTTTGCTGCTAACTAACTCGAATTTTGCCGTAGCCCGTCATCCAACCCACCTTAGAAGTGGTCAAAGATGTCCTCGCGCAATCAAAGGGCGCGCCGCATCCGCCCAATCTGATTCCTCTGGTGGCATCGGTGCCGGCAGATCTACTCACTCCCACTGTGGCATATTTGAAATTCTCGGCGAAGTGAGTTTTGTAGTTGGTTGGCTATTCCCCTCAGAGGAGCAACATCCTAACGGATGCCGATTACTTGTCTTGGCAGCTCGAAACTATCCTTCCTCTATGAGAGTGCTACTACGATGGAGACAATTGGGAGGTATAGCTTTGTGGGAGCCGGTATGTGCTTTGTTCCCCCTGCCGTAAAATAAATGCCAACCGAGCGCGCTTCTCATTTTTCGTTATTCCGGCTTGCTGCATTAGACCCCAAGAAAGTCCTGAAAACTGGCCCTGGCCATGGGGCCGAATGCGACCCACTCCCCGCCCTCGAAAGGGAGCTGTCCCAGTTCCGCGTCGCCACAATACCAGGCCTCGAGTTGACACCCATGGCCGGCGGAGCAATTGGCTACGTCAGCTATGACTGTGTGAGGTATTTCGAGCCCAAAACAGCACGGCCCATGAAAGATGTACTCAAGGTACCCGAGTCGCTATTCATGATGGTTGACACCATTATTGCGTTTGACCACTTTTTCCAAGTTGTCAAGGTTATCACATATGTACAAGTCCCGGAAAATGACGGAGATCTAGAAGTGGAATATACTAGGGGACAGGAAGTGATCCAACGTGCCATCGATGTACTCCTAGATCCTAAAATCCCACTTCCATCGCAACCACCGATTAAGAGGGGTCAAGAGTATACTTCTAATATTGGGCGGGCGGGGTATGAAGGCCATGTGAAGAAGTTGAAGGAACATATCATGAAAGGCGACATTTTCCAAACGGTCCCTTCGCAACGACTAGCACGCCCCACCTCTCTTCACCCATTCAACTTATTCCGACACCTGCGCACCGTGAACCCATCCCCGTACCTCTTCTACATCGACTGCGATGAATTCCAGCTCATAGGCGCCAGTCCGGAATTACTAGTCAAAGAAGAAAAAAGGCGGATAATCACGCATCCCATAGCCGGCACCGTGAAGCGGGGCGAGACACCGCAGGAGGACGCACAGCTCGCCGCAGAGCTAATCAACAGCGAAAAGGACCGCGCCGAACATGTCATGTTAGTCGACCTCGCGCGCAACGACGTCAACCGCGTCTGCGACCCGGTGACCACTCACGTCGACTGGCTCATGGTCGTGCAGAAATTCTCGCACGTGCAGCATCTGGTATCGCAGGTGTCCGGCATCCTGCGGCCGGACAAGACGCGCTTCGACGCATTCCGCTCCATCTTCCCCGCCGGCACGGTCAGTGGGGCGCCCAAGGTGCGGGCCATGGAACTGATTGCTGAGCTTGAGGGGGAGAAGCGCGGCGTGTACGCCGGGGCGGTTGGGTATTTTGGATACGATAGTGCGAGTAGGGATGGGAAGGAGATTTTTGATGGGGCGATGGATACGTGCATTGCGCTGCGGACTATGATGATGAAGGACGGGATTGCGTATTTGCAGGCGGGCGGGGGGATTGTGTTTGATTCAGATCCATACGATGAGTATATTGAGACGTTGAATAAGCTGGGGGCTAATATTCAGTGTATTAAGAGTGCGGAGGAGAGGTATATTGCGGAGGAAGGGTTGTAGGTTTCCTTGTTACATTTTACGTTTACTACTTCTTTATTTGCATGGCACTCTGCCGCAGATTTTTCGAAGATGGTGATGGCAGCCGAAATATGTGTAATCTACTCACCACATAAGACTCGTAGTGTTTCCGCATATTAAGGGAAGACGTCCATGTACCCCGTACGGTTACATAGATCCGTAACTGATAGCTAAATATATCTTTTTGTCAAACGCCCTCGATCACGTAAGCCGACGGTGCCACACAGCCTCAGCCACCTTTTCCACTTTGGGCCTAGCAAGATTCATCATCAAACCACAGTCGATATAACTCACGCAGTACAGCCCTCGCAACCACCACCGTCACCCACCATCACCTCCTCCCGGTCTCTCCTCCAAGAACCCTCGCCTTCTTACCTCCTCTCCTTGAGTGTTTCCTGATTCAAGATCGAGATCGAATATCCCTTGCTTAGGTCCGGAGAGAGATCTATTTCCCGGTGTTCATTGTCCCTAAATCTAATTTTCCCCCTCCCTCGGGAACGGCCCACACCAGTGATCAAACTACGACGGACGAACCCTTTTAAGAACCTAACCTTCGTGTTTCCCCCGTCCATACCATACCTAACCAACCACTATATCTATCTTCTACGACGACTGACGACATTCACCGCTGTCCGCTTCCGCCAGAATTCACCTTTGTTCTCATTGACGGAAAGAGGAACGAGTGGGAAAAAAAAAAAAAAAAACTAGACAACTGTTTCGATTCGAATGGTATATCTGTGTTAAAGAGCTAGGGATTGCCCCAAACTGAACATCCCCCGCCTGAGAGAACTCGCAAACGGCGAACGCTGTCCTACATCATAAACGACTATCGATTCCTTGGTTATTTGCTGAAAATTGACAGCGGTTCCTGCGCAGAAGCGAAGTTTGTCATTCCACGCCGCCTACGTCGCCACCCCTTCCTCCGCGGATATACGTAATACATTTTTGTTCTCCTAAAGAAGGACGATACAGATCTGATCTGAAGAAAACAAGCCGTGCTGTTTCTTTGAGACTGTAATTCTTTTATCTTGTTGCGCGCATCGTCCTCGGTACATACATACCCAACAGGCAACGACGGGACCGGCGCGGCAACCATCACATCATCGGGATACCCGTACATACCGAGGGACCTCTTTTGTGGTTTTTGTCATTTGTCCTTCGATTTTTCTTTTACCCCTTTTTATTAATTAATAGCCTGATTGAGAGGCTCTTCATAGCGCGACCATGTCGAAGGTTGTGAGGAGCGTGAAGAATGTCACCAAGGGATACTCGTCCGTTCAGGTCAAAGTCCGCAATGGTATGTTTCAACTATTGACTTGATATACTTGTTGATTTCTGTCGCTTCCCTTTTATTTTTTCAATTTTATTTTTTATTTTTAAATTTTTAAATTTCATGGTACTGATTTATGGTGTGCTGGTGTAGCAACGAGTAATGACCCTTGGGGCCCTACGGGGACAGAGATGGGGGAAATTGCGGCGATGACATTTCATAGGTAATCATATGCCTATACACACGTTTTACCCTTTACTCCGCGGCTAGTTTCTATTTTTAGTTATTTTACTAACGAATTGTCCGTATCACAGTCCCAGCGATTTCTACGAGATTATGGACATGTTAGATAAGCGACTGAATGACAAGGGCAAGAACTGGCGACACGTGCTCAAGTCATTGAAAGTGTTGGACTACTGTCTTCACGAAGGTTCGGAGATGGTGGTTACATGGGCCAGAAAGAATATTTACATTATCAAGACGTTGCGCGAATTCCAGTACATTGATGAGGATGGCCGTGATGTTGGACAAAATGGTTAGCTATAGGATAAACAGCTACGGACTAGGAAATGGGGAGCCTTTTTTTTGCTAACGGTTTATGTAGTACGAGTTTCCGCGAAGGAATTAACCGCCCTGATCCTTGATGAAGATCGTCTGCGAAACGAACGCTCTGATCGGAAACTCTGGAAGTCGCGTGTCAGCGGAATTGACGATGGAATACATGGGATTGCTGGTGGCAGTGAACCAGGTCGCCGCCCAAGGCGGGATCGCCCTCACCGGCAAGCTGACGAAGAGGATGCTGAATACCGCCTTGCAATCGAAGCAAGCAAGCACGAAGCTGAGGAGGAGAGGAAACGACGCCAAAGGGAGACAAACGTCGAAGCCGACGATGACGATCTTGCCAAGGCTATTAAATTGAGTAAGGAAGAAGAGGAGCTTCGAAGGCGTGAACTGGAGGAGAGTAATCCCTCTGCGCTGTTCGACGACAACACTCCCGCTGCGCCGCAACCTGCTCAGCCTCAATTAACAGGATATAACCAGGGATACCAGCAACAGCCTGCGGTAGATTGGTTTGGGAACCCAATGGACCAACAGCAACCTATGTCGACAGGCTACTTGAACAATCAATACGCGCAACCAACGGGATTCCAGCCGCAACAGACGGGTTTTACAAATGGCTATACAGGCGGCTTCCCCGCTCAACAACCCGGCTATGATCAGTTCGCGCAGCAAAATAACTTCTTGCAACCCCAAGCCACCCTCCAACCACAGCAAACTGCATTCAATAACCCCTATGGCAATGATATCTTTGGTCAGCCACAACAACAGCAACAGCAACAGCCGCAACAACAGCAATCGCAACAAGACAACAGCTTCCTCCAGCCAGGAACTCATAACCCATGGGCATCAAACCAACAACAACCAGCGGATGCGCTTAAGCCCATGCCAACGGGCTCCAATAATCCATTTGCCTCGTCATTCACACGAGCCCAAGCACAGCAGGTCCAAAAGACCGGCCCACCATCTCTCGGCACCCTCACTGAACAGCGCACCGCTCATCAATTCACCAACAACCAGCCTTCGACAAACCCCATCATGAACTTCCAGTCGTCCAGCAATACACAGCAGCAGCAGCAGCAGCAACAACAACAACAACAACTTCAAAACCCGCAGCACGCCCGTCTCAACGCCCTCCTCGCCACCGGCGACGGACAAGATACCTTCGGCAACGTCGGCGACCTCCGTATCCCTGCCCAGCACACCGCGCCCGGCGTATTCGTAAATTCTGCCGGTCAGGGTCTCGACCGTCTCCAACCAAACCAAACCGCGAACAATCCCTTTTTCAACCAGCAGTTTACAGGCGCTCCGCAGCAGCAGCAGCACCAGCGGAATAATAATCCGTTTGGAATGGGACAGCCGGGCTATGTGGCCCAGCCTCAGCAGAGTGGGAATCTGATTGACCTGTGAAGTTAGGAAGGAGGAAGGAGGAAGTTGGAGTAGGGGAAGTGGGGAGAGAGGGCTTTTATGGGTTGAAGTTTTCTTTGTTCTTATGACGATGTCCTCTTCAAACAAACGCGTTGTGTGGAGTTTGCGGGAATTTTGTAGAATTCCATGGCCGGGACACGTTGTGATTTGAAGAGCGGAGGGGAGGATTTTCATATTTCATGAAGAGCTTGTCAATTTGCGCAAGAGAGACAAGAAGTTTAGCCCTTCCACAGTTTTATTCCTTATTTTCCGTGTGCTCGGTGAAAATTGGGTCTTATATTTTGGGGCCATTTTTTGTCCCCCCCCCCCCTCTCTCTCTCTCCCCTTTTCTCCCTTTTTTTTTCTTTTTTTGTTTCTTTTTGCTATGTTTTACTTAGGTTTTTGTATCTTTTTCCATCTCTTTTGAAGAGTCCGCCCGCCCTTCTTGCCAGTTTCCTATCACACATTTATCCCCATAAGTCATACCTTTTCGTCTTTTTCTCCTTTTCTCCCTCTTTTGTTTTATGTCAGATAGCGTTTTTTTTATTACCATCTACATTAGTTAACCTACTACCTACCTGCGGCTCCAATTCCCCTCCCACCTTTTTCTCCTGCTTGTTCTTGGGCCTTTGTCTTTATTTATGTTATTTATTTTATCCATTGGCCTTTTTACGAGTGATATTAGCTGCGCGGTAACATGTTTTTCGTTTCCTCTATTTCCTTCCCTTCTTTCTCTACCTCGCTTTTCCGATTCTCGTACTCATCTAGGCCAGCGATTTCTTTTTATCCCAAACAAGAAAAGAACCGCTTACTGATAATTCTTGGCGAATAATGTCTCCAGAATTAGGAGATGGTCAGATATCCCCATGCTAAAATAAATATTGATTTATGTCCCTGCATTTCTTTTACTTTCCATCTTCCATTTTCCGTCTCTACTTCTCTTTAATTGTCATGAAAAAGAAAGGAAGAAAACAAACTGCACTTGGACTGTAAATGTCATGTACATACTTTGCATACATTCAACATGAAGCTTAATGCCCTGTACGCTTCCCACACTCCAAAAGTTGTTACATATAGGGTCCGAATTAGGGCTCAAAAAATAAACGCCATAAGCGCGAACCTTGTTTTGTGTCAGTTGATCATATCATACTGGTATTCCGCCTGGGAATCAACCATAGCAACTAACATGCCATAAAGAGGGGAGCGGGGGGGGAACAAATATTTTGTTTTCGGGAGCCGAGAATATGTACCGCTGCTGCAGTTTGTCAGTGCTTGGCTGTCAACTTTTGCGGTGATGTGATATACTACTATGTCGATGCTATGAAGCATACATACCTCCTACTACAGATTGTAGCTAAGGTCAAGTGCTGTGAGCGTCTTCTTTGAAATGGTTATTTGGATTCTTCCAGCTCTCCAGCAAGAGGGTTGGTCCATGTTTTGCCTATGGCGATCTTGTCATGCGCTGGTCGTCGTCTATGATGTGAAGCCTTTGTAGATAGAGTATTGGCTCCGTACCAAGGACGATATTCTGCCAGAGAACGGTTGGTTCGAAAATCTGTCCCTTCTTTTGCATGCTTGCTTGGTCGGTCGCCCATTCATGCACGCTCCCTGCTAACTATTCAGAAGCAGCGGTTCTTTCGCCCCGTTCTTGTGGATCTGCTTCGTGTTGTTGTTATAAATGATGCTCCAGGTCAATCTTGGCTGCTACACAGACTTGCTTAACGAACAAGCCTGTCTGTGTCCCTGACATCCATCAGACGTTGGCAGCTGTCGCTCCCCAAGAAGGATTGAATCTGAAGACATGTCTTTGGCCGGAGCAGGACTTGTGCACGATTTTCCCTGCACTCCGTATGGTCGCCACCAGCCATGAGCTTCTGTGCATTTCCCTCATTGGGCTTGGTCGTGTCTTTTTGGAGTGAACATTATAAATGGAAATGGGAAACGGGGGCTTCATAGTTCATAGTGTTAACGATAGGGCGGAGGACCAGAGAGGCCTATCCAAAAGAAGCTCTCTGAAACATCACCCTGGAAGCGGCGGGTTTTCACTGCTTGTGGGAAGTCTTCTTCTATTTTTATTTTTGTTCTATTTATTTATTTATGTAATTTTATTTTTTGTTGCTTCCTTTGCTTCCTGAGTGCTTTTCAACTCACGCTTGCGCTTGCAACATCTAGACCAACGAGGCAGACTGGTGGTGGAAACCATTCGAGTTTCTTGACCCAACCGGAGAATAAGTTTCTTCCGCCCTTTTTTAGCTTCCTATTAGCCTAGACGGCGTTTGAAGCGACGAGCAGACATCTTCCAAACTGCTGGAGAGCTAGCTTCCACAGCTCGCTCAGCATTATCGATCGGGGTTCCACGCTTCACTACTTCATACGGATGACGATGAAAAGAGTTGTCAGGAATTCCTCGAAAAGTGTTTTTGAGTTATGTGGTCGGTCAAGGAAGAAGGAAGAATCCAAAAAGTTTCAGAGCAAAAAAAAAAAAGAAGAAGAAGAAGAAGAAGAAGAAGAAGAAGAAGAAAGGAAAATAAACGATGCCGTTTTTCCCGCAAGCGAATTGGGAGCTTGTTGGCCCCGAGGTTTCTTTCTGCTCCTAGCGTTTCTTTTCTTTTCCCAAGCACCAGCAGTCTGCGCCAGTCACATCCCATCCTGAATAATAATAATCAATGGAATGGAGTTCCTCCACCCTCACGAGCAGCGTTCAGCACTAATCCTAATCAACACTGATATCTCCTTTTTAAGTTGAGCTACTCCATCACTCTTACGAACAGGATTCTGAGGCTGGCCGCTGTGACCAGTGAGCCGCAGCGTGATACGAGATTTCGGGTTTCACTCAAATGACGATGCTCGATTTATCCCAAATGGTTTCTCCACAACTCGGAAGAAGCGAGTTCTGTGCAGTCAGAGCCCCGGCCATCAGAGAACAACCATGGAGCTGCTTCTGGGACCTCGTAAGAGCGCAGAATGCCTGACTCGTCGAAAAGCATTTTCGATCCAATCAAGCCAGATTTGCAGGTCGCTTGTGGAGTCTATGAGAACTCAATACGAGCCGCACCTTGAGCCTCACTATTATTATTATAATGATTCTGCTGAGGATGAGAAAAGGGGTTTGCTCTTCACGCGCCGTGGCGTGCGAGAGGGCTTGCGAAGTGTGCTTGTGAAAGCATATATATATAACTAGAGCAAAGTCTCTTTCTTTCCTCTAGTTAGCGAACGATTCCACTTCCATCACATCTTTGATCAACTGACCCCTCGTCCTTCATTCTTTTAAATCGAACTTGCTCGCTGTTCTTTTTATATCCTTCACTTCAATAAAGATAGTTACCCCATCATTTTACGCTCATATAACTACACTTTTTTTTTCTTTTTTTAATTTCCATAAACCTTTCGCGTTAATATACCTCCAACAATATGTCTGGCCCCGAAACAACTGGCAGCTCTAACTGGGGAAGCTCGCTCTGGGACTGCTTCAACCCCATTGATACATGTATGTGGGAACCTTCATCGCCAGATAAAAGAGACGCCCATTTGCGAGCATGGAACGCTGACAGAGCGGGCCGGATCTCTAGGTTTAATGGGATGGTGCTGTCCATGCGTCCTCTTCGGCAAGACCCAGGCTCGCCTGGATGACCCCAGCCTGGCCAACTTCAGCCCAATCAACGATAATGTAAGCTGAACAAACGAACGCACCTCTTCCATCACTCTCTTGACTTTCGAGAGGGACTACGCATTTTGCTCAGCACGGAGAGCCCAAAACCTTGTTATACTAATTTGGGCCAAAATTATAGTGTCTTATCTTTTGCGGCATGAACTGCTTCGCCGTCGCATGGCTCCTCCTTGTAAAGAGGCGCACCGAGCTGCGCGAGAAGTACGGCATCACCCAAACCCATCTGGAGAAGTTCCTGAAATGGGAACCTGGCACCATCAAGGCCAAGCACAACTATGAAGAGTCCCTGGTCCAGGACTGCCTTGCCTCCTTTTTCTGTCCTTGCTGCGTTGTTGTCCAGCAGGAGAAAGAGGTGCTTGCTCGACAGGCTGCTGGGCAGACTGGTTATCAGAAGCCCCAAGCTATGGCTTACCCTCCAGCCTAGGCGATGGGGATGCTACGGTAAGGGGGAAAGTTGATACACCATGGGTGAGGAAATGGGTGTTATGAGAAATAATGGATATTATTTGATCAAACAAATTAAATTTCATACGGGTTATTGGGGCTGGTTGGATATAAGCGGACTTGATGCAAATTTTGTCGATTTCCCGCGCATTCTCTCTCTCATTTCATATTTTCCCTTTGTTATAACTTTTTGTCACTAGAATAATACCCTGCTAAAAAGTGTTCACTTCAATTAGATTCCTTTCATTTTTATTTTTATTTATATTTATTTTATTTTTTTGTTAGAATTCCCGCTTCAAATCCCCCCTAACAAGAAGATCAACCGAGGAACAGGTCGGATTTTCTCAAAAAACCCTCCCCCCCTTTTTATTATTTTATATATTCACCTCTCACCCCCTGTCATTTCCACACAACAAGCAAAAGCTAAGAAAAGAGCCTCACACGACAGTTAACTACTAACTTTTTGTCCCCGCCCAAAATCCTTGTCCCGTCAGCCTGCTAGTCCGTAGTTACAGTCTCTTTCAGAGCCCCAGTCTAGTCTGCTAGCTCGCTCAATAGCTTGACACGAACACGAGCCAAACCTTGAGCTTTTCTCGCTCTGAGGAGTATCCGATTTCCAAACCCACCACCCTCCGACCTACTACTATGTAATGATGTACATGCACATTACTACATGTATGTACATACGTAACTCAACCCATCGGCGTGACGGCGTCTGCTAGGCTCCGTCCGTTTTGCTGACATGATTATTTATTTATTGACATTCCTTGCTTGAGCTGCTTTTGACTGGCCGACACTTTCAAAATTTGTGCCGAAACTGCACGAGTAGAAAGCTTGTAGATATAAAATCGGGCTTCTGAGGATGGGTGGTCCCAAGCATGTAGTAGCGAGCAATGCCGCCGGGCCTGGGAGGGAATGACACCCCTTATTAAAGATGTGAGTGAGGACATGATACTTTTTTTCTTTTTTTCTTTTTTTCTTTCTTTTTCTTTTTCTTTTCTTTTTTTTTAGCTGTACGCAGCAGATGAAAGCTACTTTTCTTCCCCGGGTTCAATTAAGGCAGAGAGACATAGATACATAGTTTGGGAAGAAATCGTATGATAACCAACCCACCGTACATGTATGTACGTCGTTTCCCCTACAACGTCTCCTCTATCTATTGAACATGGTTCTCAAGCCATGAACGTTGCAGAGTAAACTAACTAGAATAATCGTCAGGGAACAGAGGACATGGTTATCAATTACATAGGAGCCTCCCCTACGGTCCGATGACAGTCAGACACTCTTGCTCCGCTTAAACAGTCGACCAATACTTTTGGAAGTGGGGAATTGAGGTAGGTGTTACTTCACTGCATAATAAAGCTTTAGAAGATAGCTTGGATTCATTAGTTATCAAGTTTTAACAGGGAGATTGAAGACATAGTATTGGAAAATGTATTGGATATATTCATAGGCGGATGGATCTGGATAGAAAGAAGTGGATAGACGCCTCTTTGCTGCAGGCTGCGCTTGACGATTGAAGACACAGAAGAATGCTGAGCAAAGGAAAAAAAAAAAAAAGGAAGAGAGGGAGGGGGGGGAAGAGTTGGGAAATGGCGGAGTGTATATATGGAGCGCAAAGGGGACTAGAAGAAGAAAGCGTGAGAAAATAGAAAATGTAAAATAAAAGGAAAGCCCTAAGTCTCATTCTGTCGTCGGATTTAATTTAATGCCTCTTTTCTTCCCCTCCCCCCCCTTTCGCCCTCGTCATGTCGGTTTAATTAGTTCAAAAATGGTTCCTCCGCTCTCGATCATCAGTATCGAGAGACGGGCGCTGTCAGTTTCTAGGTGTTCATGACGCAAACACCCTCACATTCAAATCTACACTCCCCGTCGCAATCACACAGCGGATTCCCAACTTCGCCCCCCCACCAGGATCCTCCTTCTTGCTCCCGGGTATAATCCCATTTACACCAGATAAGGCAAGGGAACCACCGCCATTAATATCCCCATTCACCCCCATGCCACCAGCGTCTTTAATAATATTCGGCGCCCACCGTATACAAGTTACGAACGCGTGCGCATCCGTTACTACGCGCACGCATTTGAACTCCTGGCTCAGATCCCAGCAGCGGATAGTCTTATCATCGCTGACGGAGAGGAGATATTTACCGCCCGGGTGGAAAACGAGGGCCCGGACCCAGTTGTCGTGCCCGATGAGGGTTTTGATCAAAGTGCCGCGAGAATCCCAGACGCGGATTGTTTTGTCGCGGGAGCCTGTGGCGACGTATTCGGCAGATGAGGAGGGTGGAGGTGGTTTTTTAAGTCCCGCCAGGGCTGCTAGATATGGGTAGGTGGTCGGCGGGGCTAAGGCGACGCATTCGATGAAGTGTTCATGGCCTAGGAATGTGGATTTTGTTTCACCCGATGAGACATCCCAGAGACGGGCGACTCGGTCGTCTCCAGCAGAGAATAGGAACCGGCCATCTGGCGAGGGTACAACATCTCGAACCCACTCTACGTGCCCATGCAGCGTCCTAACGCAGTAGCCAGTGGTTACATCCCAGATGCGGAGGGTCTTGTCACGCGAAGCGGAGACCAGCAGATTTCCTGATAAGGGGGAGCCAGCTGCGCCTGACGGGATAAATCGTACGGCAGAAACAGAGTGGTCATGTCCAGGGAGTGTGCGGATATTCTTATATTCGTCGGAAGGATCCCACAGTTTTATCGTGAGATCTGATGAGCATGAGGCCAGCAAAGTGCCTCCATGGGGACCTCCATAATCCACATCTACAACGGCTCTTGTATGACCCTTGATGGTGCGCTCAAGCTCACCCAGCTCCCAATCCCATATTTTAATAGTTGTGTCTTCGGACCCTGATGCAAGTGATGAGAAAACAGGATGAAACGCGACGCTGGTCACTGGGTTGCGGTGGGATTCCAACCGATGCCGGGCGGGGGCACGGGGTAGCCAGGAGACAGGATCTTGGTTCCTTCGGGAGAGAGATGTGGGAGTAGCAGAGTCAAGTTCAGATTGAAGGGCAGAATTTCGTGCTTCCAGATCCATAATCTGTAGATATACAACACGATCTTATCAGTGCATTGAAATACAATGGTAGCTATGTATGTACGAGTGTTGCGGCTGCTGTTTCGAGCTCACCTTTTTCTGTAACCGCACTACACTTGTCCACTTCTTCTCCAAAAGTCCTTCATATTTTTTAGCGGTGGAATCGTCCAGTTGGACGCTATCCGCGATCTCTTCCCGCAACGCTGCAGCACTCTTTGGTAACTTGGCGGAGAGGAAGTATGCGATGATAGATTTGTGGCTGCGACATTTTTATCCGTTAAATTAGAAGACAGCTATCAAATAGATATTGGGAAACTGTTCGATTACAAACGCACAGCTCTTCCGCTTGCCGCGGAGTCAGTAATTGGCTCATTGCTGCTTGTATATTTGGCGACTTTTTTGATTCATAGGGGTCTTCCCAGGCGCCCCCTCCACAGCCACCCAACAAGGCCTTGCCCGCCGAACCTGTCCGAGAATAGTATTTAATGTATTAAAAATGAGGATATGTTCGACACTAGTGATGGTCAGGGAACAAGACAGTGTTGGGCTTCGCAGGAGGGTATCGGCGGGCAGCAATATAGCTGGATAGATATATGCAGGTGAAAGCAGTGGTGGCGGGTGGGTGGGTGATGGATTGATGGCGATACCGTTGATTATGAATGAAGGCCCCTCCAGGAGGATAAGATCTAGCTATTTAAAACACAGACACATGGTTCAGCAGAGACGTCGTGGCAGCACACAGAAGAATATCGAGATAGATGGATATTTAAGAGTCCGGCGATGAGCCATGTTGTTGCAGTGTTTGGAGTGTTTGGCACCAGTTCCTGGCCTGGGTGGTTGCCAGAAGAGGAATGGCCGGGTCGCCGCTTTATTAGGCGCCATTTGGGAATTAGTTGTACAGAGTATTGTAAATGTATACCTAGGTAAGGTCCTCTGCTGAAAGTACACGGACAGTGGAAACAAAAAGAAGAACAATATAGTCTCTGCACACTATATATCCGTTAATAAGTTGTCAAAGGGACTAAAGAATGGCTATGTGGTTAATTTGTTGCTCGGTATGCTTTTGTTGTTGTTGTTGTCTTTGTTTCTGTTGGAAAATTTGCAGGCGTATGTTTGAATTAACTAGTTAGTTAAGTTACTCATCCAGAGCAGAACAGAAGTAGATCGCATCCTTTGCCCTTAAAAACAGAATTCGCGGCGAACTGCAGTAAACTGTAACTAGTCTCAAGGCTTGAGCTCTGTATTCCGTATGAGCGTACTCTAATTCAACGCGAGATGGATTTTTCATATTCCCGTCACTCATCCTTCCCAATGTGCAGATGGGGATGGATCTATGGTGAAGTTTGAGAGCAAAAGCAGCGCCAGACACAGGTCACGTGGATGCCCAATCACCACGGCGATTGTTCAATGTTGACGTTTGCCCTGTGTTTTTGCTCAATTCCAAACCTTATCACAGCTCCAAATTCCATAAATTCCAAATCTCCTTCACCAGGTGCAAGACAAGCTCGATACTGTCTTGTTTCCTCCGGTTAACGTCTCTTCCACAATACTTGCATCAAGCTTTGTTTATTCGTGGTGTTGCGTCTGCCGACTTCCTGCATTCTACCAAACTCCCGCAACTACAAACAGATACCTAAACCACCAGCGACTCCCTCGTCTTTTGATCCGGTTTATTAATTTTTGCGACACTATTTCTGACCCCATAAGGTACTTTTCACTTATCGCGAGTATCGCTTTCCCCTTTCCTCTCAGGATGTTGCGCTGCTGTGTCATCCCATCGTGGTGGGGCCGTTGGGCATCAGCGGAAAAATTACAAGGAACAGTGGATTCGTGCGGACGCTAAATAGTTGAAGAGCGTAGGGAAGCAAATTTGGCGACGAGTGTTGCGATTACAGCCTCGCAAAATGGCTGAACAAGAAGAGGACTTTAGTTCCTTGCCTTTACCAGATAGATTTGCTCATAAGGTTAGCCCTGTGATTTTTCGCTTCTATATTCCCCAACCACCCCGCAATTGACCTGTTATTGATGTTGACGTATAAATATATATCAAACCATAGAATTGGAAAGTGAGAAAAGGAGGATATGAAGATGCTACAAAACAATTCGAGGTTTCACCGGACGAATCAGATCCCGTATTTCGACCGTTCCTACAAGACCCGGGATTGTGGAAGGGTGCTGTCGCCGATTCGAACGTAGCAGCACAGCAAGAAGGTCTAAATGCGTACTGCGCCTTTCTAAAATATTCAGGTGTTCAAGGATGCACGAGGTACGCATACATCGCTGATACAAGCGGGTTGGCCTGCGACCTAGGTTTACAGGCGGGGAAAGTACACTGACACTGTTGTAACTAGGACTCGGGGAACGACGATTGCCGCCATTGCGGAAAAGGGCTTACCATCAACCCGACCTGCAGCGAAGGCCAGCGCACTAGAGGCTATTCTACTTTGCATAGAACTAGATAGACCTGAACCCGTTATTGAGGATCTCGTGGCGGCGCTCTCACATAAACTCCCCAAGGTCATTGCACCGGCCCTCGCCGCATTGACAGCCGCATTTCACAATTACGGCTGCAAAGTTATTGAGCCAAAACTGGTGTTAAAAACGCTACCAAAAGTTTTCGGCCATGCGGATAAGAATGTTCGAGCAGAAGCGACAAATCTCACTGCAGAACTGTACAGATGGCTCAAAGATGCTATGAAGCCGCTATTCTGGGGAGAATTAAAACCCGTGCAACAACAAGATTTGGAAAAATTATTCGAAGCCATCAAACAGGAGCCTGCACCAAAACAAGAGCGATTTACGCGAGCACAGCAAGAAGCGATGGCAGCAGCCAGTAGTCAGGCTGGCGGGGACGGAGATGGCGCTGCAGCAGATGGGGGCGAAGACGACGGTGATGCAGAGATTGATGTTTTCGATCTTGCAGAACCCGTCGACGTTTTATCTCAGGCGCCAAAGGACTTACACGAGAAATTAGCGTCGACGAAATGGAAGGATCGTAAAGAAGCCCTCGACGCACTCTTTGCCGCAGCGAATGTCCCTAGGATCAAAGACGGGCAGTTTGACGAAATGATGCGTGCGCTGGCAAAATGCATGAAGGACGCAAATGTAGCTGTTGTCACCGTGGCCGCCAATACCATTGAAGTTCTTGCCAAAGGCTTACGCAAGAGCTTCTCTAAGTACAAGCCTGTTATTCTGGCTCCCATTATGGAACGGCTAAAGGAGAAAAAACAGTCGGTTGCTGATGCGCTGGGCCACGCCTTGGATGCAGTCTTTGCCGCTACAAGCCTTTCAGATTGTCTCGAAGATGTGTTAGAATTTCTTAAGCACAAAAATCCACAAGTCAAACAGGAAACTCTGAAGTTTTTGATTCGATGTTTGAGAACAACTAGGGAGGTTCCCTCGAAACCAGAAACAAAGTCGATAGCAGACGCTGCTACAAAGCTGCTGACAGAATCTAGCGAAGCTACTCGATCCGGCGGTGCCGAGATTCTAGGAACCTTGATGAAGATCATAGGTGAAAGGGCGATGAATCCCTATTTGGATGGCTTGGACGATATTCGGAAAGCAAAGATAAAGGAATTTTTTGATACGGCAGAAGTTAAAGCTAAAGAACGTCCTAAGCCTATCGTTGGACCTCCCAAAGGTCTGGTTGTTCCGGGAGGAGCAAAGAAGCCCATTGCCAAAAGGCCGGCAGCTGCAGTTAAGAAACCAGCACCCGCTCCGGCGGCCCCTGACGAACCTACACCAGCACCGCCTACCGCCAAGAAGGCGATACCATCCAAACTCGGCCTTCCTAAGGCTGGGGGTGCGGCCACTCCTGGATCAGGGCTTAAGCTTCAAAGAAAGCTAGCTGGACCGGGAGGTGCGCCTGCATCTCCGCGAAGGGTAGTCTCACCACCTTTTGAGGAAAACCCAGCTCCTACTGCCCCCGCCGCTGCCCCTACAGGTTCTAAATTCGGCATGGGTAATCGTGGCTTGGCTGGGCGTTCTCTGGGGAGACCAGCACCTCCAAGTTCTGAGCCTGCAGCTCCGCCTCCTACTTCCATAAGCTCTGGGATGGCGGCAATTGAGCGGGCCGAATTAGAAGAGCTTCGCCTTGAGAAAGAGAGATACTCACGGATGGTAGAAAATTTGCAATCTGAGCGAACGAAGCTTCTATCTGAAATAAACGAACTTCAAAATCAAAACGCACAGCTGATTGAAGATCACACGAGAGATGTGCTGAGTGTCAAAGCCAAAGAAACTCAACTGGTTCGAGCCAGGAGCGATGCAGAAGCGGCAGAACAAAATGTCCAGAAACAGCAGAGAGAAATTGAGCGGTTGAAGCGGGAGCTGGCTCGGGCTGTGCGCGCCAGCGCAGTTAGCCCCCCAGCTACGATTCCTAATATGGGCCTGAATATGGGCATCACAGATGGCGGAATATATCAGGACAGCGCAAACAATAATCACAACAACATGAACGGTCCACCATCTCGCTCTGCTCTGCATTTCGGCTCACGGTTCGAAAGCGCACGGCCTAGAAGCTTCATGTCCGCCAGCCCCAGCGAGGAGAAAGAGAACAATAACGGTCTCGAATCCCCAGGTCTTAGCGGTGCAGGTGGGTACGCGGGGCGGAGGAAAATCAGTCCACCCGTTGGCTCGTCGTACTCTTCAGGTAGAGGAAGTCCGGCGAGGATGTCGGCTGGTGGTCGAACGGGGTCCAGCGGGGATGGCCTGCCCGCGTCCACATCTACTTCACAGGGTGGCGGTGAACCCGCGGAGAATTGGAAGCGGGCTGCTGAAGTTACTAGCCAGCTGAAAGCGAGGATTGAACAAATGAAGGTAAAGAACAGCACTCGACACACTTCCCGACTTCCCTTCCAGCTTTATGCACAGTGATATATATACATCGCCGTAAAAGAGGCCTAAAAATATCATTACCGTTTGGCTAACGTTCCTGTTACTGTAATTTAGGCACGGCAAGGTCTTTCTCGGCCTGCACCTTCTTAGTCCACTCCCATAACCCCACTCACTCCCCGTCATTCTGAGGAGTTGAGAACGCATTTCGCCAGTGGATTGTTTAACTTTATATAATACCCCCTTCTCCTACCAACACCACACCACTTTTTCGTGTCTGATGATTGTCCCTTTTTCATTTCAGCCACCCTCTGCGCGGTTTGCTTCTTTATACTGTTTCCATGTCCCTTTCGTGGACATTTTGTCAATACTCAATACCCCAAATAAAATCAACTTCGAACCCTCCTGGATTTTATAATTCTCTTATTCTTTCTACTTATTTTTTCTACTTATTTTTCTTTCGTTTTCCCTTTTCCCTTTTCCCTTTCTATATCTTTTCTTTTATTGTCGCTATTCTCTTTTCGGCTCGGTAGCTACGCAGGAATTTTGAAGGTAGACAGGCGTATGAAAAGGAGGGAGGGTGACAACAAACAACAGGGAATCAAAAATGATTTTTATCTATAATACAAAACCCACCCCACACTCACCTCACCCACCCACTTTCTCACTTATACACACTCACTTTTGTTTACAGATTGGACGTGTCTGATTTTTTTTTAATTTCTTTCCGGGAGGTCGGTCGGCCATCCTTGCCTTGATTTTTATTGATTTGTTGATTCTCCTTCCATATCACTTTTGTTTCTTCTCTTTAAAAATCTTTTCTCATTAGGGCAGCCTTTCTTTCTCACCGGTCTCTACTCAACCCCCCCCCCCCTTTTTCCTTCCAGCTAGATCAACCGCGCTTTAACCACTGTTTATATACTCCTGGCTCCTCTTTTTATTTTTCCTTTTAATTATTACATATCTTATCTAATTTGAATGATGCAATGCATCAATGCACTAAGCACTGTTCTACTCTCCCCCCCCCCCCACAGTTCCCCGCCCATTTCCCCCTCTTCGGCGACACTAGAGCCCTGTTCGCTTGTGTTACAAGATATCATTAAGTCGTATTTATGATTATTCTTACGATAATATTTATTATTTCTTTTTACAATTTGCTGATGTGAGATAAGGAGCGGGGAGTAGGGCCGCGGGGGAGGAGGTGATGTATGGATATAGATTGATAATAATAAGGTACAGTACAAGGATGTGCAGCGTGGAAAAGCTGGATTTTGTATATTTTTCTTGTAAATTTCTTTTTGATTTTGATATTGATTGACACATTTTATATTGCTACACGCTATCTTGGAGTGATGGAAACGGCTTAGGGTTTTCTTTCAACTCTTGCTTGTCTGGTGAGTGGTGGCCAGGAGAGAGAGAACATGGCAGGGTGAGTGAGTACCCATGCTACAGAGGTGTGTTCGGGAGAGCAGGCAGCGGTAGAGCAGAAGGGTGTATTTCATTCAGGTGGGACGAGTTTATAACTATATGCACGGGTGCAGTACCCGTACGCTCTGGCCTGCTGTGCTGTGATGATTTTCTCCAACGTGCTGGGGTGGGTAGGGATAGAAGAGGGGGGAGAAAGCTAAAGGGAAGGTTGATGTTTCCACATGGTGGTATAGAAATGATGGCATGAGTTTACAGGTTTCTAGGTGGATTCGATCGATTTACTACACTGGTTAAACGAGGCGAGACCATCAATTCTGCGGACGGGGACAGCAGGGTTAGATTGGATTGGAAGCCAAGGGCGATGAGGAATGGGTCACTTGCTTCAAAACATCTTGAAATTATCTTGGTTGGTAATCCAAAGAATAGGGGGGTATATGCCGATCATACATGCAATAACAAGGAAAAAAGCACTAGAAGACAAGGAAAATGGCCAAGGGGACGCGCATGGATTGTACCGTTCGATTGAGAAGTTAGCTATGTGAAGCTTTTGTGTGTATTTCTTACTCTTCCAGGTCTAGCTACGGTTGTGGTTATTCCCGTTCGCCATGCTTCCATCGAAAGATTGTCACCAGAAGGCCGAAAACAACAAAGGGCTGAAAAGAGAGAGAAAGAAACGCCTCCAGATTCCAGAAGCCAACTCCGAACCGAAACAACAGTTGTGGTATTTCATTTTGTATGTTTATCGTAACATTGTTTTTTTTTTGTTCTTGGGGGGTCATTGATTGGAATAAAAATGGGTGCTGGGAAAGATTATTTTAAATCTTAATGGCGTTTTCGATGGCCTTGCGCTTCTTGACTTGTTTGGCAACGGCCTTGGCACCCATGATACCACCACCCCATCGGCGCTTGCTCTCCTCGTATTTGTCGCTGTAACCCTCCTTGATGGCGGAGACGAGCTTAGAGAGCTCCGTCTTGTCCTCGGCGCGGACCTCGGTCAGAGCAAGGACGGCAGCAGTCTGTTTTGACAGAAAATATTAGTACCGGCGAAATTATATTGTTTCGTTTGATGTGTTAAGAAGCTGGCCTACCTTCTTGTGGACGACAGTTCCAAGTCTGGCCTTGCCCTTGATGATGGCGTAGGGGACGCCCATCTTGCGGCAGAGGGCGGGGAGGAAAACAACAAGTTCAATCGGATCGACATCGTTGGGGATGAGGACGAGGGAAGCCTTCTTGTTCTCGATCAGGCCAACAACGTGGTTGAGACCGTACTTGACGGCATAAGGCTTCTTGCTGACGTCCTCCTTCTTCTGGCCAGCCTCAACAGCGGTGGCCTCCTTGTGTAGACGCTCCTTCTTCTCAGCCTTCGACTCTGGGCGGTACTTGTTGAGGAGCTTGAAGGCTTGAGCGGCGGTGTTGCGGTCCAATGTATTCTGGAATTGGGCGATCGCAGGGGGAACCTTGAGGCGGAGGTTCAAAATTTTCTTCTGGCGCTGGAGGCGGACATACTCGGGCCACTTCACCATGCGCGAGAGGTTGCGCTTGGGCTGGATGTCTTGGCCAATGCCGAAGTTGCGGGGTCGCTTCTCAAGAAGAGGGTTCTACAATTTGGTTCAATTGAGTTAGAAACGAATGTATAGTTACTCGGATTCCGCTCGACTAGGCAAATAGCGATGAGCTTGATGGGGAGGAAGAAATTTTTACATACCTTGGGAGCCTTCTTAGCACCAGCCTTCCCCTGGGGGAAGGGGGCGGCAGCAACTTTCTTTCCCTTGGGAGGCTATCATTGAGAAAAGAAGACCATCAGCGAATCTTGTTCACCAGATACTACATCTTCTTTGAACTCTAGAGAGACCACGAGCTTCGCATTTCTGCTCTGCTCATCGACTCAAGCCATGTCATCGCCATTCCACACCATTCTCTCGCAGAGAGTCTGGATGTTGGAGTGACGGAAAAATTACTTCACTGAGCTTGCAATGCCTGTCCGGACAATCAAGTCAAGACACTACAGAGGCCCAAGAAGGGTTCACATATCATGTAGGAAGTTGAGATCTTACCATTTTGTCGGTGTTGTCGTGAATTCGTTGGTTGACGGGGACAAGGAGAGGAATGAAGAAGAGAAGAATCAAACTCAAGATGAAGTCGAAGCTGATGTGCATAGCTCGGTTGGGCTTAGCGCTGGAAAATTAAGCGAGGGTTGCCCTAATCACGTTATTAACTTTGCGGGATGACTAAGCATGACATCGCCCAGCTCCGAATCGCGGTTGGAGCAGGTACGGTACGGATTACGGGGTAGGTACAAGCGAAGTAGTCGAATTTAATACTGCATCTCCAATTTAAGATACGTGGAAGGAATAAAGTATGTTCATGTAAAGATCGGCCGCGAAGTGTAAGAGAACTAAACGAAGCAATATATCCCATAAACACCAGTTGACCCATGATCTACCCATCCAAACGCCCATCGTGCACGCTCTGTGTCCAAAATACCAATCCACAGCACATGCAGCAAGAAACATGAAACGCAGAAACATCTACATGAGTGAAAAGACCTCGCCTCCATGTCATCTCCAAGGCACCCCTAGCCCTGGAATGCCCGCCCTTCCAATCGCCCCGCTCCCAGCCTCAACGGCCCTCCGCTTCCCCTTCGACCCCTCCTGACTTTTCACACCCTGCACGATCCGCTCAAGATTCGTCTCCACCACAACCCCGCCAACAATCATTTCGCCAAGCACAGCGTGCATGGTCTCGAATCCGAATATCAGGTCCAACTCGCACACGTTCTCGAACAGGCGGTCCAGCGCTTCGACGACGACTTGGATCAGGTCGATGAGGGCTAGAGGCGATTCCGTCGAGGTGGATATTAGGATGAATGATAAGGTGGCATATGTTCGGTAGGTGATTTGGGTGGGGGCGTCGGAGAAACTGGTGTTGGAGGTGTTGGAGCTGGCGCCCTCGGCGAGGAGCGGGGGAAGTGGGAGGAAGTTGCAGGCGGAAGAGGGGCGTTGGGAGACGAGGTTGTATATTTGAGCGATGAGGGATTGTTGTGTTTGGGTGTCCTAGTTGAAACAGGGTGGGGTGTTAGACTTCAAGATACCTAAAGGATGTTGAAGTGCCACAGGGGTGACGTTGGCAGGATGGCCTGGCATACCAGTTGTGTATAGAATTTGGTCAGTCGTGGCTGACCACTATTATTAAAGACCAACACGGCATTGATCATGATGTTTGTCAGGGTGTTCCAACGTCCTAACACAGTGGTGGTATTTGGGAAGAGGATATAGATCGAAGACAAGCGGGTTGTTGCGATGATTAGCTCATGACGGAATTGCACTGGAATGGGTCGCGTTTGCAGAGTTTGTTTCCAGACCGGCAAAATAATAATCCGACCACCCAGAGCTTGCCCAAACCTTCTCCTTCTTCTTATCAATCGCATCCCGAACGAACGAGGAAAGATTAGGGGCTTTAACTAGAATTAGATAGTTTTGGTGCTATTGTTTAGTGCTTTTAATTAGGAAAGCTAGTTAAGCAGCTAGCAGGGTGACAGCCCCCTACAGCGTACGGAGAATTAATTATTATTATTATTAATAACCCCTGGGATGGGCTGTATCAAGTGTCTGTATGTGAATGTTTGAAAAGTTGATATCATCGAGCTGTTGAAAATCTCAGGTAGATAATCATTGTCTCAGACTATGTACATACATTTTTAATTGAAGAATAATAATTAGTTAGTAATAATAATAATTATCAATCGAAAAGGCTTCGCATTTCGGAAAATGCCAACGTTCTTCCAGTCTTTCACCGGCGTCTACGCTGGTATACCCGGCATTTTTGTTAGGGCCCCCCTAATATTTTAGTTGCATACTAACCATACTTATGGGGGTATATGTGGCATTCTCATGTTTGAAGACAACATTCTCTCCATGAGATGAGATATCAGATGAAGGGCCTGTTCGGTGCGTCCGTACTTTTTGAACGCAATAGTGGATCTCATTAAAAATAGTGTATTTACAATTATTAGTAGAAAGCCGGCGTTGTGCCACCACACTATTCCAATATTCTTCTGTACGCAGTAGGAAGGATGAGATGGAGAAAGAAGCTCACAAAAACACATTCTTTTTGAACTGACTCTGGACTCTGTTCAAAAAGAATGTGTTTTTGTGAGCTTCTTTCTAGCCAATATTAGTTAACTGCCTCCACTATGAATGCTATTCTACACTATATTGTCTCTAAAAGTGCTATTCTACACCATCACACACTGTTGAAGTTAAATACTGCTTATTCATAAGATCTTGACAAAAGATGCCAGTACGGCTGCTCAATCCACTGAACACCTAGCCTTTTTCATCTATACTTTGTAAAAGCAGCTGTAATATTAGTACAGATGCTCTGCCCACCGAACAGTTGTGATATTGGGGCTGTACTTTTTTAAAAAAAAGTGGAGATCTGTACAAAAAGAACGAGTACACACGGCCGCACTGAACAGGCCCGAAATCAATAATAATATTAATATCTTGTATAGTCACCCCCTACCTAACAGCAAGCAGACATCTCTACTATAATTAATAAGCTTCTGTAACTGCTTCTCTGTTACAGATTATAGGTCCAGACATTTCTAATCATCTCTCCAAGTGCATCATAAGAAAGATTTTTCTCATTCTCATGATTCTCCTGTATTCACTACGGAGTACTCCGTAAGATTCCATACAGATTTAATTGAGTTCAGATCAGGGGGATAGCCTCGTCAATCTATAGGGAGGATTCCATGTTCTTGAAGATCTTGAGAAGTCTCTGCTACAGCATGTCCTGGAGCTTCATCTTACATCAATTTCAAGCCCGAGCCAGGGTTCATTTGTATCCACCCGTGAATGAGACGGAGTATTCATTTGTGATAGAATGTCTACGGAGTAGAAGGTTGAAAAGAAAGAAAGATTAGCACTGCTATACTGAATATTATAATCATATATTCATATTACACTGTGTATAACCAACCTTATTGATTGTTCCTGAAACCTTTTCTCAGAATAGACATGGCCTAAGACAACCAGCATGGTTTTTAGGAGTAGCACTCCAAGTTCACAAGTGTATTGAACTCCTTGATACATTATCTCAAGGTGATTAAATATCCTCTCATAGGTCCATCCAAGACTGTAAAGAAGAATATCTCAATGTTGATCACATATTAATCACTTTGTACAAGAGGTAATCTGAAGCAGCAGCAGGTGGAGCAGCAGCAGCAAAGTAATTCCATCTTGTAATAGAATGAGCGGCAGAGATTATGTGTAATAATACTAAGAAAGGAAGCTACCTCTCCTATTTGTATGCTTTATTAGGGTGTTTGAAGACGCGGACCGGTGATGGTTAGCACGCCACTAAAAAGATTAGGGGGGTTCTAACGAAAATAAAGGGGTTTACCAGCGTAAGCTGACAATTATTAATGGTGAGGTCTACTCACATAGGATAACGATACCAGCACGCCGGCCGGCAAGCAAAAATGAGCAGGGTTTCCCACTGACAACAAACCAGGATCAGAGCCACCAAAAATCTTCAGCACCAGGAGAAGATTTCGTGGAGTAATATTATTAAATTCATGGGTGTCGCCCGGCTCTGCCACGGGGGGGGCCATGCGAGGGCTGAAAGCCGTGTTAACCGTGGAAGTGTGATAATTTTCATGGCTTATTATTTGAGAATGTCGCTGTGCTGACCAGATTTCTTGAATCTCACTCTGTTCCTCGCCCCGTGTATACCTTTGGCTCCTAGAATCGCAAATTCCAAAGGTTAGGCAGCGGGTCCTTCGACGATCACCATGGCGATCTCAGAGAATTATGTCACTGAATCGCAAGTGGCATCGACGGGGTATGTGATGATAGCTCTCTCCAGCATCGTATTCTTTGGGCGGTTTGGATTGCGGTTTTGGAAATCGGTCCCGCTTCAACTGGAAGATTTGTTCGTTGTCTTGTCATGGCTTTCTTTCCTCGCAATGACGACCCTCTACCTCATTGTTATGCCGCGTTTATATAGACTTACTGCCTTCCTGGCCGGCGGACCTGCATATGCCGAGTTCGTGGACGATGTGCTATTCATCAAAAAGATATTCTTCTGCACGACACTCTTGCTTTGGGTATCGCTGTGGTCGGTCAAGTTTAGTCTGCTGGTTTTGTACCGGCGTCTGTTGTCCCGTCTGAAAACCGAAATTCGTCTGTGGTGGGCGGTTCTGATATTCACTGCCCTGGTATGGCCCTCTCTCCTTCCCTAATAGTCTCTCCCCCATCATGGGTATTTTGCTAGACTCACACACGAGATATAGAATCTAATAGGATGCATCATCTCCAATTTGACCTCCTGCAGCAGCTTATCAGCATGGTTCAGTCTCAGTTCGTAACATGCATTCCACCCAAATATACCTAGTGTGCTGCGCTTACCACCTATCGTGAAACCCAGCTGGATGTTCAAGTCCCAAGGAAGTTAAGGCCCAGCTTGCCAGTTTGTATTATTCATTCGCGGTTGACGTGATCACAGACATTATGAGTGAGTTGTCTCAGCATTCAGAATTCAGCGGACAGTCCCAATTGGATTAGAAACAATGCTCACAACTATCATTATCAAGTCATGGCCTTGCCCGTGAAACTATTGTGGTCGCTCCGATTACCGTTCATTCAGAAAGCAAGTCTTGGAGCTCTCTTCAGCGTTGGCATCATTTGCATTGTGATGGCCACCATACGAGTTGTTCAGATCGGAACAAAGGCGGAAAATAACAGCACGCCGAGCAGCTCGTGGCTGGCATTTTGGGGAATTCTCGAAGCAGGCATAGGTAAGTAGTTACAGTTCTGCTCATATCCTCACTGCATAAACTAAATCGTCGGTCGGTTTCGTCATCTAGCGGTCATTATCGGGTGCCTTCCTGCCCTCGCCATCATATATCGTAAAGAACGAGCCACCAAGCGCTCGTACGGCAGGGAATATTCCTCAATGGAAGGATATAAGAACAAAAATAGCATTCCGCTATCGGACGCGTCTAGCGGGGGAAACAAGCCACTGGTGGAGCTGGATGATTACCATTCAGCACCTGCTCCGACCGTCCCCAAGAGTAGGAGTACCGGAATTGCGGTAACTCAACAAGTCGATGTAAGTCGTCTTGCGAGCCAATTTTAACCCGACGTGAACCATCACAGGACTAACCGCATTCGTCCTCATCTATAGATACACGAAGAGTTTGTCTCCGGTCGCATTCCTAGATATTAACCGGGACACATGCCAGGTCATCCGGCATTCAACTAGTATTCAGATGAATGGTTGCAACGTTGACCATAGAGACACATTGTGCAATGATGTCCGCGATATGGGAGTGCTGGACACTCAAGATATCGCACGGCATCGTCCCTGCAAATATTGTTGTGTAATGTTATGTCAAATCCAAGACCACATTGTCACAAAAGCATTGAAATGTGGGTATTGGAATTGTTTAAGATGATGCAAGCTATGGCTTGCTTCACTCAAAATTTGTAATGTTTCAATATGAAATATAAACCTGTTAGATATCATAGAGTGTTTTCACTCACCATTTCTATCAAATTTAAAAAGTGTAATATGCTATTCCATGTGTGGCATTTCACATGCAAAAATAAAACACAAGCATTCAACAAAAAATCATGACCTTGTCCCAGCTGCAGCCTCTTCCCGTACCCACTTTGCAAACTCGTTTCGTTTATCCTGTTAAATAGCGCATCGTCAGCCAAAAACGGGGGGAAAAGAATATCCACTACACCAAATGAAAAAAATATAACGAAATAAGGGGAAAAAAGAAAAAGCACCCACTCACCCTCACATCCCAAAACCCTATTCGGTCCTCGAAACCACGAAATGGATTGCGCGCGCCTCCTTCCTTCTCAATCTCGCCGGCCCATACACTCCAACTAATCGGCCGCAGCTTCTCAGACCCTAGAACCAGACCAAGTGTAACGAATATGATAGCAACGAGAGTTTCAAGGATGATATCGAGAGGAACGGAGTGAGCGCTGCCGTATAATATGGAATGCTCGTGGGCGGAGTAACCGCTATAGATGTTGTCAGTAGCGCACATGTCAATTGTACAGACCCAATTGGGGTGGGAGATCAGAGTTCTCTCTTAAGAGATGGGTAGAGAGGCCCTGAGTAGATAGGGGTTTATTCTGCTTACGCGTGAACAATCAGGATAAGGCCCAAGGCCGTAAGTAGGCGGAGGAGGACGGGCATCATTGCGGTCGTTTGGCTAAGCTGCTGAAGGATTGTGGGGCGTTACGGGGTTAAGCTAAGCAGATGTATTGAAACAATGGAAGCCCCTGCTTCAGATGCCGCAATACGAACAGCAAATCCGGGCGGAAGATGTGGTTTGGTGGTTGGGATGCTGCTCTTATATAACTGTTCCTGGTCGTTTCGTCAAGGTTGTCGGCGGCTTGGATCGACAGCCTAGCCCGGCTACGGACACCTACAAAGACCAACATGGCTGCCCGCTTGTGATCGTCGTTTATCGCAGAGATATCAACCAACTACAGCTCTATATCTGTATCATACTGATGTATGTATCGGCTGCCAACACGGAACTGCGATGCCCAGAATGACAATTGCTTCATTGCTTCAAAGTCAATTGCATGGCACAGCTGGACAGAAAGGCATGCATACACTCGTGCCCTCTGTCAACTTCTACTTTCAGCTTTCACTAACCTCAAAATCAATGTTGACAGGGAATTGGATGTAACGTTCTTGTCCAAATAATTTCTACCGTAAACATGAGTTGCTTGGTGGCCGTTCTTCAGGGCGCGGCGCCGAATGCCTCTAGGCTGGAGAGCACGCCCAGCCGAATGAAGGATCAAAATCCTGTCTCCAGCTCGTTAGATACGAAGCGGGTGTGAAGCTTCTAGATAAGGCTACACTCATCGGCGCATCTCTGCATTTATGTGCCTTCGCGGTCACAGGACCTGCCCTGGCATGCTGTTGGCCAGCCAAGCTCGAGATATTTGCTGAGCCCGGGCTTGCAGGGCTGGTATGCGCTTCTTGGCAGCAGTATGAACCTCCCTCGTATAGATCCCTATCTAATTGGAGGCCCCAATGCAAAGTCCCAAAACAACTTCATTGAATAAAGGACCATGCTAGAAATCCGGTATTGCTCGTGTTTGTTCCTTGCAGCCACTGCCATCTTATACCATGGATCAGGCCAATCTCTCGATGTGACCTCCTGTCACAGATTCTGAGGGCCTGCTATGAACTGAGCCGGGGCTTGAAGAAGTTATAAATAAGAGGTCGTTTCCCATCCTCCAAAGCTGTTCCTGGATCGCAAGCAAGCACTTCTCAATATTCACTACGCTTATTCTAAATCTTCTTGACCCGCGAGTTTCTCGGCACCCAAATCTCTCAAAAGTCCATTATCACCAACAAAATGCGCTCAGCCCTCTACTTCCTTACGGCTTTGCTCGCCGCTGGGTCTGCTGTCGCCACTGCTATCCCCTCTCCTGACGATGCAGGAGGAGAGGACCTACAGGTTGTCACCCTCACCGAGGCCGACCTGGAACCAATCTCTGAAGGAGGTATGTAGATGAACCACTTTGACACACCAGATACACATTCACTCCAAACTTCTTAAAAAAATTTCCATCACCCCTGTTTTTACGTAAATAAGCTAAAAAAAAATTACACCAATTCGTGGAAAAATTAGACCTTGACAAACGTGGATGGCGCGACTGCAAACCAGTAGTCTGCAAGAACAAAAGGCGAACAGACTGCTATAGAGTCAACACCAAGGCGGGCACCTGCGTCAACCTGGTGTCCTCGAACGGGAAACCATTCGTCGCTGCCTCGTCTTCTGGCAGCTGCATGTGCACAGCCTATTCAAGGAAGGGATGCCCCATCTGGAGTGGAGATACTTATGGCTGGACCGGTGCCGCAGTCTTCAAATTCAAAGCGAAGAGTCTCAAATGCTACATCTATTAAGTTTGGGGAGGGACGGGTGGTGGATGTATATATGCAGTTGCTCTTTTGCTATTTTGAACTCTTTTCCTCACGTATAGTCAGTCATTTTCGCCCTTACTATATGATTTGAGCGTTGAGATTTTATTTTACTTCTCTTTTTTGGGTGGATTTTGCTCCCGTGGACAGAGGTGAAGTGTACCAAGTACTTGTAGAGGCGTAATTATAAGCAGGTGAATCACATGCTGAATAAAAATTGGGCACTAAGATACCTATCAATGAGACCTACAACCTCCCGGGATCTTTGCACTTCGTGTTCGTTTACAGTAATTGACAGTAATAAGAGGAACGCTAGCGGCTAACCCGCCTCTGCCATTCAATGATTTGTAGTCGTTTAAAAACCCCTTGAGAAAAGTAGGGTTAAATGGTAGTGGTATCCCTTGAGTTACGAAGGAGATGGGGAGATGGGGAGATGGGAGAGACACAAAAATATATAAGCGGACGGAACTCCCTCCCTGGCTTCCTTTACTTAAAGCCTTCCAGCTGTGAGGTGGTGGATGTCTTTTTTTAGTTCCCTCGGAGCGTCTAAATGTTGCATGGAGCAAGGGTGGTCGTTTAGAAACGAATGCCCCCAGTTATTAATCTCTACATCGGTTATCTAGAAAGACTAAAGTCTTGACTTTATAGATGTATGATATTGCGAAATCTCCAGAGGCGATAAAACGAAAAAAGAAACAGCTAAATTCCGTTGTCACGGTTCAGCCAAACCGCGCACCAAACCAGGAATAAATTTACTTTGACAGGTCAATTTGCGTGTGTACGAATCTCGGGATAAAACTCAATCTTCTTCGGCCTTAGAAAGGTATTCGACAAAACGGAGTAAAATTGAAATAGGAGTAGAAGGACTCTGAATGATGCTGATTTTGGGTCTGTTCAGTTATATGTATAATAAAAGATTATAGTAGGTAGTTCGCAAAGAAAAGAAAAGAAGAAAAGAAGGCAGTAGATATTTTAGTCAACAAAGTCAAGCCGGAGCGCGTGTCGATGAAAGTAAAAAGGAGATAGATGAGAAAACACCGAAACGCCAAACATCCGACTATGTTATATATTAAAAAAAAATGACCAGCTGGGAGATAAAAGTGAACAAAAGGTTCGGAAACGGGATGGAGTTCAGGGAGGAGAGCAAACATGCACACCTTCAGTAGTACTGTAAGTTGGAGGGAAAATGGAGGAAAAGAGAAGCACAAAAGGTGAAAAGGGGACCGATACGTCAACGACGGCACCAAATAGCAGTAAAGGGAAGAATGGTATAGTGTCATGAAAGAAAACAATAATGCAAAAGAAATCTTTGCGCCAACCCACGGACACCTACTCCCTTGACAAAGATTTGGTGTTGATATCGACCAAGCCAGCTCAAACACGGGTAACACGATAATTTTAATCGGACGGGTAGCCCAATGCCGACGATGAATGAACTAGTACAAGGCATGGCTAAAACCGGGGAGTTAGACAAACATCGAGACCAAAAAAGATGCAAAGTTCATGCATCATCCCGAAGATCGGCCGTGTCGGGCCAAAGACTTATAAAACTCCGGCACGGACCTAGCGGAATTCGATGGCCCCAAAACACCCCTTGTTATCCACGTGCTTAAGCTCAAGCTGCTGGTATCTGTAGAAGACAAAAAGAAAACATCGTAGTTAGCAAATTTGTTTTCCAGGCCCTGACTCTATTTGGAAATTTCCGGGGCATGGAAAAACACCGAAACAAAAGGTACGTACTTCTCGCTCTTTGCGTGGAAGTATATCCCACTGACCGTCCCTTCCACTTGATTAAAACAGATATAGTAAAATCCCTCAAAACTCGCGCCTGAGATGGTTTTAACACGGTGGTCTGGTACGAGGAAATACTCTTTCCACCTCATGAAGATGTCCGGATGCTGCATAAAATTCTTATATGTGAATTCCGACTTCCTGGCCGACCTTGCTAGCGGTCGCCAGGAGGGGAACCGGGCCCAGTGATTCAGGTCGGTTTTATCAGTAGCACCCCACGATTGATGTTTGGTTAGGAACGTGTATTTTGTGCCGATTATCTCTGCTTCGAAGTAGGTGGTGAGGGTTGGGTGGTCTTCGGTAAGCCCTAGAGTTTCGGGAGCTCTGGTTAGATATCTCTCAAGCCAAGTAACCTTGGAAGTTTCGACACCAGGACATACCTTGAATCCGGAGGTATCCACATAGATATGATTCTGCCATATCAACATGTTTGATTTCAACGTCCACATTGTATACCTGGCGGTCTGACTGCTGTGTTCCGACGAACTTGCTGCCCGCTCTGAGAAAGGACGAACAGTGACTGGGGAGAAGCTTTTGAAAATTATACAGATTAGCTGAGGTATCACAGGAGGAGTTTACGGAGAGTTCTACGCACTCTAACATTGGAATAATCGTAGTCCATGGATGGGATCGTGGTGGATGAGGAGGGTGAAGTTGGGTAGGTCTGGGCCGAAGAAGCTCCCTCAGCCGACGACACGCTGGCCGCGGGGCTTGGCGACTCCATCCCAACATCATCGTCTGTTGAATCCATTTTCTCGGAAGATGCCTGCGAGGATATCTCGGTGGCCCGGGGGTGGGAAGGGGCAATTTGCGAATGTGAATTTAGCGGCAGGTCTACTTGCGCCTGCGCCGGGCGTTGTACGATGGCCGGAGTTGCATCATCGTCAGCATTGGGCACAATGCACTCCTCCGACAATGCTCTCCAGGTGGCGATCCTGTCAGTCTCCGGGGGGCAGCTGGTATGGGAAGATGTAGAGGCGTCCACAGGATATAAGGTGGAGGTCGACTGAGGATTGCTGCTAGGGGTCGGCATGGGGGATAAAATGAAATATTGATCACAAGAGCGAAGAAGGCATTAAAAAGAACGCATCGGGTAGAAACAACACAGCATCCAGATCAAGACTGACTAACCCAGTAGTAAAAAGGTGCAGAGAGTGAGGAGATAGAATTGGATTTCAGCGACAACGCCAGATGTGCATTCAGAGCATATCGTACTATGGAGTTGACACAGCAAGCAAGCAAGCGGTCCAGATTAGTGAGTTGGTTGTTGCCGAGAGTTCGAGCGACGATTGCCCAGACCGGCTAGGGTCATGCGATCGCGGGGAAGCATTAAGGTTATGTTATATCAAAGGCGTGCTACATTCATATTTCTACAGCAAAATAATTACACTTTCGGCCCAGAGGGATGGTATGCTGGTCAAATCAGCGAAGAGCGCGTTTTTGCTTCATCTTTGGAGGTGTTAATTTACAAAGAAAGCCTTAAAATGTATTAAAAAAAGAATAGCGGACAATCCCTCACAATTTCAACGCCACGCCAGTACCTAGCCGAATAGAATAAATAAGAAAGATCATGCCGTTCAATTTTCTTTTTTTCCCTTTGTTAGTTCGACATCAATTGGAAATATTTAAATAGGTTTGATCTGTAAAGAATATTAGCTCCTATATTTCTTGGAAGAGAAATTTCGTATCCACTTGCCTTGAAATGTAAGGAGATCAGTGAGAATACCAGAGCCTTAAGGTCCTGGACAAGATAGTAGAATACCCGCAATCCTTCGGGGTCAGCCGACTCGGTGACATCGACGAGGGATCCTATTTTCGCGGTCTGATCGCAGTCAGTGAACGCACTTACTTGTGTTCATGAGGTCGCAACCGCTGCAATACAGGCCTCATTACCTCAAAAGAAATATGCTCATTCCCCAGCCTGATTTCCAGCTCCTGTCGTCCATCCTTGTTCTTCTGGGGCCATTTCGAATCATCTTCCCTGTATAGTTGTTAAAAGTCAAAGGAAAGCACTTGGGAGCAGTTTTGTCTGTCGTACTTCATAATTTCACTTTCTTTGATAATGCGCTTGATTTCAGCGATCATCAGGGCGCTGACGCACACTGTTATGGCTTGCTTAGCTAGGTTTCCGATCTAGGTGGGGGGGATCCGAACATACTCTCTTTGCGGATCAGGGAGTCATTTCGATAGTTGGAGTTGTTCGCATACCGGGCAGACGCACTGCGGCCGTCTCCGAGAGATCGAAAATCAAATTCTAGCGACTATGTAAGTAAACGGTAGGTCGCTAGCGAAGCTGTGTAGCTTTTCTCACCTAGGAACTCATGTCCAAACCGCCCAGAATGACCTGAGCTGGACGCGGATTGTCAGCAGCTGAGGCGACCTGGGCCATAGAGAGTATTCTTACTAGTAGCGAACGTAGAAAGTCTCATTCGAGTTTGCCATATTCGCTCCAGTCTTCCTCTAGCAAAAGCGTGGTGGTATCTGGTTGCTCAATTCGGTTTTACCCAGCCCGCAGAGAGGAGACTTCGACTGAAGTGGTTGCAGCCTGCTTAGTCATTCACACACTGGCCCCCGTAGCCGCAACCTTCTTCCAAATGGACAGGGTGGACATTGGCCCAGCACCGCGAAGATATATCAGTTCCCCTATCCACTCTCCTCCAATTGCCCTGCACCGGCGCAGATGATTGTTCGGACTAAGGCGGGGACCAGGCACATTGTCACGATTTCCTATCCAGGCTCTACTTCGCCAACTCGTCGCCGTATGTTTTCCTGAGCCTCCCTAGAACTAACGGGAACGCCCAGCTGACATTCTCCCCGCCAGCCTCACCCTGACTTGGTCCGCATATATAGATACCGCCTTTCCAGCCTGACTGTCTGTCGATTAGCAAGCCGCAGCGGAGAACAGCAAAAATGGCGTCGTATCTGGAAAATGCGTACAGCTTGGTGCATCAGGACAATACTGCTGACCAACCTACCCTGCAAGACCTGAAGACGCAGCTGGAGAAAGGAACAGATGAATCCAAAATAGACACCATGAGACGGATATTGGTTGTGATGTTGAACGGAGACCCGATGCCCCAACTTCTTATGCATATCATTCGCTTCGTCATGCCATCCAGGAGCAAGACGCTGAAGAAACTACTCTACTTCTACTACGAGATCTGCCCGAAGCTGGATAGCAATGGCAAATTGAAGCAGGAGATGATCTTAGTCTGGTATGATATTGGACCATGCCTCGCAATGTTTTATATAGGATATTAACAAACGACTACCCTGCATAGTAACGGCATCCGGAATGACCTACAGCATCCTAACGAATATATCCGCGGCAACACGCTCCGGTTCCTGTGCAAACTTAAAGAACCCGAACTCCTTGAACCACTCCTGTCCTCTACGCGTTCCTGCTTAGATCATCGACATGCATACGTGCGGAAAAATGCTGTTTGGGCGGTTGCCTCCATATTCCAACACTCCGAGTCTCTGATTCCCGATGCTCCAGAACTCATCCAGACGTTTTTGGCATCAGAGACTGACCACACCTGCAAACGCAACGCTTTTGCCGCGCTTCATACTGTCAGCCATCAAAAGGCACTAGAGTATCTTAACTCTACTTTTGACAGTGTACCAAACGCAGATGAATTACTTCAGCTCGTCGAACTAGAATTTATCAGAAAGGATGCAATCCAAAATACCCAGAACAAGGTTGGTGCCCCCTTTTATTGAAAATTTTCGTGGGCTAATAAAGTTATGTAGGCCAAATATCTCCGACTGATTTTCGATCTCTTGGAGGCAGGGGCTAGTACCGTTGTTTATGAAGCAGCAACATCGCTCACGGCACTCACGAGCAATCCGGTAGCGGTCAAGGCAGCTGCCTCAAAATTAATCGAGTTGAGCATCAAAGAGGCTGATAACAATGTGAAGCTGATTGTGCTCGACAGAGTCGACCAGCTGCGGATACGGAATGAAGGCGTGCTAGATGACCTCACAATGGAAATTCTGCGAGTTCTATCAAGTCCAGATATCGATGTTCGTCGAAAAGCGTTGGGCATTGCAATGGAAATGGTGTCTAGCAAAAACGTCGAAGAAATCGTCATGCTCTTGAAGAAGGAACTGGCTAAAACGGTTGACGAACAATATGAAAAGGTATTAACAACCAACTTTAACTCATATTTCCAATTGAATATCGCAGTTTAACTAACATACTACAGAACAACGAATACCGACAACTACTTATCCAATCGATACATCAGTGTGCGATTAAATTTTCTGAAATTGCAGCCAGCGTTGTTGATCTTCTCATGGACTTCATCGTTGATTTTAACAACAATTCTGCTGTCGATGTGATCTCTTTCGTCAAGGAAGTAGTTGAGAAGTTTCCTAAGCTGCGAGCGTCCATTATCGAGCGTCTAGTATCCACACTCAGCGAGGTACGGGCAGGCAAAGTCTATCGGGGTGTTCTGTGGGTAATTGGAGAATACTCCCTTGAAGCCAACGATATTAGAGAAGCTTGGAAGCGCATTAGGGCTAGCCTCGGAGAAATTCCGATTTTGGCTTCTGAGCAACGCTTACTCGACGACGTTCCCAAAGAAAACGGTCCGCCGAAGGACCAAGTGAACGGCCATCCCAAGCCATCTGCTCCAACAGGTTCGAGGAAGGTATTAGCAGACGGCACATATGCTACTGAGAGCGCACTTACCAGCCAGTCCAGTGAGGCTGCCAGATTAGAAGCAGTCAAAGCAGCACAGAAACCCCCGCTCCGACAGCTTATCCTCGATGGTGATTATTTCCTTGCCACTGTCTTGTCATCGACCCTGACAAAACTGGTCATGAGACATTCTGAGGTCTCCCAAGATTCCGCTCGTACCAATGCTCTTCGCGCTGAAGCAATGCTCATCATGATCTCGATAATTCGGGTCGGCCAATCTCAATTTGTCAAAGCCCATATCGACGAGGACTCCGTGGACAGAATCATGTCCTGTGTTCGATCCCTTGCTGAGTTTGCCCAGCACAAGGAATTAGAAACGACTTTCCTTGAAGATACAAGACAGGCGTTCCGCGCTATGGTTCAGGTCGAAGAAAAGAAGCGCGCAGCCAAAGAAGCAGACGAGAAAGCCAAGGCGGCTGTCCAAGTCGACGACACAATCCCCATCCGCCAGCTCGCTAAGAAATCTACCGAAGAAGGAGCTGACGAAATTGAACTTGATCTTGCCAAGGCCACTGGTGGTGACTCCACTTATGAAGACCTATCATCTAAGCTCAGTCGGGTTGTACAACTAACTGGGTTCTCCGACCCAGTCTACGCTGAAGCGTATGTCAAAGTTCACCAGTTCGACATAGTTTTGGACGTCCTGCTCGTCAATCAAACGACAGAGACCCTGCAAAACTTGTCGGTAGAGTTTGCAACCCTTGGAGACCTCAAGGTGGTTGAGCGCCCGACAACGCAGAACCTCGGCCCACATGATTTCCTAAACGTACAAGCAACCGTGAAGGTTTCATCGACAGATACTGGCGTGATTTTTGGAAACGTAGTCTACGATGGAGCTAGCTCGACGGAAACCCATGTGGTCATCCTGAACGACGTTAAAGCAGATATCATGGACTATATACACCCAGCTCACTGCACTGAAACCCAATTCCGTACGATGTGGACAGAATTCGAATGGGAAAACAAAGTTAATATCAACTCCAAGGCGAAATCGCTGAGAGAGTTCCTTCACCAACTTATGGAGAGCACAAACATGAGCTGTTTGACACCAGAGGCATCGCTTGAAGGGGACTGTCAATTCCTGAGCGCCAATCTTTATGCCCGAAGCGTCTTCGGTAAGTTTTTTTTTTTTTTTTTTTTTTTTTTTTTTTTTTTTTAATTCACATCTCTTCATTTTTTTCGCCCCATCCCTTTTTTAGTCTCCATAACTTGAGGACCCTCAACTAACAATATTGTTTTATTGTTCTTCTAGGCGAGGATGCGCTTGCAAATCTCAGCATCGAGAAACAAGGCGAGGACGGGCCGATTACTGGGTTTGTACGGATCCGAAGTCGGTCACAAGGGCTGGCGTTGAGTTTGGGGTCTCTCAAAGGTCTAAAGGCCAATGCTGTTTAATAATGACCAAAAGGATGTTTTTATATTTCTCGTCAAGTTGCAACTCTTCACTTAAACTAGCGGCTTTCTTCCCCTTTGTTTTCTTTTATTGCTTTTTTTCTTCTTTAAGTGTCCAATCTTGTCAGTACCTATCTTCTCTTCCTCTCTTTCTTGCTACTTACTTAACGGCAATTACTATTTGTTTTCTTTTTCCTCACGTTTTGCTCCGAGGTATCGTACTTACAATGTTGTGCGCCTCTTTGGAAGCGTGATACCAGAATGTGCATGTGTGTGCGGGTGTCTCCAAAATCTTCCTCTGATATAACTGGCATCATCCTTGTCCAATGTCGAATATTAATATTAATATTTTTATTTTCGACTCCTCTTATTCGTCTCATTCCACCCCTTCATATTTATTTTATTGGAAGAATATAAAACCACAACAGGGAGGGAATTTTTATACCATCATTATCATTAGGTGGAAGATAGCTCGAGGAAAACCAAAAGCAATAGAGGATAAAAAATGGAAATTATATAACGATATCAGACGGGAGGGAGTCTTTTCAGATGGTCCTAATTAGTGCTCTATTCCACAACACATACGGGCTGGCCATCGGATCTCTTATAGTGCGCGGTCGGGTCGTTCGTCTGTACAGTACAACAACCTGCCAGACAGGAATGCCGACAATTTCCTTTTCGGGAAGTATTCGGCGAAATCTTGGTCTATAGTTATTGTATGCCCTTAAAAATCTGGTTTGGCTGTGATTTACTCCTGGTAAAAAGGATACAGCCCGATTGCTATTCGAGAGCGATAGTTATAATTTACCTAGGTATCGCCGCATGTTGTTGAAGACACATGCAAGGCTAATGACCATCGCATGCGGCAACTTCTGGCTTGGAGATGACATAATCGAAATGCCAAAGTGCCGAACAATCAATTCAACTTTCTATATCTTTTCTTTTTCTACCAACCGCTATTCTTCCAATCAGGACAACCATCGCCAAACCAACCCCAGTGTTAGTGCCGGGTTAATCGCGGTACTTTTGTTCCTTGCGCAGTAAGCACATGCTTACCAAGTCCAAGCCCCTGCCTGGCCTTGGGATTCTCAGGCTTGTCTCGGTGTCTCCCTGGATATATAAACATGCCGCGCTCCCGCAGCTTATCCGGCTGAGCTCCTCCGTACAGACTAGTGATATCGCAGACTGAAACAGGCGCAAACTGGGCCCTACCTAGTAGCCGGTACCGTCGGAAAGGCTGTGGACTACCTTTATCAGTTTTCTCCTCGACGCGCTACCATTCGTGCCAGCCGACTACAATCCATCCCATCGCCCCCTTCCACTCTCTCCTCTTACTCCTTATTACTCATTGTTTAGAGCATCCCTATCGACAGACTTCCCTCTTTGCCAAATACTCTCATAATGCTAGCGCAATCTATTAAGCTATGACTATTGGCGCCCCCGTTCTCGATGCGGGCCCTTCCGGCAACAAGGGGACACAGTCAGTCGTGGAGGACGTCCTCCATCCCAACTCAGACAGCAGCGCAACGCTGGAGGTGGGGAAAACTGCCCTCTTGACTCTGGCAGCTGATGCGATTATTGTTACAGGTAAGTTAACGTGCATCCTAGGGTGCTAGATACCCGGATCCCAAGAAATTTTGCGAGCAGTGCTTTGACATAGTGGGCAACGTTTTCTTTGTAGATGAAGGGCTGAGGTCAAAGTCACAACGCCGTTGCTGCAGTTTTCCTATTCCTCGTACGATTTACCACTCTCCCAGGTTTTTAGATTCTCAGGTTTCTTCAATTTTTCTTTTCAATTTCGGTATTTATTCTGTCTGACTTCTCTCCTCCTTTGAAGAGTCTTCAGGAACACTGACGACGCGATCTATTCCGTATACCAATATCCTCTGGGCTGAGGTTTCTCATGACTATATTACAATTGAATATGCCCACCAAGTTACTAACACAGATGTCGCCCTCCGTTCAGTATATTTTCCAGTCAGCCTCGAGCAGAAATCAAAAGCCGAAACGTGGACTGAGAAACTTCTCGACTTAGCGTACGGCAAAGCGCAGCGGCAGAAACGGATTAAAGTCCTCATAAACCCCTTTGGTGGAAAAGGTCGCGCTGCAAAATATTACTATAAACACGTAAAGCCCATTTTCGCTGCTGCGAAGTGCCGAGTGGATGCCGAATTGACAAATTACCGAGGACACGCAGTCGACATAGTGGAGAAACTTGATGTCGATGCATATGACGTTATCGCGACTTGTTCGGGAGACGGCATACCTTACGAGGTGTTCAATGGCCTAGCCAAGAAACCAAATGCAAGCGAAGCTCTGCGGAAAATCGCTGTAGCAAACCTACCGTGCGGATCAGGGAACGCAATGAGCTGGAATCTCAATGGAACAGGTAGTGCCAGTCTTGCGGCTCTGTGGATTGTCAAGGGTTTGAGAACGCCCCTTGATTTAGTATCCATCACTCAAGGCGATAAACGCACAGTGTCGTTTTTATCTCAGTCCTTTGGTATTGTAGCTGAATCAGACCTGGGAACCGAAAATATCCGGTGGATGGGCCAAGCGCGCTTCACATACGGATTCCTAGTACGACTTTTTGGGAAAACAGTCTATCCCTGCGACCTGGCTGTTAAGGTTGAACTCGACAATAAAGAACAGATCAAAGATCACTACCGCGCCGGTTCAGAAAGAAAAAGCTTTGAGCAATTACGCGGTGAAGAATCATCAGACTGTGTCGGTCTCCCACCCCTCCGCTATGGCACCGTAAACGATCCACTCCCCGAAGGCTGGACTCTGGTACCACACGACAAACTGGGAAATTTCTACGCAGGAAACATGGCATACATGGCTGCGGACGCCAACTTCTTCCCTACCGCTCTCCCCAACGATGGGTGTATGGACCTCATCACAATTAATGGCGATATCAGTCGAAGGACTGCTCTTCAAATGCTTATGGCTGTTGACAATGGCACACTCTTCGATATGCCCGAGGTCAATGTGCGGAAAGTTACAGCCTACAGAATCATCCCCAGAGACCGGAAGGATGGATATATCAGCATTGATGGGGAGCGGGTACCGTTTGAACCATTTCAGGCGGAAGTTCATAGGGGCCTTGGAACCGTACTATCCAGATCTGGGTACAGATATGAGACTATCGGTTTGAAGTGAGGACGATCAGTGAAATTCCAAGATTTTCATCGATTTTTCTCTTAACTTTTTTTTATCCCTTTCCTTTCACTTTCCCTTTTCTTCCCCCTGAGATAATGCTGTTTCTACATATCCCCCCTTAGGGATCTTATCTTTATTCTGCGATACCTTATCCTTTTTTGTATTCCCCCAATGCGATGCATTAGACTATGGGTTTGAGTTTTCTATATGGTCTTTTGTTGTGATAAAACATCCATTCCTTTTTTCCTAATATTTTTCCTCCTTGGCTACTTCACTTCCCTTCTTCTCACCGATGTTCACCAAAGTTACCCTTATTCACTCCACCAATCCCTCAGCCAAACACCCCTTTTAGAAACAGGATCGTTCCGTCCTTCCTTCTCCTTCTCCTTCTCATTCTTTTCCAATTTTCATTTCATTTATATAAGCATTCTGTACACTGCGTCCCATTCTTTGCATTTCTTTTTTCTCTTAGCTGTGGATAAACACCTAGCGATAAGCACAGGCTTTTTTTCAAATTCTTTTTTCATGAAGAGTGAATTGTACGGGATGGTAGGATTCGTTTCTCAATAGGTTTATTGAGTGTGGTGGTACACTTCTTTTCCCTTTTTTCGCAGCGCGATTTTTTCCTTTTCTTCGAGATGGCATTTCACACACCCCTACCCTCCCCGGGGAACCGGGCGAGGAATCTATCTGCCCAAACTACATTAGTTGAAAGACATGGGCTAGTGCTCTTGTTCTCGCATGTATCTAATGCTCTTCTATGTATATATTCTTTACATGACTAGAACATCCATACATGCTCATTCATGGGGCTGGGTAGTGGATACAGATAGGAAATGCGAAATAACTAACTAACCCCTTCTATCATGGCAAAGGGGGTTACCTAGTCACATTTAACACTACAAAAGGTCTAAAGAACAAGGCCAAATAAACACCGGCAAATGAATGATTCAGAATAATAGAAAGGGGAAAAAAAAAAAAATCACCCATCAATGCCTCCCCATTCTTCCTCATCGTTGTCGTCGTCGTCGTCGTCGTCATCGTCATCCTTCTTCTCCCTCACCCCCCACTCCACCAACCTCTCATCATCTAATACCTCCCCAGCCCGCTTTCTAACCAGCTTCGAAATGCTCTTCCGCTGAAGCCCAACAATCGGACGAAGAAGTAACTCCATCGGCACCCCCTGTTTCAACCGCTTCTTCGTCTTCTTCTCCTTCGTACCATCATTATCCCGCCCCTCAGCATCATCATCATCATTGCCATCCTCCTCAGTGTCCCCCTCAACCTCAACAACAGCAACCTTCTCAATCTCATCCAGCCAAATATCCAATAAATGATACCGAAGCCCATCGGGACCCTTATGCATTCGCACAGCAGGGTCCTCGGCGCCATCGTCACCAGCCGGGTCAAAATTAATAGGACACAGCGGGCCCTCCTCCAGCATATCAAGGTATATCCCTAGCTCCTTCCAGACCCCCGAGTCACCCGACTCAGCATCCGCCTCCCCATTTTCATCCACCTCCCCACCCCTCTTTCGCTTCCCTAGACTCCCTTTCTTCTTGCCAGCGCTCTTCTCTTTCCCTGTCCCGTTCCCCTTCCCGTTCCCCTGCCCCTCCTTCGCTTCCCCCTCTACCCCCGCCAGCCCCTTCTTCAAAAACACATCAAACGCAACACCCACATAACACCGTATCAGATAGAGATATTTATCCAGCCGCAGTCTATCCAGCGAGTGGAAGTCACGCGACATGGTTATCCAGAATGCGCGCAAGAATGGTTGGAGGGTTTGTTCAGGGAGAGAGGGGACGAGGGCGTAGGAAAGGGAGCGGGAGAGGGATTGTTGGGTGAGAGGGCGATCGGAGTGGTAGAAGCCTGTTGAAAAGGGATTTCATATTTTTGGTTAGTAATTGGGTGGATTGGGGTTGGCGGGTTTTTTCATTTGGCGTTCTCAATTTTGGAAGACCCGGAGGGGGAGGAAAAGTCCGAAGGGGGCGCATACAGTAAAATAACCCCTTCCATATCTTCAATAGCTCGACAAGTTGCAGGCCTATCCGGCTTTGAATGAAGCGGGTTAGGGATTCAAGGGCCTTGTCACGGGTTCGTTTATCTGGAGAGACGAGTGACGAGAGTTAGTCTTTCTGATCTCTCGTAGATTTGATTCGCACAGTATGTGCTTAGAAAAAAAAAAGAAAAGAAAAAGAAAAAGAAAAAAAAAAAAAAAAAAAAATCGAAAGATACAATTGGGGATTCCCTCTTACAAGGTCGCATTTAGATAAATGCATTAAAAATTCAAGTCAACATACCACTGGAAGCTAACTCCCGTACGAACGGAGTTTGCGCGATTTTATCCATCCCGACTTATAAAACTGAAAAGGAGAAGAAGACGAAAAAGAAGCGGCGCAAAACGACAACTCCCCTGCTGCTCTCACTCCGCCTTCTTCGAAGATACAGAATATACCAGTGAAAAATAAAGTAATAAAACCTGAAGGAGAGCGAAAGATGAGATGGAAAATATGGTCCGCGCGGCGCACAACTGGAACGGCTATATATAAGTCGCGGAGTATTATATGTCTCCCCGGGGTATTCTCGTAGCTCTTTGCTGCTTCGATTGAGGGCGTGGTCGATGCGTTGTATTGGGGCAATCAATTGATTCACAACTCCTCCTCCTACATATCAGTATTGGAGCCGTTATATATGTATATATATATATATGTATTTTTCTACCACGGCCTGAGGTAGCTAAATTTTTTTATTTTTTCGATATTGGTTGACTGTTTGCTCTGTTTGCTGCGCCTGTCTTGGCGTTATAGTCCTTGAGTTGATCGGAAGTATGGAGGACAGAATACAAACCTAGCTAAAAAGAAAATTATAATATATTCAGGGGAAATGAAAAGAATATCTTGAAGCGGGAGGAAGAAAAGACGGAAAAACAAAGAAGGGGAAAAAAAAAAAAAAAAGAAGGAAAAAGAGAAGGAAAGGTCTCACTGGGATTCGAACCCAGGTTATCGGAAGTTTTGATATGGTCGTCAAAATCCGATGTCATAACCACTAGACCATGAAACCGTCGGAACAACTGCTGGACGCTAGTCCCAATAGTTTAAGTATCATTATTCACACCATGATATATATCACAGGTTATGAATGCTTAGATGTTTTTTTTAATCGTACGTATTATTATTGATGTATGTGGGAATGGTTTGGGAGGCAAAAGTAAACGCCCTGTTGCGAGGGTCGGAAATTCAATAACAGACTGTACAAGTTTGGGCAAAGACATGCGTAGAGGAGTAGAAATGAATTGAAAAAATTTGACATATGTGCCCCCAAAAAAGGGTGCGACAATTACCCGGATCATGGTGAAGCATTTTATATACTGATCAGAGAGAAAAAAGGTAAAAAGCAACAAAGAATAAAAAAAAGAGGGAGGGCCGGAGAAATCATTTAGCTGAAGCATGGGGTTATTATTGTGCAGTATCAAACAAACTTTGATTAGAAAAGGGATGGGAAGGAACAGGGGTAGAAGCATTATATGTCGAATATGGCAAAGTACTAGGTCATATCGCAATTGGAAGAGGAAGAAAGTAAACGATGGGAAAAGCTGATGGCATATATCATGGGCAATCGAAATTTGTTCTTGCGTTGCCGTCGGAGCGGAATAAAAACTCAGAAACGCTGCGCAGAATATAGGGAATAATATTTGAAACTCGTAATGAAAGGAGGCCGGAGGACGAAAAAGGAGAAAGACAGAAACAACCCCACCAGTAAACAGAGACGATTGATCAGAAATGACGATGAAGAAGGCTAGAAAATTCCCAAGTAAATGATGTTCCTCCCACTAGACATTAACTCCAGTTCCCCTGCCTCGCGATAAGACGAAAAAATTAGGAAAAGCGAACAGCATAGAAAACTTTCGTTAAAAAAAAAAAAAGAAAAGAAAAAAGACAAAAAAAAAGGCACCATTGAAAATATGGTGAGGAGACGGATTATGGTGTTGGTTCGCAAAGTTGGGAGTAATAGTGATTGAGGTCCATGAGGGCAGGTTGTGTGCGGAAATTGGATGATATAGTTCCGCTCGGGAAGAAAGAAAAAGGTGAAGAAAAATGTCAGCTTCGCGAGCTTATAACGACCAGCGCATTTACGACGTGGCCTTCTCTCCAGCCCTGAGATAATAAGCTCTCTTGTTCTTTGAGAATCTTGCCGAGGTATGCTATTCGGACGCGATGTTTGCCGGCAATCTGTGTATATGAAAGCGGTGGTAAAAAAAGGTCAGCTCAAAAACCTTCACATACAATAATAAACAATATATTGCCAAGGTCTCCAGTAAAATGAAACGGAAAAGTTTGGTGGAGGAAAAACGGGTACATACCCCAGCCTCAGTCTGGATTCTACGCGCCAACGTCCCCACCGTTTGATTCTTCCCAATCATAACCGTCAAATCGGGACCTCCTCGATCACTTAACCTCGCAGATATTTTTATAAGGTCCCGTTCACTAACCTTCCCCTTCTCCTCGCGCCGCCTCTCAATGTCATCCACTGTGTCATCATCCGAATCTACATCAACAGCGAGTTTATTATGTTCAACACCCTCTGCGCCAAGCTCGGCAGTCGTAGCACATATCGTATTAACATCATTTGCCTCCGCAACTTCCTCAATAACATTAACCGGGTCCATGGCAATGGGTTCTGGAATCCTGTATAAAACACCGCTCTCGTCGTAGCAGCCATCACACAGGTCGCCTGTCGGGACGGTAATCCCTGCCGCATCCAAGATGCCCTGCGCGGTGGGCATATCCCCCGCCCGCACAAGCGAGGTAGCTGTTTTCAGCGCGGCCCACACTTCCGGCCTTCCAGTCACGCGCGTTTCAAAAAACAGTTCACGTTCGCGGGCGAGTTGTTCCCGGGTCCATTCGCGGCGGGTGCTTCGCCATATATGTGGCTGTACCACCTGGTTATAGTGCACGTCCAGAGGGACGCCAGCTAGGGCTCGTCGGTGTCGACCCGATCGCGAGGTTGTGGAACGATTGTGATGGCTCTGGGCAGCTTCGTCGGTGGTCGTGCGATTGAGGATGGGATGCGTAGGGCTTGTGGGGGTGGGGGATTCGTCAGACTCTCCTATCGTAGTAGGTTAGTATGTGGCCTCTGACGCTGTGTTGGGCGCGGTAGAGAAGTTTCCTAACCTCGAGAGGAGGAGGATAAGCAGCAGCCCTAGATAAGAAGCACTGAGGTTAGCGATTAGCTGTTTACTATGCTAGACAGACGTACGAAAACGCAGAAGCTTGATATAGATAGGTAATTCGTAGTGGTGATAACAACAGCAGCAGATACACAGCAGTCAGGCTGCGGCGACGGGGTAGAAGGTTGGGTGAGCAGACGAACACCAAAGCGCTTGTAAAGAAATAAATGCTTAACAAGGGGTTCTCAGAGGGACAGAAGGAAGGGCAAGTATCTAGCTACTGGATGGGTTTTCTCCACTCGCTGGAGGGTGTAGTCGAAGCTTGGAAGACAGCTCCTGGAGCTTGTCTATATATATAAGGAGTTATATTGTACTGCACCTACCATCGTGCATGGTGCACAGCCATGTACAGGCTGTAGCCAATATCCCTACAGGGCCAAATCCGAGACAGAATGAGGCCAGATAGAAGAACAGGAGGAAAGGCGAGGAGAGCTGTGGTGGGATGGAGGTGGAGGAGTGATGGTAGTAGAAATCGCAGAAAGGAGCACGAGATGACGAAAAAGCGGAGGTTATTTAGGCGAACTATTTACTAATAAGTTTCATAACTAAGACTTTAGCACAGCCAGGCTGAAGTAAATAGTTTGCAGACAACCAAATCAATAATAATCAATCAATCCAGTTTAGTAGAGGCAAATAAAAACACAACAGCCAGCAGACCACAGTGATCGGATCGTTACTGGTTGGCTTATTCTGTTTATATTTAGATTATATGATTTCATGCTGCAGGGTCTGTCTACGAGGCAAATAATAATAATAATAATAATATGCTTCGATTGCTCCTAAAAAGTGACAATAGCTGAGAGGAAGATCTAGACTCATGAGATAATCAACCCAAATAACTTTGTTTTTATACCGAGTTGCTTCCCTTGATTCATAATAAGGCAACGCAGCTAAATTGGAAGAGGAACGCAGGACGTCTCAACTTAGGGAAAAAAAAAAAAAAAAAAGTATTCAAATTAATCAAGTTACATAAATATCAGAATTATTGCGAGCTCGGTCTCCACATATCTAAAAGAAAGGCCAGGAAATCGATGACGAAGAAACATATCCTCCTGTTTCCCGAGCCTGCATCCTGGGGTCAGATTACGTAGGCTTAAACCAGGCGTGGAAGAACGTAACTTAGCTACATAGCTACTCAGTAGTACGGAGAAACTGGAAGGATAGCTGGATTTCTGCGAAAGTGATGTACTGTGCGAGGAGGGGTCGATCTTGAACTGAAATTACATATTTTACATTTTACGATATACCTACCTACCTTCCCACGCAGGCATAGTTATTAGGAGACTAATTAACCTCATCTTACTTTTCCTTTCCTCGGATCGAAGAGTGTTCTTCCCCACATCGCTACCAGCTCACCAGCAAACTGAACTAACCTCCCGTAGGACCCCCCTGCGGCGAGCTCTTTGGAAGAGGGGAAACTGTAGCAGATTCTCAGCGAATAGTGGTTAGATAGTTGATTGTCCACCATTGTTATCCATCACATCCAGATAGACGGATAGTGATATGAAGTAGAAAAATAGCTATTCACTTCACAAGTCCACCACCCACGACCGATGATAAACCATGTAAAAGGCAACGGGGAGTATGTAACTTGCCCCATCCGAAACATCAAATGAGGAGGGGGGTGTGGGAATAATTCTACAAGTGACCAAACAGGGAGTGCTGAAGCGCTGAGAGGGGAGAGAGGGAGGGAGGGATATAATAACCTAACCAAAATTTAGAAATTCAGAAACCCCAAAAAAAAGGGGGGGAGTCAAACAAACTCATTTTTTATTTGTTATCCTTCCTTTCCTCCTTCCCCGCTTTTCACTCAGAAAAAAAGGAATTGAAAAGGCATCCGGACGGGATGAGGGCTACATACGGATGAATAGATATACGTATATATTTCGTTTCAATCAATCCATATCCTCATCTCCATCCCCATCGCCCTCATCATCACTCCCAAATATGGCCTTGAAAACTGCATCGCCAGGTCTCTCTGCCTCCAGCGCCTCGTTTCGCCCAGGATCAACAACAATCTCCTTCCTCTCCAACGGTCGCTGATCCTGCCCTTGCTGCTCCTGTTGTTGTTCGCCCTCAGCCCAACCTGCACTCGCACATGCACCTGCCGTCGCAACAACCGCCCCCGCCCCCATCAGAATCCGATTCACCGCCTCCTTGGACAAGATATCCAATTTAGATCCGGAGGGCATGGTGGGCGTCCGACCAGGGCCGCCAGGCATATCACCCGCATCAACAGCGATGCTGGAAGGGGGCCGGACGTTGAAGCGTTTACAGAGAAGTCTAGAGGGGGAAAATGGGATGGATGATCGCGTCAGGGGCCCGTACATGCCGATTTCAGCGGCTGCTTCGGCGGGATCTTGAGGCTTTGGGTCTGGTCTGCGGATGAGGGGTTCGTGTTGAGCATTAACTGCTCCTGCTGGCGTCGAATGGGATTGTTGGGATTGTTGGGATTGTTGCTGCTGTTGGGAGATAGACGAGGAATCGGAGGAGGAAGTGAAGCGCGATGCCATCAGGCCAGATACCGGCCTGAAGACTTGAGCGGCACGCGCGAATTCTTGCAGCTCGGTTAGCCAGTCATCGGTTGTTGCGCCGGGGGCGCGATCGGGAAGCTTGTCCCGCAGGCCCGCGCGGACCTCAAGGAACGAACGGTATCGTGATCGTTTGGCTTCATCTTCCGCGTAAGGCATCCAGCCACTAATTCCGCGATTAAGGGCTTGTACGGCGACATCTTTATCTAACTTTGGCACAAGGTTCCATAAATCTTGCTGTTTCTGCGCCTCTGTGGTAAGGAACCCTTCCGGTCCCTTCTCCCCTAGGGCTGGAGGTAAATCAGTGCGCCCTGTAGCTTTGACAATCTTGTCACGCCCTGCTGGAGTCATGTAGTCGAACACCGATTTACCCGGTAATTGTGCTTCGCCCAGCAAAGCAGCTCTTGATGTAGGGTCCAGGGATGATGCCTTCGCGGCTTCAGCGCTTGACATGTAATTTTGGATTGGCCCTGTGCGGGAAGGGCCTTTCGCGGATTTCCAATCTTTTGGGATTTCTGGCGCCGCATACTTCTTCTCCTGTGTTGAAATGGTCAATCCAGCAATTTCTACGCCGTGGAGAAATCCGTCAAGTGGTAGACGTCCATCATGGCATTTCCTGAATCCTGCCTTTGTCTTCTCGGCTGCCACTTTTTTCTTCGAGATAAAAACGGGCTTAGTGCCTAATAATGGATTTGAAAGCCCTATTGACGGTTTCGTCACTGCAGAGCTGTTGCTGGATGTTTTCTTCGCTTTCTTGTCATGGTCAATAAATCGATTGTAGGAAATTTGCGGCCCCATTTCATAAGGGTCTTCGTCATCGGAACCAGTATCGTTTAGAACACCTACGCCAAAACCTCCCCTTCTCGACGGCTTTTGTTTACGAGAGTCGTTCCCATTCGTCGGGGGTTTAGGGCCGCCGAATTGATCAGAATCTTCCGCCTGAGCCAATGCACGTGGCTTGGCTCCAGTATCTAGCCTCACTGTTGCGTCCAGTCTAGCTTCCCCTTCAAATCCAAGTCCTTTATGATCATTTTTCTTCACGAATGATATCATAGGAGGGTTCGTCGGCGCAAAAAGATGGACTTTGCCTTCCGCATCAGCCCCATCGCCAAGGTCTGCTTTCCGTCGCACTTTTGGGCCAATTCCTTGTCCCTCCTTCCAACCCATTCGTTTCAGTAGCTTGACGCCAATTGTATCCCCAGTAATTTTGAAAATATCCATTAAACCACCTAGCCGCGTGGCATCAGAGGCCGTCGAGCCAAAACCGGCATATTCCCCAGCAGTTTGGAGTTTCCTCGCCTCTTCAGCTTCGCGCAGATCTTCCTCATCCATAAAGTCCTCCGGTCGTTGTTGGTGAGTTGGCTGTTTGTCATCTTTTGCGCGATTTCGACGGGACGATACAAAGGTCGACGGAGTCCAGCCCTCTTTCGAACCGACAGTATTGAAATACCTATAGATAAACCGATTTAATTTAGCCGTTCTGGATCCAGCTCCCCGGTCAATCGTGAGCTCACCCAGCACTGAATCCACCAGTAAAGGCACCATGAAGACGTTTCCTTCCCCGTTCATCCCTCACCTCCTGCTTCCAAACCGGAACATAGGAGCCATCGTCCCGGACTTCGGGGTCAAGTGGTGGTAAGGGCGTGCCATAGATGGCGTACGGAGCATGGAGATGCTCGTCTTCGAAAGTAGCCCTAGATCTCTTGGCAGACATGCTTGTAGTTATAGTCATGTGGTATTCCTTTCCTTTCCTGCTTCCTACTCCCTAACGTAAATAGAGGAGGGAGGGGGGTTGCTTCGCGTGGTGGAAATGGAGCCTTTCTCAAGGCCTCGCCCTCGAGGCTTCACCGTCTATGGACCGGACATGCACCAATCAGCTTAGCTGTTCTCCTGCTATAGCTGTTGGTGACGAGTCAATAGAAGTCTCCTGAGGTAGTGAGTAGTATGTTTAGAAGTGATCTGGCAGGTATTTGCCAGAGGAAGAGCAGATAATGATCTATATCATATCCTCGTGAACGTTGACGTAGAAACGGATCATACGCTGTAAGCTGGCCCGAAGCGGAAGAAACCTTGGAAACAATCGCAGTTGACCGCTCCAGCCACACCTGCACCGCCATAACAAGGTTCCAGGCGGGCTCACGTGGCTGGGAGCGTGACTAATCCGGATATCAGCTGTGGCGGCCTCGGGAACAAAGTGATGAAGTCGTTCCCAAGTCGAGTCGAGTCGTTGGAAGATGACGAACGATGGATGGATGGGATGGGATGGGATGGGGACGGACGGACAGCAGAACTGAGTAACGACATAATAATAATAATAATAATAATAATAATAATATATTTGTTCTGCCTGGCTTCCTGTTTTCTGGTTGGTAGTTATCTGAGAGAAATTTTGTATGTTTGCTGTGTGTTGCTCTACAATCCAAGTCATCATCACAATACAATAACTACCATAGTTAACTACCTCCGACAATCTTCTCTGCCTCTCTTTGGGCCCAAGGTTGTTTCGTTCGATTCTCCAGATCGCTACCTAGTTAACGTACCTAAATATCAGCCAGCCCGCCTCAGCCCGCCAGCCAGCAAGGTAGTTAAACAAACATAAAAGCAAAAAACTCAAATCTCAATTTTGGAATCTCATAAATAGTTAACAGATCTGGTACGTAAATACGTAACTAATCCCCGTAAAGAATACTCCGTAGTGTTCTTTTCCCCCCCAGCCGCATCCACCCCATTATTATTGATTATAGTTGATTGCATGCCTTGTTTACATGCAGAAAGTGGGCTGTCTGTCCCCATCAAAGAACATTCAAATAGACTTTCTTCCAAGCACATCTACAGCCGTGTCTTGCGTGATGATAACTAGCACCGTGTTGTTTGTTTCCTCCCCTCCCCTCCCCCATGTCATCCACCTACCCTACCCTACCTACACGCCTATTTCCGACACGCACCTCTCTCTCTCTTACCGCTCGCTTCTTCCCCTGCTCCCGCTAACAGCACTTGTTAGGCCAGCACCGCGTATCCTATCCTGCCTTAACCTCCTCCCCTACTAGACCCTCCCCCGACTTCTACTCTTCTGCCATTACGCTGTCGGTTATCCGGCTTGTTGCTGGTATATGGACTCCCTCTTTTTCTTCGCCTCTGGTACCGTGTTGACCCTGAACTGCAGCTCTCCTCCACAGATGAAGCGGTGCGCAAGGGCTGATTCCTCACGACTTGGAGTATCCTGAGCATCCCTCACCTCCACTTCACAAGAGCGTATCACTACCAAAACAAAGACGGCCGCGAAACAAGAGTCACTCCTCGCACAAGAGTTCCTATCACACTTCATCGTTGTTCATCGGAACTTGAAACGGTCTTGCCATTTTCCCGGCTTCCACGGCCTGTGACCTTATACTTGATCGCAATGTCCGCTGCAACATCGGGAACTTCTCAAGTCATTGTTCGCAGCCACTCCACATCACGCCACAATTCGTCATATCGACCTTCTACAGACCTCCCTCACAGAGCCCGAAGCACAGCTACGAGACCTTCACAGTCCCATTCTCATAGTAGATCCAACTCCCGACCTCTCTCCTACGACCGGCCCCCCACTTCCAATCCAATTAACCCTGTTAACGTCGCGCGCCCAGCTACATCTCGCCGAAGCTCTTCGAGGGATCGTCCGCTGGATACCACGCAACAATATCGGACTGAGACTTCACGGCCCCATCGTCAAACTTCCTTTAGAACCAACCACGGTCGAGATAGTGTCGACATGGCTGGGCCTGGAAACCCAGTGAATCCTGCAAATCCTCCATCTATACCCGCAGTGTCTGATGGCCTCTCATACACCAACGGGGCCCACCAACGTACTACTAATGGTGTCTCTCAAATGCCGCCGCAGTCAAAGCGGCGGACTACAATCACCACCTCAAGTGGGCAATGGGCACTTGGGAAGACAATTGGTGCGGGGAGTATGGGCAAGGTAAAACTTGCGAAGAACCTTGAGACAGGTGAACAGGTGTGTAGAGATGACCGTGGTCCTTTCCTCTGAGATACAACACTAACGCCACATTTATTCTATTATTTAGGTGGCTGTGAAGATTATTCCTAGGCATTCGACCGAAGAGCATCGCGGTAACCGTGATGCGGAAAGGGCAGACCGCTCTAAAGAGATACGGACAGCAAGAGAAGCAGCGATTGTCACCCTCCTAAACCACCCCTATGTATGTGGGATGCGAGATGTCGTGCGGACAAATTACCATTGGTATATGTTGTTTGAATACGTGAACGGAGGACAGATGCTCGACTACATCATCTCCCATGGAAAACTAAAAGAAAAGCAAGCCCGGAAGTTTGCGAGACAAATCGCAAGTGCGCTTGACTACTGCCACAGAAACAGTATTGTCCATCGGGATCTCAAAATCGAAAATATTCTAATCAGCAAGACGGGGGATATCAAGATCATCGACTTCGGACTCAGCAATCTCTTCTCGCCTAAAAGCCAGCTGAAAACTTTCTGTGGTAGTCTGTATTTTGCAGCACCCGAACTGCTACAAGCGCGGCAGTATATCGGTCCCGAGGTGGATGTCTGGAGTTTCGGTATTGTCCTTTATGTTTTAGTCTGCGGGAAGGTTCCCTTTGACGATCAAAGCATGCCTCAGCTCCACGCAAAAATCAAAAACGGGGTTGTCGAGTACCCCCAGGGACTTTCCTCAGGTTTGCCCCCCCCCACCCAACACATATATGTTATATACATCCGTTTCAATCTATGAGAACTAACTCTTGCCTAGATTGCCGACACATAATATCGCGAATGCTGGTTACGGACCCGAAACAACGGGCTAGTTTGAATGAGATCATAAACCACCCTTGGATGACAAAAGGCTTCAGTGGACCCCCTGATAATTATATGCCTCATCGTGAACCTCTCCAGCTTCCACTTGATCCCGAGATCGTCCAAAGAATGACTGGATTTGATTTCGGCCCTCCTGAATTTATCGCAACTCAGTTGACCAAGGTTCTCGAGTCTGATGACTACCAGAATGTTGTGCGATTAAGCCAAAGAGAGCATTCTACTCCCAATCCGGCAAATGAGAAAAGGAGAGGGGTTTTTGATTTTTACAAGCGTCGGAACTCTGCGAGTAAAGACACGCTTTCCAACCCGTCTGCTGAGGCGGTACAGTCAGCTGGTGACTTGCTTAATGGCTATAATCCGTTGATCTCCGTCTACAACCTTGTGCGGGAGAAACGAGACAGGGAGAGAATTGAGGAGCGACCGGGTACACTAGCCATCCCGCCTGGCCCTGGAGAACCCACACTGAAAATGCCAGAAATCCCAGCTCCAGAGGCTGCTCATACTAACCAGCACGCTTATGAGATACCAGGTGAGAAGGCAACTGGCGGAAGGGCGCGACCAAGAGCACGAACCCATGGCGACGATGAGGTTAGAGATGGAATTAAGAATCTCAATATAGGACAGGCAGTCGGAGCGGGATCTCCACCCATGGTAACTACACCGGTTGAGCACATAAAGAAAGAAAGTGCTGCTGTCGGATTATTAAGACGTTTGAGCACTAGAAGAACACGGGAAAAACCAAGAGATGCTGATCGCGAAAAGGTTGCGACCCCCCAAGCACCTACCTTAAACATTCAGCCCCCAGAGGACCTTGTCACTCCTCGAAAGAGTTTCAGTGTAAGAAGGCCGAGGCATGAAAACACTCTTCCCGGTACTCTTCACTCTGGAGGAAGTCAGCCACAACAGCAAGAATTACTGCGTGCTGTCCGGTCTGGAGAACCTACCCTCAGAACGAAAAGTGGTCTCGGGCGGTCAGCTAGCGTTAATTCTGGCGAAAATCGGATCCGTAGGAATGGGAGGAGAGGCTTGGTCGATGGTGCTGTTTCGCAACCCATGCAAGATCCACCGTTGACCAGTGGATCTGACCGCTCCAGTTTGAACATGCCAAAATCGCGCCTGCAGCAGAATGATCAGTCTGGCCAAGATTCGAGGCCTAGCACACGTGTGCGGACATTGAGAACAAAATCACTCGGTCATGCGAGACGTGAAAGTATCCAGGCCCGACGAGCGCGTCGAGAAGAAACTCGGGAGGCAAATGTACCTGAGGAGACCGACGCTGAACTGAGTGGTGCTGGGACTGCACTGGAGAACGCAAACGCAGGAGAAGACTTCTCAAAGCCTGTCTTCCTGAAGGGCCTGTTCAGTGTTTCCACAACTAGCAGCAAACCTCTCCCCTTCATCCGTGCAGACATCATGAGAGTTCTGAAACAGCTTGGAGTTGAATTCGCGGAAATCAAAGGTGGATTTAGCTGTCGTCACGCCCCAAGCATCGACCTTAACCGTGTTATGGATGTCCGCCCGCCCAGCCCAGAGCGGGATGGGAAAGTAGGTGGCCACCGCCGGCGGATCAGCTTCGGCGGACTGCGGGCCCACGACAAAGATGAGAACCGGGATGAGCATAAATACTCAAACCCTTCGAGAACTCCACGCCGCCAACAAGGGCCTCCGGATCGAAGTTTTATCACCAATTCCGATGGTTCTGACGAGTACATGACTGCTCGTGATAATTACGGCGGCGGCGAGCGCGTCGTTGGCGAAACGACCACCAGAATCCAAAGCGATACTGGGAGCAACCTCGTGCTCAAGTTTGAGATATTGATTGTCAAAGTCCCCCTCTTCTCACTACATGGTATCCAGTTCAAGAAGGTGGCAGGGGGCATGTGGCAGTATCGAGAAATGGCGAAAAAGATTCTTGACGCTCTGAGGCTTTAGGTGCCGACCTCATCCTTTCCCCACCGACGAAGGAAATGCGTCGACAAAATAGTGCTTGCCTTACTATGCACCGCCGTACTACGTCCGTTTGCCAAACCCTTGTCATTTACCTTTTTTTCGCTTTTTTCTTTTCCTTTTTCTTTTCTATTTCGGTTATGCATAATATTTATTTCGACATTGGTGCGCCTCCTGCCTGATTTAATGTATATCTACTCAATTTCTGCTGCACCTTGTGCATTTACCAATTACGCCCCAGCGAGCTCCTTGGTGGTTGTCCTCCTTTGATCTGGTTTTTTCCTGCCTCTTTTCACCTACTTAATTATTCTCCTTCTCTTTATTTTCGCCTTCATGCCACAAATCTTTGATGAGGAACACACTGATGAACTCTGTCATTGACTTATGATGGTTTTTTTACTATTTCTTTTGTCTTGTCTTTTTTTTTTTTTTTTTTTTTTTTTTTTTTTTTTTTTGTTACTTTTTTTCTCTTTTAATGAATGCCCTGTTATCTACGATTTTGCGGCCGCTTTTTGTTTGACTTTGATAATAGCAGAGTGGAGAAGGAAACCCCTATGAATTTAACACATCATATATTTATAAGAGTGTATGAAATGTCCAGATTGAAAACATAACTTTTTACTTTCTCTTCATGAATTTTATTGAAATTTCTTCAAGTCGCTTCTTTAATTTATGTTTTCTTTTCTTCTCGTAGATATTTATGACTCTTCATCAGTTTATCTTTTGATAAGAGTTGTAAGATGAGATGAAAATGAAAAGCGAGTTGAGATAAGACAAAATACTAACTAGTTACCTCATTTTCTTCACTCTTTATTTTAATATTGAAAATCTCAGATTCACTTTTCAAATAAAAATTTAATCTCAGATGAAAAATATATTTTATATTTTTAATTATATTTTCATTTTGATCATGTTATTCATTATTTCTGTGGCGGAAGCCCTTGACTTCCGCCCCCCCTAATCTTCCGCTCCACCCTCGGGCCGTACGACGTACCTTCCTTCTTCCGCCCACACTTAGGGCCCTCCTATCTTCTTTCCTATTATAGCCCTTACGATCGCTCCTTCTATGACTGCAACAGGCATGTTTATTTGTATATAATAGAAGGCATATCCCTCTCTATCTTAGAAGAATGAGACATGATGATACTCTTTTTGCTATAGGCACCTAAGTGCACGCCTCAATTTCTTACTTATATAATATTATAATATTATATTCATTTTTTTTGGAAAATTTAACAGAGAGTAAATGAGTCAATATTATAAACATTTAGACCGAATTATGATTATTTCATTATATTTGAACTTCATAATCAGCTACCGAGAACTATGCAGACCTATATATATAGCTGTCTCATAGCGTGAAAGAACAACTCTCTCTCTCAGTATTTGAAAATCTGACTCTATTATTCAAGACTCTTTCCTGAATTTGAGTTTTAAAGCTGGCTCCTTGCGGCAGCGATGGTACAACAAGGCTCCAGAGGAGGCAAGCGCCTCTCTCGCGACAGCCACGAGGACGAGGATGCAGTAGAGGAATTGTAAACACACACCCCGATTCCAAAAGCGCATAGGTAGCACCATCATATTGTTGACTCCAGGAGTCCTAATTCTACTGGGGATTCCCCAGGCTCCCAGAACCCCGATATTCCATGTAACTAGATAATGGTCGGGTCGTTTACAATGGGCATTAATAACCTCCTCCCCAGGGAAATGAGTAAATGAAAAATAATATTATCAAGAATCAACTATGTAACTCAGCAAATCAGCAGAACATTACTTTTAACTCTGAGAGCACACTAAACAGATTTATTGCTAGCAAGGTCTCCAAGTTCCAATTGAGCAATTGTGTCATCATATGCCTTAATAATAGGATTGTATAAGTGGTTTGGGTCTTGGGAAGTGCCAATAATAAGGCCTTCATCATTGTAAGGAAAGAGTATGTCTCATAGAGCTCTGCAAAGTGATAAAACATCATGAAACTTTGAAGAGAACTCCCTCAAAATGAACCCAAATCCCACATTTTCAGCTTTGCTTATATGGCCAAATTTGACATTTGCAATGTTCTCATAGTTATCAGTATACCAGGCATGAAGTTTACTATCCTTAGGATGGTTATTCTTCCCCTAGCCATGACAGGCGCACTGCCAGATAAGCATATAAAAGAAAGACTCAAGGTCATGCTGATAGGTATAGTCAATATTAAGCAGCACTTCAATTGTCATAAACTCCATTATGCCAGTCTGATGCTGTGCACCACTTCACTCACTATCAACTTCTTTGACAAGATCTAGATCAATTAGCATGCCAGAGAGATCATCTGTCTTATCTGGATTGGTTATTATTATATTGATCTCTGAAATATTCTGATGAAGAATGTTCTCATCCAGATATAGAGACTGATGTGTCTTTATTGCATCATGAAGAGCCTTGAGCAGCTCCAGAGGTGACTTGTATCTGTAGATTGACCAGCCAGCGGGTGATATCACAAGACAGTGGAGAACACGGTTGTCATAGAGTTCCTCACCATCCCTGTCAAATAGGCTTGGCTTATGTGCTGACTGAATGGAGAAAGCTAGCTCATTCTCCTGCTGAGTGTCCTGTGACAGTTGATTGATGGGCTCATGCTCCTGCTGAGTGTCCCTTGACAGTTGATTGATGGAACGCGATCGTTTGAATGTCTGCATCCCCTTGTCTGAGGATCTGTGCTTTATGAAAGATGATTTTTGATGGAGATCTAGGCGACAGGGCTCAGTGAGCAGCTGAGATTGATGAAAGGAGGAGGGTGTGCTGGGGGGTGCACTTTTGAAGTCATGTTGCTTATTGTTGAAGGTCAGGCCGCAGCACATGTCAGCAATACTAGTGATGACACTGTGGCCAATGATCCTGGCAACCCCTTGGACATTTTTTTGACCTGCTAGCTTGAGAAGTTCTGCCTCTGGCTGCCGTTTGTCTGACATCTATGAGAATTTGGCTACACCCTTCATCTGTCCATCATTTGCAAGAAAACATGTTGTCCCGCGACACACAATGACATGCTGAAAAGAAAGCATTTCCCCTAGCTACAGCATCTTTTCCTCTGAGTTTCCAGGCTCTTTGACAGTTATTGATTTGCTGCCACCTTCATCTCTAACAATAAAGATATCCAGTCCCAGCTTCTTATCACTCATCATGGTGTAACTCACAAGCACTTGAAAGAACTGTCTTGAATCTGTGTCAATGTTGATGATGCCTGAGCTGTAGAGATCTGAGCAGTCAAACACTCATGCTTTCATCTTGGTCCCACAGATTGCAAATGCATGGACAAACTGCCAGATGAGCTGGGCAGAAAAGATCTCATGCACATAGCGGCTCATCTGCAACAGAGTGCCTTTGATCCTGATCTCCTCCTTAGATTTTTTGAGCTCATCAACTACCAGAATGTCTCTCCAGTCATGTTTATTCTGTGAGAGACTCTCACCCCTAGCTCTCAAAAGAAGATCAACTTGCTGTTCTGTCTTTGAACCAGTAAGATCTGCTTTGCTTGCTGTGGTGTAGTAGATGCTGCATGATTTCAAGAGAAGATCTTCTTGAAGATGAAATCATCAGGTGAGGACATCAGCCTGTGTAGAAGGATCAGGGAACTGGGCCCAATTGCCATCATCACTGTCTGAGGCTAGCACATGTTGACAGATAGCATCCGCTTTGCTGCTCCAGTCTTTTCCCTCAAAGTACTTGTTGAAGAAGCCCTCAACATCTTGAAATTTGCAGTCATGTATCTCCTCAAAGATTCTTGGATTCACTAACTCAAGTGTCTGTTTGGAACCTTTCTGTGATGATGAGGTGGATTTGACTGGGGTGTTGTCAAAGGAGGGGGGGATGCTCGCTGATGGTGTTGTTCGAGGGATTGTGACAATGAGGTTAAATATAGCTTTCCAGATGTCGATGTTCCATTTTTCGACGCTCTGGAGTTCGATGTCTGGTGGTCTTTGGATGACTAGACATACTAGCAGCCGATACTCATAGTATCTGAAGTTTCCTTTTGCCTTTTGGAGGCGCTCGACTAATTGTGCTAGATCAGATGCCACATTTCCATCACTCATCCGTGAGCGAAGGCTGTAAGCTGCATCCTCTCCCTGTAAAGCTGAGAGGAGTCCCGAAGTCGCCCCCGATAGAGTTGGTCAAGGCTGTTGAGAGGGCGCGACTCATAGATTTTTTCAGCTTCCTGAAGCACACCTTGTAAACTATTGACTGAGTTGGTTAGAGGATGGTTCTTGATAATGTCGCGATCTCCCTGTGAAAGTTCCGCCATTTTGACGGTATAAAAGATCCTTACTAACTTATTAGGGCCTGTTCGGTGCGTCCGTGTGTACTCGTTCTTTTTGTACGGATCTCCACTTTTTTTAAAAAGTACAGCCCCAATATCATGACTGTTCAGTGGACAGAGTGTCTGTACTAATAATACAGCTGCTTTTTACAAAGTACAGATGAAAATGACCAGGTGTTCAGTGGATTGAGCGGCTGTACTTGCATCTCTTATCAAGATCTTATGAATAAGCAGTATTTAACTTCAACAGTGTGTGATAGTGTAGAATAGCACTTTTAGAGACAATATAGTGAGAATAGTGTTCATAGTGGAGATAGTTAACTAATATTGATTAGAAGGAAGCTCACAAAAACACATTCTTTTTGAACTGACTCTGGACTCCATTTAAAAAGAATGCATTTTTGTGAGCTTCCTTTCTCCATCTCAGAGCAGAGGGCAAGGTGGAATAGTGTGGTGGCACAACGCCGGCTTGCTACTAATAATTGGTAAATACACTATTTTTAATGAGATCCACTATTGCGTTCAAAAAGTACGGACGCACCGAACAGGCCCTTAATTTGGTGCGAGTTGAATTGCAAGGTTTGTCGTTGTCACCATAGATTTTCTTGGCTAAATAGGCAAATGACTAAATAAGCAAGAAATCTCAAAGATATCTTCAAATTAAACGGCTAATATCGGATTAAACCTCAAGAGTCGTCAGTAGTAAGTAGCACTAATATTTTATTGGAGGAGGGAAGGGTGTATAGTCAGGGATGAAGTGGTGGGATTTCATCCACCAAGCTGCCTATTTATTTATTTAACTTTATATTTGATGTGAGTGTCAAGCAACATGTCCATTCTATTTGTGACTAAAAGGTGCCTATATAAACTTCAGAAGGATTGAAAAACAGCATTGTTTGAGGAGTGAACATCTTTCTGCTGTTACAGGAAACCGATATTGGTCCAAAAGCTCAGTTCTATTCCCAGCAAAACAACCACCAACATACCTACCTACCATTATGAGAAGCCAGTCAGCGCGCAAGCATGCCGGAAGAGATGCATCGACACCCACGCATTTAGATCTAAAGAATCTAACCAATTTGCATTTCCCAGGCTGGAGCCACCGCTTTAAAAGGAGAGAGAGAATACATCAAAACAAAATTGTTTCAGAAAGTGGAATATGATCCAAGTGCAAATATGGACTCTCCACTATAGTGGAAATGGGATGAAAATACGGTCAACACATCTCAAATTCACCTAGGCACAAGTCCAACCTTCTCAATCAATTGCGTTCCTTTCTCAAATCCCACTGACAAGGTTATAGATATATCCTGATTTTGATCCGTCAGAGCCAGCGCATTGACACAATCTGTGGTTAATAATCCTCCAACAATACACTCCCATTCCCATAGTTTGCTCCTCTGCACAGCGTTAGAAAGTCTTCACCTAAGAGCGGGATTGAAGTGATCAGCGCTTCAGAGTATCTATATTCAATCCCTGCATTGTGTAATTCATTGTTAGGTTCATGTAGTCAATTTGGAAGGACTTCTCTTTAACTTACATCTATGCTTTGGTATCTCACCAACTTCAAATTATGCCGTAAGGACGAAAGGCCTAAAATAACCTGGAGGATCAACATTTGCCCGTGGTATATCCCTCATCTCAGTCTGGCGGCGAGGACACAATTAGCGCAATACTATTTGTGTACCAACTAAGCTGTTAACCCTGCTCACTATGACAAAGAAATATGACTTCTACAGATGATTTTCAATTCTTCAATACTCTTTTAATCGGATTGACTGATTTTTTTAATAGACAGTATAAAAACAGATGTAAAGTGAAAGTGATCTGTCAGTGCACTTCTAGCAGACATTTCATCTCTGAAGAGTATTAACTAGATTAAAATCTACATCATCTCTCAGCTATCAATCTGATAGATAATGTGAATCCATACGGAGTACACTATTCTAATAATATTAATTCAGGCCAGATAAAATAGATTACATAAATTACACTAAAATATGTCAATACGGCTGATCTCTCATATTATCCAGTAGTTTTCGTGTATTTAATACGCTAATGTACAAGTTAAAATACGCTAATTGTATCCTCGCGGCCAGGGGATAACGGAGTAAACGTCAGACAACAAGCCAAGCCAGCTGATTAAGCAGGAGAGTTAACTTTAGTATATTGAGTGTAGTATAGTATGCACCGGTAGGCTGCAGCACCGCATGGGTCTAAATAAAGCTGCTTAAAATATGGCCAATATTCAACAATAGAAGAAAAATAAAATTGGAGAATACTTAAGGGAAAAGAACTAGAAGATGGTTTGATTGTTACTGCCAAGTTCATTCATTGTTTGTAAACTGAGTGGAATAGAACAGAATGAAGAGATTGATTGATCAATGTACAGTACATACATGATTCCAGAAGGTCCAGAAGACATGGACTGGAATGAGAGCTGATGACTCACTGAGATATAAACATGCACTATTTGTCTGTTTTGTCTCATTCCTCCTTGTTTCTTCTCATTCCTCTTGCTCTCAAGGCGCTTGATATTCTTTGCCATGGAATCTGCTAGAGATGCAGTAAACTTTTGCCAAAAACTTGAGAAAGGGGAGATCCCGACCCCTTAAGCTTTCGCCAGAAACGAAGATACTAGCTCTTCTTAATAGTGGCCTACCTAACGGAAACTCAAGAACTCGAGCACACAGGCAGAAAAAAGCACCTGCTGGACGCGAGATGCTCTTGCTTTGCGCGCTTGTATATTCCACTTCGGGTCTGCCAAAAATTGTATTTCCAAGATTCTATCAGGAGCTGACGGAATGGCCATAAAGAGTGTAGTTCTCAGAGCCAGTAATGAACCAGGCCTTCAAGCTTTGGAATGAATCAGGCTAACAAGTATTTCTACAACAAAGTTCCACTAGGTCAAATTATTGTCAAGGGGTCAAAGCAGCACTTCTTTCATGTAAGATCTCAAGTTCTCAATAGAGTCAACACAAAGAAAACATTAAGTATAAAATTAAGATCAAAATGTTATTAAGTTACTTGCAGTGAATTAAAATTTAAAATCTAATCTTTTTAATAAACAATTCAATACTAAGTATTAATATACAACTCATTTTCAAAGTCTGATAAATATAGATATACTTTTAAATCTCTTGAATATCTTGAAATCTTCTATACACTTTATAAAAACTTGATAGATTCTCAGTAGTACTCAGCTATTCTCATAATTCTGATACAGAATTATATCATATTACTTATTCTATTAATTTCACAAACTGAAACAGTACTGAAAAATAATTAAGTATAATTTATTTAGTATATTTAACTTTGATTATTCTTTTATATAATAAGTTTCATCTTTATCAGTATTATTTTAAAAGTTTATAGTTAGTAATCACTGATAATTAATATCTGAATACAGAAATAAATAATATTAGTCAGAGAATAAATATAAAAAATATTTAATATTTTAAAAATTAATAACAGTAGAACTTTATTAAGTTTTAAAAAAGTATTATATTAAATTATATTATTTTAAAAAATTATTATTAAATAATTATTTATATTACTTTTTAAATATTTAATTAATTTTAAATATTTAAAAATAGTATTAAATTAATTTAAATTAATTTATATAATTAATTTGAATAGAACTATTTAATAATACTTTTTTTTTAATAAATATATCTGTTAAAATAAAAATAAATTAATATATTATTAATTATAATTATATTTTAAATTTTATTATATTATAAATTTAATACAAGTTTATATAATACAAGTTTTAATTATATATTATATTATTATTATTATTAATATTATATTTAAAAAATAATTAATTATATTATAATATATTAATATACTGTAATTTAATTTTTATATTTAATTTTAATTTAATTTTAATAATCAGTCTATTTTTACTTTATCAATTTTATTGTTATTTTTAATATAATTAGAAATGATTAATAATATGTAAAATAAGTAGTTAACTAACTAGTTAAGTTAGTTAATTAATTAATTTAGTTAGTTAATTAAAATTTTTTATTTCTTTTAAATAACAATATTTTAATTTTAAAATGAAATAATATCACACAACTATTTCTTCTAGCTTTAATCTCTTTATTTCTCTGTTTTCATTGCTTTTATTGAAATTGCAGAGTTTATTTTTGAAGCTTGCACTATCTTTTTGACTTTGGCTCTGTATTCAGCACTTGTGCAAAGATAAAATGGTTATTGATCTCACAAGAGATTCCTCCGAGGATGAGCTTACTTATGATGTGAAACCAGTGAGTTTCCCCTTAGCAAAGTGCAATATTTTTATTAGTGAGGATTTTTTGGTAGATGTGCTCTAAAATTTCAGCATTTTGATTCTGATATCATCTCTCTTTCTGTTCTTCCTTCTGTTGGTCTTTCTCTTTTCTTCACGTTCCCAAACATTTGAACAAAACCGTGCTTTAGAGATATCTCTGTCTCAAGCCTCTGTCATGCCCATCTCAATGCCCATCCCGTTGTGTTGGCCATCACCGTCTTCTCTTGGTGTTGCTTGTTTGGATTTTAGATCACACTAACTGATTTAGGCAATCCCAACCTCACACCTGCAACGAGATGAAGGGCTCATCTTGCTGCAGCAGTTCACGCGCCCGAAATCACAGCCGGGAAGCAGTTCAAGTGGAATATCATCGTCGAACGATAGAAAGAGCAAAGCGTCCACGGACGGCGCGGTATCGACCAACGAACCATCACTAAATTTCGCGATTGTCGTGCCCTCCGTCTCTGGTAGCGACACAAGCAACAAAAAGCGACGGTTGAGCTGGGAAAACGACTGTAGCTCGCGGGTGAATGGATATTCTAGTTTCCCAAGCCATCATGGCCTGTCACCATTTTACTCAGTGGAAGGGAGCAGCAAAGGACAATCCTACCAGCCCAAGCACGGGGTAGATCGGCCCAGTATTCAAATTAAACAGCCAGCAGTGCGCTATCGTCCCTGTCGAGCCAATAACGATGAGAATCTCCTATCACTCTACGCGAAAAAGTTACGGAAGATCAAGGGACCTGCTGTGACTCTAAATATAAAGGCTTCAGACACTTCCAAACTTGATTTCAACTTTGAGTTCATCAATGAATACAAGCTTCAGCATGGGGTTGTGCGTGTTGACGCAGATTTCCATGCAGGCTGTCGATGTGAAAGAAAGTGTGATTTGCACAACTGCGACCATCTCTCATATGAGGTAGACTCTGAAGATCGCATTGTTCCCTATCAGATGGGCCGGGGTGGAAAGATTGTCCTCAGACAAGATTTCCTTAAAAGGAGGGCTATGATATATGAATGCTCCCTACTTTGTTCTTGCATGCCAGGTTGTTGGAACCAGGTTGTTCAAAAAGGGCGGACTGTTAAACTGGAAATATTCTGCACAACAAATCGTGGTTTTGGTGAGTGAACCTCGCATGCGTCTCTGTTTTATCTATAGTACCGATGAATACTCATATCTCTTTCCCACAGGCCTACGCTCTCCAGAAAGCATACAAGCAGGACAATATATCGATAGGTATCTGGGCGAAGTAATCACCACAAAGGAAGCTGATGCCCGCGAAGCTGCGACTCCAGGACATGCAGCGAGCTATTTATTTCAGCTCGACTTCTTTTCCCAGGATGACGACTACTACGTAGTTGACGGAAGAAAGTATGGGTCTATAACTCGCTTTATGAACCATTCTTGCAACCCTAATTGCAAAATGTTCCCCGTTTCCCAATATGACGCAGAGCTAAAGATCTTCGACATGGCCTTCTTTGCTATTAAGGATATCCCCGCGGGAACCGAACTTAGCTTCGACTACTGCCCCAATTACAATATGGAAAGTTCTAAGCAGAGCGACCCTCAGGATGTCCCGTGCCTGTGCGGAGAGCCGAATTGCCGTCGTAAATTATGGCCTAACCAACGGAAGACAATGCAGCCAGAAGTTGACTGAGATTTTTTCGTGTGCCTGGCGTTTTCCCCCCAAAGAGCGGGCTTGTATTATGTGCACTATGGTACCCGCGCTCTTTTCCCTTTAGACCATGCTATGTTGACTATCAGTTGAAAAATACACTCTTTTCTTAGGCAAGGGCGCTCAGCTGGCTTCGGACTAGTTTTGTCGATTCTTCTGGTGTTTTTTGTTTCTTTCTACCTTTCTATTCTTTTCCGCTGTGTCTCAAATACCCCAGTTCCCAGTTTTTCAGCTTGCAGCTTTCTGTATTTCTTGAACGATCTGGATTTTCTTTCTTCCCCTTTTGTTAGCTATTCTGCAGGAACTTTGTATCAATTGAAGTTTTAAACTGCGAACGCGACTGCGGCATTGAATTTCGGTGCTACTTCTGCTTCAATTCTCTGAATCTTTGATGTCCTTTTGCCTGGTTTTCCGACAATGCTGCATATGATATGGAAGATGGTTGTCCTTCTGTTTTTCCCCCTTCTTTAGTGTCCTTAAGATAGTAGAAGAACCAGCTCATTTAGCTATCTAGCTATTTAGATTTTGCCCTATTTCATTAATGAAGTGGAACACATGTGGAAGTTCCAGCCTTCGTTCCCACCTTTGCTGCACGCATCTATTTTTGCATCATTAGGGTTTACTGAATAGACGGTATAGAATGTGTAAAATAAATATCTGAGAAACATAGTAGTTAAGAGGCTGAATCGCTTCATATCTATCAACACCCCACCCTCTCTCAGACTCACACTATATCTTAAGTGAGTGATCGATTTTTTTAATGATGTGAAAGAGAAACTCAATCTCGTAAGTAGAGAGAGAGAGAGAGGCTTGCTGTGAGACAAGTTCTTCTCTTTTCCCTGACAGATATCTACACACAATGAGAGATTTGACATTTTTTTTTTTTTAAAAAATAAAAAAAATTGAACTTAATTCAGTTTAAATTTGTATAGCCTTGACTGTAGAACACTGAGCAAAAGAGCTCAATCACCACCTGTCTTTACTGATAGTTTAGGGGTTGGACGACTATTCCATATATAAAACATAGCATAGCAATTCCAGATGACGTTCATGCATATTTGTAAAAGAAGTAAAAACCATCCACTTTCTTGTCTCATCTACTCTATTAAAAATAAATATAAGTATAAATACAGAGGTATAACAAAAACTATCTATTGGAAATGAAATAACTTTCCAGCCATCCACACAAACATCCCATCAATAATCAAAAAAACGCACACCTCAATAATTCGCATAAGATAGGCGAAGAAAAACAAGGTTATCGGATATAGAGTGTGGGAGAAAAGAAACACAAAAAATAAATAAATAAATAAACGGTAAAATCAGAAGCTGCGATAACACATACCTGTTAACCTCATACATTGTTAACATAGAAAGGGAAAAAAAAAAGAAACAACTATATCGGAGAGACAAAACATGAAAACAAAAGGCCGTTGGTGTTATATACGTATACGGCGTGGCGTCATCAATCTCGTTCCCTGGCTTCTCATATAACTTACTTGCTACCTCTTGCACAGGGGTCTCGTCTTGGTTGGGAAGAGGCTGTGTCAGACGCAGGGGAGAATGATGGGAATCGGTATGAATATTGGGCCAATAAGATGGAAAATATAAGCAATAACGAATACGCTTCCTAGTGAGTTCGCTCATAACGTGGCTCTTTCTGGAATTTTGTGGCAGGTGCAGGCGCCATGACAGTGGAGATGGAAAAAGGAGTCGTTTGTCTGCTTCTTTGGATATAAGCCTGGATGGAGGTTAGACTCTGGAGAGGAGGGGAGAGGAGGCATCGCGCACGAATAGTCCGTACTCTGGGAAACCCATGGTGGACTCAAATTTCAGAACTCATGTGCCGTCTTGTCTCATGGTTCGAGGTCGATTGATTGAGCGTACTGGGAGCTCCGCTGCGACCCTCTCTTTCTCTAAGCTGATCCCTCCATGACCTCGAAAATCCCACCCATAACAAACCGCGGCTTACTCCCTATCCGCAACGAATCGAGATGATGTATATCACCGACCTGCTCGAACTCAAACAGCAGCCCCATACTGCTACTATTCATATTCATATTCATATTAATGGTGGCATCCACATCCCCAACGGCCAATGGCACCGGGATAGGATCCACTGGCCGCGGCTCCATAAGCCCCAACCCAATCTTCTCAACAGAGTCCTCACAACACCGGTAACGTTCCTCACTCAGCGCCAGATCCACAGCAGACAAACGACGACGCAGAAGTAGAGATGACAGGCGCAGCGATGAGGTTGCAGAGCGCATTGTGAGCGGGCTGCCACTACGGCTGCGGCTGCACATACGGCTCATGGATGTTGAGAAATGGTGCCGCCGGCTTCTGCTTGTGGGACTAGAGTCTGGAGAAGAGGAGAGAGGGCTGCTCGTAGTCGATCTGCTCCTTGCATAGTGGAACGGGTTTCGCAGCGGTATTGGTGGTGGTTGTGTATAATTCGTCCATGGCGAAGGGAGCAGTTCACTAGTCTCGGTGATGCCATCCATTTTCGAAATATAAGGCGGATGAAATCTGCTTTGTGCCGGATATCGAGTGTCGTAGCTCTCTATATGCTGTTGCTAATATTGTAGCTCGGGACTGCTGCAAAATGGTCACAGCCTTTATACAGGTTGTCGAAGAGGATTTTCGACCGCTGTAGGACGGCGTAAACCAATAAATAGAGCGTAGCCTCCAAGATGTTATTTGAGAATGAAATGGCTGCAAGTCTGTGGCGGGCCGGAGAGTAGCGGGGGTCCCCTTTTTTTTTCCTTGACCCTCGAGCGGAATCTATCAGGTCGACCGGATAGAATGGCAGGACAGAAATAGAACTGAGTATAAATACAACTGAATTGGGAGCAGAAGCGAACGAACAGGCCAGAGAAACAATTGACTGGCCCAGAAAAGAGCGGCAAGAGATACTTAGAGATACTTGAGCCACCTAGCGGAACATCTTGCTCTGTCTGGTGTGATAGAAGTCAAAAATCAGTATGAATGATTGAAGGCACATAAATGATAAATGAATGGGAGTGCTGATAGCCACGAAGCACGACAACTGACAGCAGCAAGGCCAAAGACAACACCACCTGAGGAGGACAAGTGTAGACGAAAAGATGAGGCCGGGGACGGGCTGTCTTAAGTCACAAAAGAGAGTAGAGAAAAAAGCAAAACGGAGCAGGTGGGAGAGTGTTGTTGTTGTTGTAGTTGGGTAGTTTAACGTAGATAGATCTGACACATACGAGACAACAGAAACAGATGGCGTGGCAGGACCCAAAAGTCAAAATACCTAGTTAGTTACTTACTGTGTCCGTTTGCTGGTCAAACTCAAGACCTGTTATAAATATCCAAGGCAAATGCTTATTTCTATAGTAGTTAACTAGTTACTAGCTCTGAAATCCTATAATCTTGCTGCTTGCTGTCTGCATTGGAATTATTGAAAAGTTTATGCACTCGATTCATTGCCTGCCCTGATCAGGCATCTGCAGGAACCCAGCTTCACAATTAACAAGGAAAAAAAGAAAAAATGGGGTAGAAAGCTTTTTAACTTAACCTGTTTCTCATCTCGCGCGCCACTAAGGAGCTTCCGCAGTTCTGATACAGCGCTCTGTTTGAGATGGATGGGAAGCTTCGGGCTAGCATGGCCCCCAGCCTCTTCTCTCCCTACTTGTCTCATCAAGGCGATCCGAGCGATGTTGGAGTGAGTGAGTGTGGATGGTTAAAAAGAAAAAAATATAAGAATTAGGGCATGGCATGGTATTTATCCCCTGGCTAGTTCTGCATGCTTATAAGTTAGAAGCTACATACATACATACAATCCCGCAGCATGTAGATAAAAATTCAGGGACGAAAAGTTAGATGGATTGATTATCAATATTTTTATATTTTTGCTATTTATTATTTTTTAGTATTTTAAAACTCTTATTCCCCCTTTTTCAAGAGTATCACCCCTGAAAGGGCAGATATTTCATTTACTCAAACAGAAGTATTTAAATGTATGATCTCCATGAGACTACTGTAATGTAATGTGGCACAGAAGAAGGAAATACTTGTATGATTTCCAAGCATATATACAGCAAAAGAAAATATGAATGAATTGAACTTTGGCTCATTTTTGATACCGACACACTCTGGAAATGGCTGACTGAGTGACTTGACTAACAAACTCCTCAACACTGTTACAGATGGCTGTTTCAGGCAGGGGGTAGATGGAGATCATACACATCTCAGAGAGGTGGTTTTTATCAATATGAATATATTAATACAACAGGAGTGGATGTATGCATGCTTATTTATTTTGCCCAGCAGCTATCTTTCTCTTTGATGCAACTCTGAATTAGAAGCATGATTTACTACCACTCATGCATTCTAAATTCTAACTATGCAGACATGATAAAGACAGGAAGTGCCTACACATACACCACATCTCCATAATGCTGCCTTTTTACTTTCTAAAATAAAATACCAAAGCCATTCCTCTATGCTATAAAGACACAACAGGGAAATTATACGAGATGAATGTATTCTTCCATCCGCCTGCCATAAACATGCAAGCATGTAACTGGATGTAAGTGCAATGTAAATGCAAATTAATTATAAATTAAATATTGACAGTTCAAAACCCACTTGCAGAACATATCCAAGAAAGGCCATCACTTCCTTTCCCCTCTGTCTTTCAAAAATCCTGATGTAAACAAAAGGAAAGCGCAATGAGCAAAGCTATAATAAGTATAAAGGGGAAGCGGTACTAAAGTAATAAATAAACAAGGAGATGAAAGACGGAGCAAAAAAAGAAAAAAAAAAAAAAGGGGGGGGGGAAGAGGGGGAGGAAATAAGTAAAAATATACAAATAAAGAACAAGAAAAGGAGAACAAAAATGAGAAGGCCAAAACTATCAAGCAACCGAGACACCGAAATCAAAAAATCAAAAAATCAAAAAAAAAAAAAAAAAACACAAAACATGAAAATCCAGCATCCTTCCTTGGCTGCATGCGCATAATTACGTCCTTTCTCAAAAGCCACTTTTTCGTTCCTTTGAAATCTAGAAAACGTTACTAGAACCAATAGCAAAGACAAAAAAAAAGAGGGTAAAGAGAATAGGATGCAAATCAAGGCGAGGCCCGGTCACATCAACTGACATCACCCATATCTAAAATCCAAAATTCGTTTCGACGACAGCTGCCGGCCCAGCCCTTTCTCCAACTTGTCATGTGTATCGTTATTCTGTATGTGTTCCCTAATAAAAAATCGTGTTTGTATACATGTATATGGTGGTATCTCGGTATCTCTGTAGGAGCATTGTTGTCTTATCAAACTCTGCTGGAGAAAATTCTAGAGGAAAAGGAGACGGAAAAAAAAAAGGGGGGCGAACAAAGGAAAATGCATAGAAATGGTATTGTGTGTATAAGGTGTATATATATGTGGGTGCAAGGAAGGGAACGAAATGAGATACGGCAAAGGGAAAGAAAAATGAGGTCAGAAAGCATGATGGATCATGACTAGGATCTTAATAGGTCCAAGTAGATTATGGGGAAATGAAGAAAAATGGTGGAGGACTTTTTTTCTTCGGCGATTTATTCCCGCCCTTGCGGCCGACGCATCGTGAAGCTTCGCCGGATACTTTCGCCCCACGCAGAATTGTCCAGTGACTCCATCACCCCTTGCACGCTGACGGAGCTATCATCGGGTCGATGATTTGTAATATCATCCGGACTAGGTGGGGTGGAACCGTATAGCGCGCGGCTTTGGCGCGGAGACAGCGAGGGGCTTCGACTCACCCACTCATTACCACGTGTTGGAGAGCCTGTGCCTCTTAACATTGGCGAGACATTTGTGTCGATAGAAGGTGGACTGCGCATGTGTCCGCGACCATCCGAACCGCCGGAGGAGCGACTTCGTGCGTCTGGCGAGAGCATGGGAGAAGGGAAGGTTGGATCTGAAAGCTGCGAGTGGCTGCGTTGGCGTTGTTGCTGTTGTTCTTGCTGTTGTTCTTGCTGTTGTTCTTGCTGTTGTTGCTGCAGTTGCTCCTCGTGCTCGCCATCTTCGACGAAGATTTCTGGAACGGCGAATTGTGGTACGGAGACTAGGCGAGAGTCATGATGGGGTTCGAAGCGGCGGCGGAATTTTCGGGACCAGTACAATGTGTCGAAAAACCCAATTACTACACTTCGTCTAACGGCTTCCTCCACGCGCTGCAGACGAGCTCGACGACGGAGGAATTCTTCGAGTCTATAAAGGGAAAGAGATATATGTTAGAAAGTACTATATTTAAGACTCATAGATCAGGGAAGGTGACTTACCTCAAACTCTTACTATCAGTGATCACGTTGTAGTGAGCAAGAATCATGAGGCAAGAAGTAAAGGAAATGCCTTTTTCAGGGTCTGCCGAGACGAGAACTTCTTCATAGAAGGCATTCATTCGAGCGCGTTTTCTGCGGATTTGCTGGACGGGGATGCGATCAATCCTTCGTCTCAACTTGTCCAAGTCGATTCCATCGACAGCTCGAACATATGGCGCTTGATTCGATTCCCTGCGATGGACTTTGCAGTCTTCCACAATGCGGCCAACTGTAAAGTCACCGTCATAGATGCGCATTTCAAATATGCCGGACAGTTCCTACAATTTTGTTAGAACAGGGGCGGGTAAGTAATGTGTACCTGGCTTGACTTACCCCTAATAGCCTTGGAAATGCTTCCTTGGAGATATATCCAGTTCCATCAGGATCGTAGGTAGCCCAGGCCTGTTTAAAGCGCCTGATCTCCTCTCTGCTGATCGCATACAGCCCGCTGCTTCGTTGATAGACATAGGAAAAACTCTCGAAAATGAGCGACACGAAGAGAGATACAAAAATGTACATGCTAACGATATTCCAGGAGATAAACAGGGTACGAGCCCAACCAGCACTGCCGCAGTCGCTCTCGAAGAATTGACCATCAGCTGTGCAGTAAGGTGGTACCATCGTGGCAAAGTCTTCCATTACTTCGTTCCAACCCTCTCCAACACTTGTGCGGAAAAGAAGAATAAGGGCCCTCGGTACGTCTCGGAAATTGATACTGCCAGTTTCCCCTTCTCCAAACTTTGTAAGGCCAAATATCTGGGTGAGGGCAATTGCGTAGACCAGGAAAAGAACGAACCAAGTCGCCAGAAGGTTGCCAATAGCCGTCAGACTAGCAGCAGCAGTTTTGAATAACTGATCGAGCTGGTTGTTCCGAGGTATCATCAGCAAAGCTATAGAGACAAGAAATAGTTTATGGAGCCGTGTGAAGACGATATTCTCGTATCGGACCACCGAGAGCATTGTCGTGACGAAAGTACCAGATACCGAGATGATCGAGTATAGATCCCAAGAACTTCTGCTGAATCGCTGCCAGGTTAAGCCGACAACACGAATGAAAATGTTGGCGATATAGAACATTGTGAAAATCAAGAATAGAATATCTGTAACATATATGAGCGGGCGGCTCCTGAGTGATACTGCGGAAAGGAAGGGAAGCCTTACCTCGAGTTCTGTCCCACCAGACAGATTCAGGATAGAACTCAAGAACCAGGAGAAGTAGATGGCATAACAGAAGTCCAGTAATAAACCTTGACCAGCGTCCATGCTTTTTGACCGCAATTTTGTAACACCACGATTTGATTTTACTGCTATCCTTGTCAATGGATCGCTTGGAGGGGGATATTTGTCGTAGATGTTTGCGTAGTTCGAGCCAAGACCGTTGCTCTGCGGTCAAAAATGCCACCCCTGTCTGTTCAGTGTAGTTTCGCATAAAGACTGAAACAAACAGTGTCAGCACGAAGACGGCGCCGAGCAAGTTGAACACGACAAAGAAGAGTCCATTTTCTTGAGATGCGAGGGGCACAGGTTGTTGATTTACTCCAGTTATTGCCATCGCCTCCCATAGGACACCCGTCCAGCCTTCCTGGGACACAATTTGGAAAAGAATGAAGAGTGATTCGCCGAAGTTGTCGAAGCTGAAATACGGATTCGAAACTACCCGTGGTGCAAGAACATCCCATGCATATGGGGAGCTCATATATTCACCAACACAGTGGTCTAGTGAGCTGTACCCAAAGTCATCATCGTTACATGATTTGAACTGTCCGTTAAAAAGATTCAAGCCGTAGATGGCGAATGGGACGAGGAAACTCATTGAGACGAATGCCGCCTACAAACCCTTCTATAAGCATCGAACCAAATAAGAAAGAAAACGTAGGAGTGGAAAATGTGTAACTTACAGAAATAACCTTCCACCCACCCAATATAATCACAGCATGGAACGTTTCTCTCGCGCTGTCACTGACATTTAGCAACCTCAAAGCTCGCAGAGCTTTGAACGCACCCACAACACGCGATGTAGCAGTAGCGTTAAATATTGCCGATACGACATTAATCCAAAGCGTAATCAGCACGATTCCATCAATGAAGCCCCAAGAGCCTCGAAAGTAAGCATTTGGCGTCCAAAAGAAGCCATCTGCAATAACTTTGATCACTGCCTCGATCGTGAAAATAATTGCAAAAGCCAGATCCGTCCAAACGAACCAGTTACTGAGACCAGGTTTATGGGTTTGGAGGTAATTGCGCTGATAAAGGGGCGTGGCAATGCAAGCAAGCAAGACCATAGCGACAATCGCGGCATAAATGAACGCTGAAAATGTATACCATACTGGCTTGTATGGATCTATTCCTTCGATACGACTGCTCCCTCGACCCGGTCCAACGATGCGCTGGCAGAATCGTCGTAGTGGATTCGTGGGCTTGAAGATATACAATGATACATTATAATTAGGATATTTTTGGAGATATTGGCGTTGAGCTCGCTTCCGCTGTTCGGACGCAGAAAGAACTTCCTTAGCCATCGCAGTTGGATCCGAATCGTCATAAACTTTGGAAAACTTCAGTTTTGAATAAAAGGGATTAGGCTCTCGGTTCATAATTCGGTTTTTAAATGAGCTGAAAAAGTTCGTAACGCCGTTTTTATGTTCAGGATGACCGGGTTGAATTTCCGTTGGTTGGATGTCTGCAGGTGGTGATCGTGGTTGCTCATCGAGAAACTCGTTTACGACAGCATCCTTCAGTAACATTTCAAGCGCCGCAGGCCCATGATCGAGCGGGTCTCGGAATCGAGAATTGCGACCAAGTCTGAATATAGTTGACAGCGAAAGATTGCCCTGAGAAGACCCACTAAGCTGCTTCTGCTGTAGAAACGCCTTCACCTGCTGAATTCGCTTCTCATCCTCAGACACATCGAAACTCTCCTGGATGACAGCAATGAACATGTTTAAGACCACAAAGTTAGCCAGAATGAACCACATGATGACGAATATTGCCGAGATCCAAGCTGTATTCCACGGATAGGTAGATTCGACCGCCGAATATAATATAGCCGTCCAGTTCTCGCTGGAGAGTATTTGATACATTCCTAGAAACGAGTTGTAGATGTCGAAAAAAGTAATTTGAATCTCGTTGCCTCCTATATCCTCTGAAGGTATCTGGCCCCGAAATAACTGAACGGCGAATATTGACGCCAAAAAGGTAATGAGAAACACGAATATGATGAGATTGAGTAAACCAACTACGTTTTTGAAAACCGTCTTGATCAAATCGCTCATCACGGAAAATGCAAGAACGATGCGATATATACGCAATACCTGGAATATTGATAGCGCAGCATACGTGCGGCCGGAATAGCGTATTGGCGGTATTATAATGATGCAGGTAATTATCGCGAGCGCCAAATCGACCCAGTTACGGGCACCTTTAAAGAAGTTCCTCCAGTCTGACGCAAATCGTAGGAATATTTCAGCGGCAAGAATAATGGTGACGAGTATTTCCGTCCTGTCGATAAGTTTTCGCCGGTGAGGCCCCATGGAAGAGCTCCTGAGACCCTGAACCACAAGACCGAAGGTAATCACAGCAATCCATAGCCAGTATGTTCGATCGTATAAAAGTTTCAGTCCACGTAGTTTGCGAGGAGTATCGTCCTCGAACTCTCTCTCGTCTATATGCTCGCTGGTAAACGCGCTGCGCTTGCTTTCTTCCCGAATAACTTGGAATGACGAGGTGATGACAGCAACTAACAAGTTGACAAGCCACAAACTCAGGACTATGAATCCGAAGACGAAAAACAAAGCAGCGGCAAGGTAGTCAGTGTCGGTCATATAGTAAAGGATGTCGGTAAAAGTGTTCGAGCTCATTACTACGAAAACGAGCTGCAGGGAATGAGCAACATCGTCAAAGCTGATAGTTCCACCATATGGATTGCTGCCTTGTACACAGAGAGAGCCCTCAGGGCAGAGGTAACCCTTCGGGGCGGCCGCGCCGGCTGTCCCATCAGGCAAAACCCAAGGCTTGCTCGCACCAGTGCCAAGCTCACGATACCCTCCACAGAATTGGACGTTATCGGGCGCAGCATTCAGTGTGAAGTTGCTTTGGTTCTCAGGATCAACCCAGACGCAAGTCCGGCGCATGCTGGACTTGAAGCTTTGGACGCCGACAATGGCAAACAGGAGCCAGAAAAAGCTAATGAGAAAAGCAACATGGACGAGTAGAGGGGCGGCTTTTTTCAAACTTCGGAAGATGACCTAGAAATTTTAAATAGAACATGAGCTGAGGCCGTAGTTTGTATATATAATAAAACACATTTGAAAGATGTAAAACCTACGGAAGTACCACTGGTGAGACCCAAAAGCCTCAAAATGCGAAGGCAGCTCAGCATTCGAAATACGTAAAGATGGTGTTGCGACTCGAGAGATAGGTTTGATAACACAAACGATATCCAATATGATACAACAGCAAGGAAATCTATCCTGGTGAAGGAATGACGGAAAAACGCACGCCGCGCAAGACGATATCGCTGCAGGGAACTAGAATGCCCGGATCGGTCTGCGGTATTTTGAGCACCCGTGAACGACCTTAGTACGGATATTTGAGGTTCGGTCGGGTTGCCGGATTTCCTTGTGGATAACCCTCGCTGTGGCATCAAGAGATCCTTCCCTTTTGCGACCAAAGCTTTTCTTAAACCCAACGATCGATCCAAAGTACTATATTCATCGGCGTTGAACATAAGTCCAGATACAATGATCCTCGCGCTGATCTCGAGTGTATATATGAGAAAAAGAACGAGGAACGCGTAGTCGAAAGCAGGAGTGCCCCAACGACTCCCCCGTTCGCCTTTGTATACCGAAGATTCAATAGCTAGAAGTATGGTCTGGATGATAATGAGGATGAGAATTATCGGTTCTACCGCAGGGTGGATGAGGATTTCCAGCAACCCTCTCCGCAGTTTACTGTTCGGAGAAAAGATACCCAACGAATTGCCCTTGAGCGGGTTTTCCTCCGTTTGGTAGGCATCTGGGTCTCGCAGTTTAGAGAAAAGCGACGGGCGCTTTTCTGGTGGGTAACCATCGTCTAAACCCGGCGTTGATATGTCATGAGCATACTCTGTCATTGCGGGTAGTGACGGTGGAGCTTCAAGGCGAGCCTGCTTAAGCGACGATTTGTGCCGAAGCGTCTGGTCCACAATCTCCGGTTCATTACTGATATTAACCACACGCTGCGACATCATTCTCATCATCGAGCCAGCTCTTGACAACGCAGAATTGGGAGCTGGCGCAAGCTGCCGCGACCGGCGACCTGGTCGATTCCGACCGCCGGAGCCACTCCGCATCCTACTATTCCCTTCTTCCGAGTGTGGTAGGTCATCGACTAGATGCGGCCCAACGGCCGTCCGCTCGCTTGCGAAATGCACGCTCGGCCTGTCATGTCGCTGGCCATGTGAAATGGAGGCACCATCAATGGGTTGTTGATACCTCCGGTCCGTAAGAGGCGTTGTGTCATTTTCGTTCGTATCAATAGGCGACATGTAATTTTCCTCGTCAATGGGGGTCTGGCTGCCCATATAGGGGAACGGAGTCGAGTCATCGGAGTGCCTCACATGTGCTTGGTAAGAGCGCTGTGGACCTGAATCCCGACCCGAGAAATGTATCGTTGCTGGTCCATCAAAGCTCAATCCAACAGAGCCTATAGCTTCCTGAAAACTGTGATGGGCGCCAGCAGAGAACTCTTGGCCTCCATCGGCAAGGGATATGGGGGAATTATGGTGCAGATGATCGCTGGACAAATTGACCGTATGAAAAGTATCCATCCCACTCCGCTCGCGCGGACTTGGGGAATCCTCCGCTATCCGTTCATATCTCCTCCCAATACCCCTGCGCCCTATTATCGACGTTCTCCGGACAGGAAATCCCTCGCGACCTGCAGTGCTGCTGCTGCTGCTAGTTCTTCTGCGTCGCCGGTCTGGTACACCTGCTGTCGCAATATCCGGAGGTCTTGAGAGGTCTTGCAAGGGGATCGACTGGTCAACGGGAGAAGGCCCGGGTCCATAATTCCGCGGGTCGTAGCCGTTGTCGTTGTTATTGTTGTCGTTGTTGTTGTTGTTGTTCGGCGACGCCATGCTGATTGGCGTTGGCTATCGGAAGGCGGACATCTCAAAATGCAAACGACGCAACAACATAGAAGACCCCAATAAACAGCTCAATCTGGATATATATACTGTCGCAGTGTGCCGCCACTGCCTCTGCGCGCAAAATGAGCAGAAACGCAAGTTGTTCCGTTCACGAAAAGCAACGCTCGAGCACAGTTATGTGGGGGAGGGACGATATCAACCAACGTGGTATCTATTAGTGGGCGTGTCTATCGGCGGCTTGTATCTTGCGGCGAGGAGGAGGAGGAGGAGCGGTACTCTTGTTCCTAATTAACGGCACGATAGAATTCTCATTGACGTATTATTCGTTTAGTCTTGCCTCATGATATTCTCCTGGATTGTCGTCTGTTGGCAGCTCCGTGAGAATGGGGCCGGCGAGTTTATGAGGGTTCAGGTCCAAGGTCCATGCAATAATACGGTACCTCTGTAATAATTCATACACAGCTGAACGAACAAGTTGGCGCGGAGCTCCGAGACCGCATTACAGCGTATCCACAGTAATATAAGTGTCAAGCGCAAGCCAGGGGTAACAACAATAATGTATCTCGAATACGGCGTCACAAGCTTCTTGCTGGACTCTGCAGCGCCAAGGTTAACTGGTGTGGTTCAACTGTTGGGCTGGCATACGCAGTAGTGCAAATATTCGCAGTTTCTCGGGCTAGACAGACATGGCAGATCTGACTGTGGCTTTACACAACTCCTGAAGGCTGTACTCCGTAGCGGCGCTGACGGGCCGTCTAGCGGGAAACGGGGATCCACGTAATATTCTTGTAGTTTATCCATGGTTCTCATTAGCAGTGTTATAGTGTAGAAAGATATATTTTTTGATATAGTACTCCGTATATATGATACTATTAAAATATACTGCTCATACATGCTCACGATATAGAGAAAATAATTCATAATGTGATTATACTCATTTTCTATAGCTGTAATAATAATTGAATGTAAAGATATAAGATGATGAAGTGGCTCACTTGCTTGTGTGACTTGCTCACTTGTGGATTACATTAATCAGTCTTGTGCAGAGTGCCTCCACAAGCCAGTAGCCCTGACGATTCCTGAAACGTGGTTCCCGGGAAATTTCGGTAGCAGGCAACATTAGGATCGCAATCGTTTCTCTCCTTTTTGTGAGACAAGATCTGTATGAGGAGGTGAGAAGTAGCGTGCTGTATCATTTAGATGTATTAAAAATTCCTAAGATATCGCTAGCTTCATAGATCCCTAATCTGTCTCCATCTTGTCTTGGCAATCCTGCTCCTTCTCTTCAACATATCTCTTGACGCCTTCCAGAAATGCGCGAACAGCATCTCCTCCTCCAAGCGGGACCCCACCACGACGCATAAAACCGTCGTTTTCCACTGGGATCTTCAGCGCATCACTGATACTGGGTAGCCCACCATCGCGCAATGCCACAGTAAGGCTACCAAGGCTCTGTGTAAATTGCGGCGATCGTAGAACCCTCTTAAGTATATCTCGTTTTTGTTCGAGAGTCAAAGCCTGCAATGCGTCTTTTACGGGTCCAGAGTCCGGCTCCATATTACTGGGTATTTCAAGGTTCGATTGCGCAAGAAGTAAGAGGGACGTAGGAAGAAAGCTAAGGAGATGGTCGACCGTTTCGGAGTCCGCTGATTCAATGAACGGAAGCGTTGAAGATGGGGGAAGTAGCTCTGAGAGTGTTGTGAATGGGTCTTCGGCTGCTTCTGGCCCTGACTGTTGGTTTCCTTGCTGCTGGAGGGACCTGAGGAGGTTTTGGATAACCGAGGATGGATCTGACGACGCAGTAGCGCTTTTCATGGTAGTTAGCGCCCGAACAAACATATATACCACAACAGCGAAGTTGCAGGAAGGTAAAGAGATCGAGATATAATGTTTAAATTTTGCTGCTTTAGCCATGAAAATGACATCTGCGTAATTACATAATGGTATGGATCGCATTGTGCACAGCATGAACCACTCCATTTGTTTTTTGCTTGTCCGTTTTGTTTCTTGTGTTTTGTAAACATGTCCGATCATAATTGCGGAAAGTTGTACCTACGCTCTTCCACCGTCCGCTCCGCCCTCCCTCGACTCTTGGCCTTCTTCACGTATATCTCCTCCAGTAGCTCCCGGTCCCGCGCCGCCGCTGCCACCTGCTCGATGGATTGGGTTGTGGTCTGCGCCTTCAACATCCTCCATGGTTTCATCATCGTCACCCCCGTTGCCACCATCATTATCCCCGGGAATGTTAGCAATGGCATGACGAACATCGATGTCCTCGCCTTGCAGCAAAGCGTTCACGATCCGTCCTAGTTCTAGATCCCTTGCGCTAAACCAAGCCGGGTTGCCGTTTGAATGTTGGCTTTTTGATTGTAGCCAGAACAGGTGTCTTTGCGAGCTGGAAGAGAATTTCAAAGCATATACTCTTCCATTGGTAGGTCTGTCGGTGTTGGAGGGGTTTTCCGCGCTGGTGCGTTTGTAGGGGGTGAAAGTGCCATCGGATGGGACCATGACAAGATCTAACTCGGGTTCATCGAGCGAAGCAGAGCGTCGACGCCAACAAAAATGTACCAGGTCATCTTCTGAGTACAGGTAAATGTACCCTGGAGCTGGCTGTGGTTTTACTCTAGGGGGAGAAACGGAGGCCTATATTGGGTAGTAGGCTGTCAGATATTTATACCTCAGGCGATGTACATCATGGTTAAGGTCTTAAAGTCGAACGGCTATTGAAGAGAAGTTTGAATAAGCTAGACAGATGATGAAGCGACTTACATCAAGCTCGCAGAGGCCTGCTTTGAATGTGATGATAGGTGCTATCGACATGGCTACTAGATGTGTTTTCGTGGGGAACCAGGAATCAAAGATACTACTACTGTGTATGCAGAGACGGTTGCAGGGTTGAGACGGAGCAGCTACCTGCGAGGGCGATGCTACTGACGTCGGTTTTTGATGTTGTGTTGATGATGCTTGATAAGTGACCTTGGAAAAGGTTCCGAGTCAGGTGGTTTGGCCCAGACACTCCAGCTCCGGATTGGCACTAGCGCATTCGGCTAATCGGTAGGGCAAGGGATCCCACAAAAACACCACGTCTATACATACACCACGGCCACCCGTAAGCCAGACGACGAACGACCCTGACAACACCCACCGACCGTCGACAACTTGGACCTCCTCCGACCTCCAATTTTCTTCTTTCCCACATCTTCGTCACAATAGCCAATATGTCGGCGACTTTGGACTCAAAGTCTGTTGGCCAGACGAAGAAGTTTGGAAAGGGCGAGAGGACCATCCCCGCCCAAAAGGCACAGAAGTGGTATCCCACTGAGGATGAATGCCAGCCGAAGAAAGTCAGTATCCCTTTTATCGCCTTTACTACTGCTACCAGAATATTCATCTGCCCGGGAAATTAGTGGGGTTGTTGGGAAGCATTGCTTCAATATCCGCAGATTGTGTATGAAGGGATTTGATAGGCCTTTTGATCGATACACACACGCACAATTTCGCGATCTCGCGCACATCAAAAATTTCAATCTCAAAGCCTTTTCACAGTTCGGACAAAACTGACAAAATGGATATCAAAAACAGGTCCGCAAGACAATCCACCCCGCTAAGCCGCGGCCCAGTCTTCAACCCGGCACCATCCTCATCCTCCTCGCTGGTCGTTTCCGCGGCAAGCGTGTCGTCCTCCTCAAGCACCTCCCCCAGGGTGTCCTCCTCGTTACCGGTCCCTTCAAACTAAATGGCGTTCCTCTCCGGAGAGTAAACGCCAGATACGTCATTGCCACAAGCGTAAAGGTCGATCTCAAGGGCATTGACGACAAGGTTTTGGAAAAGGCCTCCGAATCCGACTACTTCACCCGGGAGAAGAAGGCGGAGAAGAAGGGAGAGGAAGCTTTCTTCAAGCAGGGAGAGAAGCCCGAGGTACGTGTCTGTGTTGGGATCTACCCCTTTTTCGCCATGGCCGAATTTTTTTTTTCTCCTCATCGGCATGTTATTGTGCGGGTATGCGCGGATGTATTGGTTGCTAATATATTTCACGATTGAAACAGAAGAAGAAGGTTGTTTCCGCCCGTGCCAACGACCAAAAAGCCGTAGACCAACCCCTTTTGGCCACCATCAAAAAGGAGCAGTTCCTTGCCAGCTACCTCTCCTCCAGTTTCAGTCTGCGGAACGGTGACAAGCCACACGAAATGAAGTGGTAAACTGGCTGGTTGTCGAATGGGGGAAAATTGAAATAGAAAGAAATCGGGAGCGGGTTTTTTTTTCTTTTTCTAATCCATTTACGTCTTGTCTTGCGCGGGCTTTTTTTTTTTAAACATTGGGGGAAAAATCATTTTGCTCTTTCGGAGAAACAAAAGAAGGGAAAAAAATATGAAAATATACACCAAAACTTTCCACGAAGGTTCTTCTTTTCAATGAGATAATGTACAATCACCATGGCCATGGCGATTCTTTCCCACTATTAATTTGGTGGTTTTTCATCGAAAAATCCCTTTATTCCGTTTTGATGAGCCCCTCCTTTTAATTCTGCAAAGGCATTCTTTAGTACCCGCCGCTTGCAATACAATACCTTTTCCCTCGAAGCTCCGTGATTTTTTTGCTACTGGGAGGACTGATTCCCTTTTGCTTGTTTAGTTTAGCATGTTATCTCATTAACTATCATATTCGCAGGTTCTCGCATTTCCCAGATTACCTCCGTTCCCATATCCAAAAACCGGAGAGGTATATACGTACACATCGACATCGACAAAGCCCAGCCCCCGGAATCAACACTCCTGATATTTTGCGTCCGCGGCCAAAATTCACATAGATAAATGTACTCCCTGAACTTCTCACCGGAAAACAAAATATCTCGAACGCAATGACGTTTAAACATCCCTGATAGTACATCTTCCCACCCTCGCATGCACAGGAAAAGGCAAAAAGACAAAAAGAAAAGAAAATACCTCAATTACGAATCCACCGGGCCTCGGCCCCGATTTCGTAGCCCCCTAACCTTCCGCTTCGGCTCCTCAAGCGCCACATCAAGAACGTCCTCGATATCGACTTCATGCTCTTCGTCGTCTCCCTCACCCTGAGACCCAGTGTGGCCCACCGTAGTCCCGCATATCCAGTCCACGGCCCCCCACGACCCGTAGTTGCCACGGCCTTTGCTCAGGAGGTGGAGATCGGCCCTGCGAGCGACGCCGCCAATGAAGAAACTGGTGGGCATGATGCTGTAGCCGGAGTGAGAGAAGGTTTCTTCGAGGGAAATGAAAGCGAGGAAGATGAGGTAGGTGAGCAGGTGGAAGCGGAGGGTGGCGGCGGGGAGGAATGCGGGTATGAAGCGGTAGAGGAGGTAGGCGAGGGGATGGTCGTAATGCGCTGTTAGTGGGTCAGGGCTACGGAGCGAGTGGTACCATTCGTCATGGCACTTTGCGACGTAGGCTGATGGAGAGTGGAGGATGTATCGGTGTATGACGTATTGGAGGACCTATTTGTTATTAGCACCATTTCAAGCGATTAGTTCCATGTTTCCTTTGGTCTTGGTTTCCCCCAAGTACTTGACTCTTGGGCCTGATTATCTCTAAGGGGAATCAGGTATTTATTAGTCTCATATATACTCCGTACCTCTCTCCCTACAAGCCCCAACGCCAAGTCCTTCAGAACATCCCACGGCAAAGGCAGCCTCGCCGCCACCCTTATCGCGCTCTTCACTCGGAGCACTTTCGTTAGTACCGCCTCCACAAGCCCCTGCAGAAAAATGCTCATTAACAGATTAAACACCGCCCAACCCGCAACCTTCAGCGCTCGTTTCCAGCACCTCTTCCCCTTCTTTGCCGCCGGGAGGTCCTGGATACCTTGCGCCTTTATCACTCCCGCAGCAGACGGAAATAGCAAATTGAAGAGGAAAAACAGCGCGGACGGAACTAGATATAGTAATAGGCGGACAGCACACGTTCCTACAATTTCAACCTTTAACGGGGGGCTTGACAGGACCAGCGTGATCCATGTGATGTAGAAGAAGATGATGTTGAGGCTTGTGTTGTAGGAGGACATGGCGGGGATGAGGAGGTAGGAGAGCACCGGGATGGAGAGGAGGAGGTCCAACATTTTCGGAGTTTTTTAAGGTACAAAACGAATATAATGATAAAATTTTACACATAACTATGCATATTTTTCAAATTATATAATATATTCTAAAGGCAATTGGAGGAAGATTTCTGGCTTTTTTTAATTGTCGCGCGTTTGTTTTGTGAATGTGGCTGGTGGATTCCAAGATTATTTATTTTGGCCTCGATGTCATTCCTGCTTATTTATTTCAAGTGCTTGGCTTAGTTACTAGTGTAGTTAACTAGGAGGATCAACATTGTCTGTCAGTCTTGGCAGTTCAAAACAATGATACAAATCTGATATACTTTGATAATGATTTATTATTCTGTCTGCTCTGTTGAATGAAGCTGTGCTGATTTCTGAATATATACAGAGGATCCTATCACTAAGTGTAACTCTGTTCCCAGCATAAAGTATTTTCATTTCCTCTCTTAATCAGAGTTTTAAGGGGGTTAGTGCCTGTTGTGCGTGAATACACCAGCTCCAGTTTAATTAAAAGTAGCCTAATACATATGTCTCTGTAGGTCGGGCTGGGCTAGGGCTGGAGTAGGACATGCCATTTTTTTTTATCTCATTTTATATTGTATAACTATGTGTATTAAGACACACTCCAAAAACAAGAAAAAAAGTAATTCAGTATGAATTACAAACCCACAAACAGCCCTCACACAGTGTTTACTCCAAACAGTGCAGCTTTGAATACCTACCTATCTATTTTCCAGGGGAAAAAGGCAAGAGTGAAGCTTTTGTAAAAAGCTGATATTCAACGAATTACTTGCTTTGTCCAAGAGCTCATCTCCCTCTTTTTACCTGCAACCACAGAGTAGCGCTGATAAGCCTTGGAGAAGACTCACTGAAGGTGGATCGGTTCTCTCTCTACCTTGCCTGAGCTTTTGATATGCTGAGTAAATTATCAGTGTATAATAATGTTTCCTCAGAGCTGAAGTGTTCGCTAAGCGCCTTGGGGTGAGTACATATACTATACACGTATGCTTGTATCATATCATATCGAAATTATTTTGCCGAGAAAATCACCCCCCTCCTTTTAAGGTAAGGCAGTCCAGTTGGGGGCAATTCAGTGATCTCTGTACTAGTAATATTTCCCTGCTCTTCTTCTCAAGTATGCATGTAACAAGTGCTATCTATGTTTATATGGCCAAATTTATCATGCGCTCGATTTTGCTAGGCCGTCAATGATTCATTGCGGGGTATGGAGGTATTAACGTACTGATAAGATAACTAGCTATTATTATTGGTGTTTTGTGTGCAACAACACCCTTCTCTGGAGAGTGAGTTACACAATACATATGGATTCGTAAACTAGTTAGCGTCTTAGCGGCAAAGCTTAATATCATGTCCGCCGCCCAAACTGCCCCTGAATTTGAATCCACCTGCCCGCTGAAGAATGAGATTTACAAATTAGAGACCTGTTTCGAAAAACGATTCCGAGCTCACTGATAAGAAAAATAAAAATCTCTTGATTTGCAACATCTTCATGCTGCATCATCCACCGAATATCACTCACCGATATACTAAACTATATTCTGTAAACATGTAAACAGGACACGATGTTTCCACTTCCAACCATTTCACCAATGACACCGCATCAATGCACACAACCCCACGCTTAGCTCCATCCTCACACAGAGCCCCCGTATAAGGAGATACTTGATCTATCTTCGCTGTGAAATGCCTCCCTGCTCCCCATTACCACCACCGGTATTCCTCAATTGGAAAACCTCCCAAAACTCTGTGACAATCTTCAACATCACTTCACTGTCAGCGGCGGGGTCTTCTCCGTGCTGGGATAGCCCCAGCGCAGAAAGGGTCCAAGCCACATCGGCTAGGAAGCCAGTAGAGGTTGCGTCTGTCACGTCCGTGACCCAATCTATGAAAGCTTCCACGGCCATGGGTATGGAGGGGCTAGACCATGTGAATCCCCTGTATACAATGTTTGAGAGGATGGTGGTAGACCAGTTAGTAACTTGTGTCTTTTACCTTTCTGATGACGAGTTCCTTGATTCTCTGTCCCTTGTTCGATTTAAGGGGAGAGCGCGAGTGGAAAGGAAAAAGGGGTACGGGAAGGGAAGAGAAATAATTTAAGCTGCCAAATACGGTAAGCAAGGGAACATACATCCTCATAAGCCACAAGATCGTACGGCGATACTGCATGGCTGTTCTGTATACGCGCGTGAACTGCATCCAGCGTAGCACGCGGCCGGAGGGCTTTTCGATCTGCAGCGATGAGTCTGCGCGGCGCATGCCGTAGTCAACGGCAGCTTGTTCTGCCACAGCCCAGGATAAATCGTGGGCCTGCTCACAACTCCCCGGGGGGGGAGAGACCATCGTCAGCCATCTTTATTTCAACTTTCTTTCGATCGATATATCAAAACCACACGAAAACGGAGTTGTCCAAATATAAAGCATGGGAAGAGGGGGGAAATAAAGGGGGGGGAACAATCATACACCTCTATCCGTAAGCCTCCCCGTCCTCCTCTGATAAAAATAATCCGCCCACTTCTCACTTGCCGGATTCCCACCGGTATTACTCGACAAGCCCAGCGAGATAGCCGCACCCCTCTGCAACGCCTCGATGCACGCAGCATGTACAAGCGACAACCACGTGCCCGTGCCACCGATATCCTTCCTCATGAAGAAGGCAATGACCCCTTCAAACGCGCGGAATTGGTCCATGGAGTGCAACGCGTCCAGGCGCCAGGTGCTCAGATACTTGATGAACTCGAGTCGGCTCGCCATGGACATTGCTTCGATTTGGGTCAGGGAGCAGTCGAGGCTCTCCCAGCATCCATCGACAGGGTTAGTGCCGCTGTAGCCGTAGCTGTGGGTGTCTGGGGCTAACTTGTTAACTACGATGACTGTTTGGTCCCCATGGTCCCTAGGGGCGAGGGGCTTCAAGGCCCAGGCGGTAAGGGCGAGGAAGTGCAGGATAACGAGTGGCTTCATTTTCTTGTGGCGGCACGTAGGTAGTTAATGGGAGCAAGGTGCAGTATACGTAATTTGGAAGTCAATGTTTGTGCTTACTAGGATTTTCGAAATCCGTCCAGCGCAAGAGATGAGGATGAAGTTGAAGTAGGCTGGCTTGCAAGGTGGGAATGATGTCGGGAGAGGAGATGACGACGATGGGCGTGAATGCTCTTCTTTCTTTCCCCTTTGAGCCTCATCCATATCACACCCCTTTTTGGCAACCAAGAACACGTGAACCTCATCCATGTGGTTGAAATACACGGATATTTAACAGGTATTAAACTCGAATTATGGAAAATGGCTTGGCATCCAAATATGAGAAAAAATATCAAGTGGAATAGATATGATCTATTCTATATTCCAGAATCCCATTTCACGGAGAACGTTATGGAAGAAGTTAATAGAGAAACATAGGGTTGTTTATTGACGCCTAGGAAATGGTGTATCTAATATAGGGAACGAGGAGGTTATTAATAGGGAAAGCACATCGAGAGATATCACCATTATTCTTCCCCCATGCAGTCGTCCGTCACCGGTTGGGGTGCCACAGTGTTATCTTCCCCTTCCTTGGGAATGCCGTTGACTCGCCCCCACCGATGAGCCCTGGCTTTCAAGTCTGGGATAACCTGAAGGAAGACAAGAGAGCTCATCCAACTGGTAAGAGTGTCACGAACAATGCTGTTTCTATAACTACCCCCCATTGCACTTGCCTTCATCATCGTGCCTACCAGCATAGTCGTAACCATGTATTGGCCTCTTTCGAGCCCCCTGATAGCAATTGCAGCAACTTCGTCAGGCGTCTGTGGCTTGTCGGCCTCTTCAAGATGTTTCGTCAGGGCAGGCTTCAGTTTCTGTTCTTGGGCAAACCCAGGAGTCAAAATTCCCATCGGGAAAATAACGTGGGTTCTCACGTCCGCAGCAGGGGCGTTAAGGGACGGATTCCTCCGGGAGCCGTTATAAACCTCGATCTCAGAGGTCAAGGCATCTGCGAGAGCGCGTAATGCTGCTTTCGCTGGCGCATATGGCGCATACCCAGCGACCGGGACAAAGCATGCTGTGGAACTGGTAAAGATGAGATGGCGACGGGGTGTCTTCTCCGGAGCTTGGCCAGAAGCAGCAGGAGCTAGCCATAGCTTCATAATAGCCTGTGCGGTAAAAGCTGAGGTGAAATAATTTGTGTCCATCTGCGCTTTCAAGGTCTCGGGAGAGGTATGGAGAAAGAACCCGGGTATGCACTGCCCAACGCAACACCAGACAATATCAGGATACACTCCGCCGTTAAACTCGGTAACTTCGGCCATGACACGTTCGGATTCTTTGGGGTCGATCAAATCGGCTTTGATCCAATGGAATTTCTGGCCGCACATATGGGGGGCGCATGTCTGAACATTGTTTTTCTTTCGTCAGTATTAAGTCTAACACCCTCTATTGGTAAATACAAACAAAATGTCAAGCAGGGGCAAGTGTACCTTCATAGCTTCATAGACGGCGTTGAGTTTGCCCACATCGCGGCCGACGATGGTGACACTAGCCCCTTTTCTGGCCAATTCCAGAGCGACACTTTTGCCCATACCATCCGAACCACCTGTGACAACGGCCATCTATTACGTGCCATCAGCTATCAGCTACCCGGAACAAATGAAAAACAAGGGGCTTAAACTAAACGGGATCCCCAATACATACCCTCCCCGCTACTACGAACTGGTTAGTGGTCTTGAAGTAGTTTAGCATGCTGACGGCTAAGTATAGGAATGATATCAAAAGAGTGACTGCAGCGACTAGCTGGGGAGTTGACAACGACAAGTCAGAGTCCCCTCTGAGAAAGGATGTTAACGTGGCGCGGAAATCCTGCATGGCGGAGGAGCAATGGGTGTCTAGGCTGCGGTGGTTCTTTCCACGTTAAATGTGTAGGTGTCTGCCTATTTTTCCCTGCAATAGCAAAGCAGGAGCTGTCAACTAACTATATACCGAGCAAAATATTGTATATATATATCATAGGTAATACACACCTATCATTCATTCATTGGATAACTCTAGACCATGTGTAGAGTGTGTTGTGTGTGCCCTCGTAGCTCAGCACTTTTCCCCCCAGTTATGTTCTTTTCTCTTAGGAGAACAATTCAAGCATTTAAATAATAGCGTAACGCAATTGGCATAGAGAGGGCTTTCCTCTTACCGCTGTCAGCCCTGAAGGAAACTTTTTGGAACAATATCCGCACCAGAGACGAGACGTGACCTCACAAGACCAATAGAGTGGAACTGCCCAGACGCGCGGGTACCTGTCCCAATAGAGCCTAGGCGTTGGTCATCGATCACGCCAAGACATTCCGAGGAACTTTTTTTCTTAGAGCGGAAGAGGAAAATCTGCAGAAAGGCGGACAACTCCAGCAGCCGCTTGCTTTAGCAGTTCATTTCAAACACATATCTACTAGTCGTTTTCCAGGCTATCTATCGTGACAATGGGCAAGAAAAGAAAAGCCAGCAAGCTCTCGTCCGCAAAGCAGAGTGCTCCACCAGACCAAACCTCCAGGTTTGCAGCGGATGCTACGTTCACCGACTCGGAGGATGAGTTTGAACAGGGTCGGGATCGCATTCTCTTAGAAGAAGCCCCCGAGGCGAAACGGAGGCGTAAATTAGCAGAGCAAGGTAAATATTTATATTTTAATCCTTCTTTTCACTCCTGATTCAATTCTAGTTATTAACACCGTGACTATAGAGGAGATTTTCCAACCCTCCGACGAAGAAGTACTTGGGTATCTATCTGAATCTATAGACGGCGAAGATTTTGACGATGACGTTGATTATGATGAGGAGGAGGAGGATGCCCGGCAATCCACACTCAAGAAACCGACGCTACGTCTCCGCAATGCTACCAGTCCGATGGGTGATGATGAGGAGGGAGAGGGAAGGGGGGAGGAAGAGGATGAGGGCATGAAAGGATGGGGTTCGTCAAGGAAAGACTATTACGATGCAGACGTTATCGAAACAGAGGCAGATGCATTCGAAGAGGAAGCTGAAGCCAAAAAGATCCAACAACAACGCCTACAGGCTATGAACGAGGCAGATTTTGGATTCGACGAAAGCGAATGGGTTACATCGGGCAAAGACGGCCAGCGTGGCCAAAAGGAAGGGAACAATGTCGTTACAGAAGTTTTGCCTGAACTTCAGGTGACAGATGATATAAGTGTCGACGAACGGCGCAAGATCTTGAAACAACGATACCCTGAATTCGAGCCGCTGTCGAAAGACTTTCTCTCACTTCAATGCGTGCATGAGGAACTTGCTGCTGCCATGCAGAATGCAGATAATCTTGCGAATGGTGCAGGTTATTCATCTGGAACCGATAACGACTATGTTCCGTTACCAGTGGTTAAATTTCGTGCACTCTCCGCCTATCTCGGTGCAATCAGCATGTACTTCTTTCTCTTAACATCTCCTTCAAGAAATGGGGAAGCACGCCTCGCAATGTCGCCTGTAGAGCTAAGAGAACATCCAATCATGGAGACTCTGATCAACTGCAAGAAGCAATGGGAGGAGGCAAAGGGTGTGCAAGAAATCAAGGATTCTGAAATAGAGCCATATCACAGCACTGATGACGACAAAATATCGAAACCAGCAAACAAAGTCACAGAAATAAGTAAAACGCCCGTCGAACCTAAACGGGTGACCAAAACGAAGAAAACGAAAGCCCAAAAAGCTGCAGAAGACGCCAAGGCCCTCTCAGAAAAGAAGCGCAATGAGAAACTACTCCAGACTGAGGCTGAGCTTGCAGACCTTTCTAATTTACTTAATTCCCGAACAACCCAAAGAACAACTAAGCAAGCTAAAAAACCCACACCAAAGGACGCCGACTCAGACTTCGGCGACGAGACACCTCTCGACGCCCTCGAAGCGGAAGAAAAAGCCAAGAAGAAAAAGAGTCTCCGTTTCTATACCTCCCAAATCGCCCAGAAAGCCAACAAGCGTGACGCTGCTGGCCGTGATGCGGGCGGCGATACAGACCTGCCATACCGCGAGAGACTAAAGGATCGCCAAGCCCGTCTAGACGCCCAGGCTGAGAAAAGAGGCCAGCGGACTGCGGACGATCTCCACGCGCTTGGCGGAGATAGCGACGAGGATGATCATCGGCTCGCGAGGGAGGTGCGAGGCGACAAGAGCGGTAATGGTGGCGCAGGTTCGGATTCGGACGATTACTATGACATGGTCGCGGCACTGTCGAAGCAGAAGAAAGCGGATAAGAAGAAACTTGCTGACGCGCATGCTGCGGCTGCGCGCGAAGGGAAGGGGGCCCGCGTTGAGTTCGAGGAGACTATTGGGGAAGATGGGAAACGGGCCATTACATATGCCATCGCGAAGAATAAGGGCCTGACGCCGAAGCGGAGTAAAGATGTGCGGAATCCGAGAGTTAAAAAGAAGAAGAAGTATGAGGAGAAGAAGAAGAAGTTGGGGAGTATTCGACAGGTTTATAAAGGTGGTGAAGGCCGTGGTGGGTATGGCGGCGAGCTTACTGGGATCAAGACTAATTTGGTTAAGAGTGTGAAGTTATAAATTATTTATTGTATTCATGTAAAATCGATGATGGGATGGGTTTCTTATGCACTCCGTATTAGATGCGGGAATGGCGTTGTTGGATTGCGTTGGGCTTCCCTACGCTGTTTATACTGCATAAATAAACAATATGCTACCAAGTTTCGAGTATGATGAGGTTGGGGGATGCTTATCTGCTAAGGTTTTGACTTGATATACCCTTTAATATGTGGTATCTTTATATCTGTTTCGTAACTCTAGCGCTAGATAGAAATACATAACTCTAAGTTATATCACTGATCTAAATGATAAGTTCACCAACAACTGATTATGATGAGCACATGAGGGTAACTGGAATATGAGGAAACGTTCATACGCACTGGCTGCAAAAGGGATGACACTCTGCATACCGTCTCGGGAAAAGCATGCCATCCCAGCCCACGCAGAGTCATGTAAGCCCAGTCATTATCGTGCTACCATAACTCTTACCAATAATATTTTCCAGCAACGCTTCTGGTCGCTCACTATTATCTTCACACCCGTCACCCGCACCATTAGGTCCGTGGGAGAAATCCGCACCAAGGAACCTCCTCGCCATACTCTCCTGCGCGGAATCCATTTTTAGCATTTTGCAGAACGCACTCATCCAGTTTCTCGAACCCCAACAAACAATTTCGAAGAACCACTTACCGCCTCTTCAAGCTCGCCCATTTCATCCGCAGACATCTTCGCACAAATGACCACAAGATCTTCACCACGGGCAGCTAGGGTACCAATTTCATTTGCGCGCGAAATAATGGCTTGGTCAATCCCATTCAACGCCGCACAGCTTGAGAAGTTCGCGTTAATAAAATAAAATGGAGGGTCACTATCAACGAGTCGGCTATGAAAATCTCAGTATAAACTTACTTAGTTCCAAAGCTGGCATTGCTCCGTCCAGATCGGAAACTATATAGCTAATGGATCAGTGATTTATTTGATTTTCAATGTTTAGGATTAAAAGGAAAAATACGATAGGTACTCAACTTGTATAGATATGTGACCTGATTCTCCACCTCTCTCGCAGCCGGATCAACTTGAACTTCCATGTACCCAAAATCAAGCTCTTTCCTTGGGGGTAGAAATCCGTTTTCGAATATCTCATGGAAGTGCGTTGCGGCGAGCACCTTCGGTCTCTTCTCACCAAGACTGAGTAAGTATTCGAACAGCCCACAGGCGAGACCCGCGCCATCTATATAGCATGTGTTGCCTTAGCCAAAGCTCAGAGATAGATTGCTCCCAAATCAAATAGGGGATAGGAAGCCGACCGGTCGATTCTGTCCCCTTGCCAAATTCATCGATTATAACCAGGCTATGCTCGGTTGCGAGGTTTAAAGCAAAGGATATTTGCTGTAAGTCGATCATAAAGGAGCTTTGGGTCTGTCCGAAAAAATGAGCATATTGAGAAAATGATTTTTCCACGGGTATTGGCTCTTGCCTTGGAGACTGTCTCTCTTGTTGTTATCCGTGTTAGTATTTTGTCCGTGATGCCGATTTTGGCCCTTTCCGCGGGGACAAAACTGTGATTCTCGGTCAGTTAATGAAACTTCAAGATAGGGGGTCTCCAAAGTACCTCCCGATGTGGGACATATAGACAATTAGAGCCACCTATAGGATAGTCAGCTCAATTCCTTATCATGCTATTTGATAAAGGAGTAAACCTGTTTGAGGTAAACACTTTTGCCGGAGTAGTTTGGCCCAGTCAGCAGTAACATGCTCGGGCACTGGGTTTCAGCCACCTCAACCGAGGTTTCAAGTGATTGAGTTGATGTATTTGGTGGGGATCCTTCTCTTCCATTTCCTCCAACAATTAGGGTATCGTTCGGGATAAATGTAGGAACAGTAACCTCATACAGAAGGTGGCTGCATCTAGTCAGCCGCAATACAATCATCGAGAGCAGGGGGTGATGTTTGTCCTGACCGTCCTCCCTTAATTACGATACTGTTGTCCTGTGTGATCTGTGGCCTTACAAGCTTATATAAACTGGCCCCTTGTACTAGAGCGAGAAGGCTGTGCTTTATTTTTAGATATAGGACGGAAAAGATAGACACCAGCATGCATACCTGTCTATATCTCCACAGATATCGGAAGCGTCCACAAGAAATTTTTCGTGCTGAAGTACATTCTGCGCCATTTCGTAGACAATTTCAATTTCCTTTTCTGAAGATCTGTTAGGTATCGAGTATAAACTCCGGTTTAGAGGATACTTACCGCAAATAAGGCCATAGATGTCTCCAAATTTCTCATCCATCTCTCGCATACGGAAATCCTTGAAATATACCCTGTTTTCTGTGGTAAATACCTGATCCCACGGTTGCTCTCCGCCATCGTAAACAGCACGACCTCTTTCGTCCAATGGCATAGCAATGTTGAACCCAAGTTGGGGAAAGTAAATGACGTTAACATCGTTGCTCAGCCTGCTGGGAATAGTACCAGCAATATTTATGGCCACCTGATTGAGCAAGCTATCCAGGCCATTATATGTTTCTTTCAGATCGTCCAGTTCGCGATCTACTCTCGGTTTAACGACAGTCCGGTGCTCGTCAATCGAGCTTTGTAGGTCGACCTGCTAGAAATCAGAAAGAAAGGCATTGCTTCTGTGTAGGCGGGAAGTTCTGCTCACCGTTTCATGAATTATTCTTCCAACCTGGTGTAGGATAGCCACATCTAGCTTCTCAAGTGCCTAGTTACGAGAATTAGCGTATTCATATATCGTACTGAGACACTCTCACCCTCAAATGGATATCCAAATTTTCCGCCCCCATAACCGTTCGTATCGTATCGTGTACGTCTATAGCGTGGAATGCAAACTACGGGCTCTAGATTAGCGATTGTTTTCTGCACTCATATAGTATCTACCCGGTACGGACCTCCAAAAGCGTTGCCCAAACTCCACTCTTGAACGCCTTGAATTTGGCATTTCCCGAACTGATGCCCTTCTGTACATGTACCATTACTGGGCGCAAATTTTTTATCCCTTTCAAGCTCTTGGTGAGTTTTTCAATACATTCGCCGTTATCTGGACGTAGGTATGTGCTGATAAAGTCATGTCCCTCCTTAATGTGAGCAGCATCCGTGCTGGGGCGAAGAAACCTTTGCCTTAGACGAGTCTTCCCATGCGGTGTCCTAGCAAAATGGTGAAATAGACCATATATTGATAAGCTCTCTTTTGCTCCAGGGGAGGTCTTACCAGGCCCCTGGTTGAACGCATTTGGATGGGACTCGGATTGGATTACTTGGAGTGAAGTAAGTGTATCGGTATTGACAAACCTATCATGCACGTCAGTGAGAGAAGGTTGATATTGATTTTAAACTGGTAATTAGCCTTACATCGTGTCCCTTAGGCTACGCATTTCAAGGGATTTAATGTTGAACAATTCACTCCCGGAACTGTCCCTTGTAAGGCACTCCGCTGCTCGTTTTCTCTGTAGGTAGGTAATGATAGCACCCGCACAACCGATAGAAATACGATTATCCATATCAATAGAGCCAGAAAGGTTTAGTAGCCTTCCTTGATGATCAGTGAACCCCAAATCGTTCTCATCTCCATTTTGCTTTAGCGAGAAAGTATCACCAGGGACAAGGAAGCGGGTCTCGGATCTACTTGTACTGAGCGGAAGGCTAGCAAGCTTTAGTTTTGCACCCTCGAAGTTGAATTCCTGCACTGGTCGAACGTCGAGATGATAAGGCAGTTGGAACTGATCGCCTGAAGAGCAAACTCGTAAACAACGGATGAAGAAAATAGCAATAGGTGGAACAGTACTCACCGTTGTCCGCGGTGTGCATACCTAGTCCAGTTTGCCCCAGGTTGGGCGTGCTTTGATCTGCCCGGGTTGAGAGCAGAACAAGTGTTGGTTGAACGTCAAGTTTTACTATTAAAAGAAAAAGAAATAGAAAGAAAAGAAGGGGAAGGTTAGGACGGCAATCATATCGCGCTGTAAAGTGATTAAAACAAAGAGCACGAAAACCCACACGTCTCAATGGCCTCTAGTCCCCCAGACGTAATGTCCTCAAGCAGATACAGCTTCTGCTCAGCTGCAACGTAATAACAGCAACCAACAGAGCATCTCTCCTTCATGTCCATAGCCATCACAACCTGACACAGATCTGCATTTTCATCGTCCCGGTCCTGCTGGCCAATATTACCTTGTAACTGACTCACCACATCTGATACTTGGTTATTTCCAGAATTCTCGGTATACGCCGCAGCCGAGGATTCTCGAGCAGAAGATGCTATCCGATCACGTCTGTCGCTGGAGCTTGAGTTAAACGGTCGTTGGTTGCGTCTTGGCTGCGAGCGCTGATGGCTGCTACGAGAGGAATTGAAACCTCGCGTCTCTCTCTTTGAGGAAGACGGCGCCATGATTGGGGTGGTAGATGCAAGACTAACGTGGTTCCATAAGAAAGTTGGGAGAGTGAGGGCAGAAGAGCCAGAAGAGCCGCAAAGGAAAAGTGGGTGTGTCCCAATTAGGAAGAAACTTCTCGACCCGCCCGTGAGTCTCGCACTGAGATCACAGCCTGCACTGTAGATGAAAACAATTCTTGCTTTTTGAAAAGCAAAGATATCAACTTTGAGTGTGTGAGGAATATAGGCACAGTATGTTAAATTGTGAAATATCGGTGATGGTACATGGACATTATATGATACAGAGAGAATGCTCACCCAAAAGCCCAACTTACACCAAACGAAGGGCATGCCCAGAGCAAGGTGCTCCGAAACGAATATCGCAGCAGGAACCAATCGTTAAACAGAGAAGAGACAGGAATATCAGTACAGCTAATGGAGAAAATATTACGCTGCTTTTGTAGATACGATGTCAAGCCCAGACTTGTCACTACCGAAAGTGACATTCACATCCTGACCAGTGACAACTTCACCCCTGATTATTTTATCCGCTAGACGGTTCCCGATTTCTTTTGAAATGAGCCTGTTCAACGGACGAGCTCCGTATCGAGGATCGTAACCCCTTTCACAAAGCCAATCTTTAACGCCATCTTCCACGTTCAAGGTTATTCGTCGATCATCTAGCCTTTGCTGAAGTTCTTGCAACCTAATGTCTACGATATCTCGCAACGCGGTTTCGAGAGTCGCTTGAAAAGGATGAACTCGTCGATCCTGTTCAAAAACTCGGGGGGGTAGGATGACTGAACGGTAGCCATTACAGCCGCCTTTATCTCTGCTGAGATCTCATCCCCAAGGGAAGCGTCTGCCCCAACAAGAACCTCCGCTCCGAGATTGGATGTTAAAACAATCAGAGTGTTCCTGAAGTCAATCTTATGACCCTGGGCATCAGTGAGGAAACCCTCGTCTAGGACCTGAAGCAGTAATGCTGATATATCACGATGAGCTTTCTCAAACTCGTCAAATAGTAATACAGCGTAGGGTTTCCTTCGAACAGCTTCCGTTAACTGTCCCGCATCTTCGTACCCGACATATCCAGCTGGAGAGCCAATAAGGCGGGAAACAGTGTGTTTCTCCTGAAATTCGCTCATGTCGAACCGTAAAACGGCCGTTTCGGTCGAAAACAAGAAACCCGCCATCTTCTTGCAAAGCTCCGTTTTGCCGACCCCTGTTGGGCCCAAAAACATGAACGATGCCAGCGGTCGATTTTCTCCACTAAGTCCTGCTCTCTGCATGCGTACGGCATTGGCGACGGCAGAAAGTGCTTCGTCCTGTCCACGCACTGACTGTCTCAAAATGTCTTCCATGTTGATGAGTTTCTCGATCTCGCCAGCCATAAGCTTATTTACCGGGATACCCGTTGTACGCGATACCACAGCAGCTATATCATCGCTTGTCACAGAATCGTGGAGAAGCACATCACCGTCAGCAGTAGTGGTAGTCGTCGTTTCAGATCCTTCCTTGGGGAGTTTACTTTCAAGTCCCGGAATTATCGAGTATCGTAGTTCGCTAGCTTTAGCGAAGTTGCCTTCGCGCTGGGCGAGCTCCAAATCAACTCTCGCCCGTTCCAAATCCTCCTTGGCTTGTTTGATGGCATCAAGCTCCGCTTTCTCCTTTTCCCAGACATCAGTAAGTTCCTTCACTTTGTCTTGTTTTGTTTTCAGCAGTTCTTCTAACTTCTCCCGACGTTCTTTGCTGGTAATATCGGTTTCTTTGCGGAGAGATTCAAGCTCGATTTGGATTGTCATAATTTGCCGGTCGAGTTCTTGAATTGCATCGGGTTTTGACTCTTGTTGTAATCGAAGAGCAGAAGCGGCCTCGTCCACGAGATCAATTGCCTTGTCTGGCAGAAAGCGATCCGTTATATATCTGTTGCTGTATGTGGCAGCAGCGACAAGAGCACTGTCTGTGATTCTGACACCATGGTGAACTTCGTACTTTTCTTTAATGCCTCTCAATATCGATATGGTGTCCGGAACCGAGGGTTCTTCAACAAGAATCGGCTGGAACCGTCGCGCTAGAGCAGCATCTTTCTCGATCTGGCGGTACTCATTCAATGTTGTAGCACCACAGCATTGCAGTTCACCTCGCGACAAAGCCGGCTTTAGAAGGTTGCTTGCGTCAATGCTTCCCTCAGCCTTTCCAAGCCCGAGTAGCGTATGGAGCTCATCCACGAAGAGGATAACCCCGCCTTCAGCATCCTCCACCTCCTTCAGAACTTTTTTCAATCGCTCTTCGAAATCACCTCGAAATTTTGCCCCTGCAATAAGTTGACCCAGATCTAGAGCGATCACACGCTTATTCTTTACGCTCTCCGGGACGTCGCCTCTGACAATTCTCTGGGCTAGGCCTTCGAGGATAGCAGTTTTTCCAGTGCCGGCGGAACCAATTAAGACAGGGTTATTCTTCGTTCTCCTTGAGAGGATTTGTATGGTACGCTGGATTTCTCCATCCCTGCCAATGACCGGGTCAAGCTTCCCATCCTTTGCTCTAGCAGTAAGATCGACTCCATATGCCTCCAAAGCCGGCTTTTCCGGCTCGCTGCCTAAATTCATACGGTGTGTTCCGCCCGGGGGATGCGCCCTTCCGTTGGCATAATGGCGCACAGCAGGTAATTGATAAAAAAGCTCGTATGAGGAAGTCTGGAGTGGAGATGGCCAATGGTTGAATAATCCAGTCCGGGAAATTGATGCTCGTATCGGTATTCCAGGTCGCGAAGCTGTGACTGAAGCCCGTAGTAGTCGAGGGCTGTAGCCCTGAAGCTTGGACAGCTGCATTGTTGGCTAGGAAAAGAAGCAGGGTGGAAAAAAAAAAGAAAAAAAAAGAAAAGAAAAGAAAATTGCCAGCTACCGCGCACGAAATATGATTGTTGACAACATATCTAACTACTAAAAAGGAGGAGCACGGGGTCAGTCAGCGCCAGCAATGGATATATCGAAGGATTTCTCGAAAGCTCTCGAAGATGAAGGTTTATCGATGAGATCATGGAAGCTAGCCACGTGCCTTGTATGCTGAGTCATCCACCCGTCCGCCCCTCTTCCCTTTGCAGAATTTTCGCCTAGCCACAAAATGCTTGGCATTTTCTTCCTTTTTCTTCCCCTTGATCTTCTTTTTCTTCCGCAACACAATTTCTCTCAATCTCCTCTTCTCCCCACCACCCTCCTGTTGTCTCTTAGCTTCCCAATATCACAGCTATTACCTCCCAGCCGCTGACAATGGGTTTCACCGACTTCTCTTCAGACTCTGGCCTCGCCAGTAAGTGCTTTTGTTGTCTCCCCTGCAAACTTCTCGACGAGTTCTGACTGAGCCCTGAATTCGAAAGTTGCCAATCACTTCTTCAGCACCCGAAGCTACGTGGAAGGGTGAGTCCCATAGTTTGATCCCCTCTTGATTCTTATTCTGCTTGCACTTGATTCTCCTTCCCTCTCTCAATGATGAAAATAAATTGGTCCGTGTTTATGAGGCGGCTTAAGACACCGCTGAATGACTACTTCCTACGCGATTTTTCGCCTTTCTGATGTTGATTTTTCTTGTTCATTTTTATTTTATTTTTATTTTTGAAGATATATATAAAATAAAAATACAAAAATTACCCCGCCATACACGTTGCAGTATTCTTAGACAACACAACATAACTAACCCAAATCAGCCATGCCCCCACCCAAGCTGATGTCGTCACATTCAAGGCATTCAAAAATGCTCCTGACGCGGCCAAATACCCCCATGCCGCCCGTTGGTACAAGCACATTGCTTCCTACGAATCTGATTTCGCTACCCTCAAGGGTGATCCTTCCCAGTCGTTCACCTCGTTCGGCCCCGAGTCTGCCGATATCCCGGTGATCGCTAAGAAACCCGCGGGCGATGATGATGATGATGACATGGACCTTTTCGGCAGCGACGATGAGGAAGAAGATCCAGAACTCGTTGCTCAAAGAGAGAAGAATCTCGAAGAATATAGAAAAAAGAAGGCTGCTAAGGGACAGAAGGAGGCTAAAACTACTGTCGTTCTCGGAATCAAACCATGCAGTAAGTTATTCTGTTCTTTTTTGGAGATGCCGTGAACTAACCGCCACTAGGTGACCAAACCCCTTTGAGAGCGTTGGCCGCTGAAGTCAAAGCACTCCTTGTGAAACAAAATGGTGTCACATATACCGGGCGTCATTTTGAGCCAATTGGTTACGGCATCTGGAAACTATTAGTTGCTTTCGAGGTTGTGGACAGCATAGTCTCCATCGATAATCTTCAAGCCCTGATCCAGAAGCAATTTGGAGACCCATCCGAGGCAGGTGATGGCGAGGAAGATGACGAAGGAGAAAAAGACGAAGAAAAAGTCAAGAGGGACACTTACGGAGTGAAAATAGATGTGGGCGGAGTGAAAAATGGCGTGAAAGTGGAAGATGTAGACGAGGTTAACACAAAACGGGCTGGCGAAGCTGAGAGCACCAATGCTTACGAAGAAGCCAAAAAGTCCAGAGGACCAGCTGAAGAGGATGAAGATGGCTGGGTCATGTCGTCCGATGTTGTAAGTGTCTACTTCGTCCCCCTCTCCTATCTCCCAATACCAAAGGGAAGACAACTAAAACACCCCAACAATGTCATTTCTCTAACACCTTCGTGCAGGTTCTTATGCAAAAAAGTTCGTAATGCTCTACGCATTACTTGAGACGAGGTTCGCAATGTTGTTAAAATGCGAACACAAATAATGAATAGCTATCACGTAAAAATACACGAATTGAAATGCTTCCTTATACAATATTTTACAGATCATTGTTTTGCTACCTTCCGTAAACTCCATTATTTGGATCGTGATGATTATCTCTCAAGTGGTATTAGAACACAATCACAATTGAGAACTAGCCAAGGCCTAAATCTATGTATAACCGTTTTAATATGTGTAGTTAATAGGTAAATATCCTTCCACTAGAGATGAATATAAGAAATCAAAATAGGTCTGGAAATGTAGTTTCAAAAAGAGACCGTTGCGGAGCGCCGTAGCTAGGGGTAAAATAGGGAAGCGCCCTTCAAGCTGCAGTCCAATCTAAGATCTTCATGAAATTCGGGCAAAGGAGGGCTATCGTGGACCTGCTGCTTAACCTGGGAGCAGAGATATCAATGCGCGGGGTGGGGATTTCGGGACTGCTCTCCATTGTGCTTCTTCTCGTGGGCTGGAGGATATCGTTGAACTTTTGATCGATAGAAAAGCAGATGTGAATATCGTCTGCCCTGGCGTTGGTAGTTGGTGGTAGTGGTGGTGGTAGTAGTAGTAGTACTCCTCCCTGCGCGTCGACATTCGCTCCCTCGTCAATTAACAAGTTAACACATGCTTTATCGCCTCCCGCTGCTCCTGCTATTAGAGCAGTTCCGCTTCTTTCATCTCCAGCATTAATGTCTGCTCCACACGCATGACCTTCATTCCAATCACGTAGTATGCACTACTCGCAGCTTGGAGAGGACTTCCCATCTCACCGCCTAGAGCATTAATATCCGCTCCTCTATCAAGAAGCAGCGTCACCATATCCATATTCAAATTACCCGAAGCAATCGCCAAGCCGTCCCATATGTGGGCAGTATTGGCAATTGACATCGGCTCCTTCATCAAGCAACATATTTGCAAGACGGTAATCCCTGCATTGCAGTGCCATGTACCCCACATGTGTCAACTCCATTATCAATCAAAGACGCGTGATTTTCCGATTTCTTTGCTGTATGGACAGATCGAAGGCGCTGGAGTAATACACCTTTGTATTTTGTATGTACATGTACATGTACTGTACATCGTTCTGTGCTCCATGATCGAGAAGGATCTTCGCAATTTCCTCGTTGCCTTTGGCGGAGGCTCCCGTAAAACCCACAAGCTACATTCGGATCTGCCCTCTGTTCCAAGAGCATGGAAACTAATTGTTTCATGGCCTGATTCGCTGGGGTAATAAAGTGCACAGTTATCCCGGTCGTCTAGTTTGATTATAAATAGTTTATTTCTTATCTGCTGCTGTATTTATAAGAGAGCTCACAACTGAATCAAACTGATAAATTTAATCTTCTGAATCTCTTTAATCAATAATCTCCTGCATGTTCAAACATCAGAGTGCTGCATCTCGAAGCCAGGATTGCTTAAGTGCGCCCTGAGCAACCAGGCACTTACATCAATGCTCAAGCTCTCAAACACACCCCTGCCACTGCGGCACTGCCTAAATATTTCCACAAGACCTCACAAGATAGTTAGCATTTATGAGATACAGCTATGAAATAGGGATAAAATGGGGGAGGACGAGTACCACGTATTCCGGCACCACCACTGGCGTCTTGAGGCGTTTTTTAATTCCCCCACGGCCCTGTGACAACGCCCTGAATGGAAAACGAAACCGCCGCGCCTGTAGGAGGCCGACAGGCAGAAGCACGGCTTCCAAATGTTTAAATAATCAGGTGGTGCCGCATCCAGAATTCAAGTAGAAGTTAAATAAATGCAAATCTGCTCAGTTCGCTAATCAACACCCAAAGATCCATTCCCCGCGCAGAAGAAATCACACCCAAGCAATAAATAGCAATAAAGGACGATCAAGGACAACGACAGAATGAGAGCGGGAACCATGAAGAAGAAAATCATGAGAGTAATATAGATATTTCCACAATCGGGTATCTCACCATTTGGACAAATAAATGCCGAACACAAAGGAATGAGCTCATGACATTTCAGCCATTCATCCCAAACCAATCTTCTTGCCCAACCCGCAAACGCTGGCTATGTGCTTTGATTTCCCTTTGGAGCATAATATATGCTCAAGGAAAATGTATATGTAGTTGAAAGTGGTGATTTCGTTTACTCTCACTAGTTCGCAAGGGTTCGCGTAGACTTCGGAAAGTCAGGGGGGCGTTGTACTCCAATTAGTAAATAGATAGATGGATATATGCTCAAAGCATATTTCTTGGGTTCTACCGACTATTCCCACCACTCGACGGTCCACTACCACCACTCATGTTCCCTCCCTCGCTGCTAGGGGTCTGAGGCTCAGCAACAACCTGTTGCCGAATACTAACAATCCACTCATGCTGGAGAAGCTCTGTCGCACTTGGTCGTTTGACGGGGTCTATCTCAAAGCATCGTTTGATGAAATCGATGCCCATTGGACTGAGCTGGTCTGGGGTGGGTAGCTGTGGTTGGCTGCCCTGCGCAATCTTGTACATGATTGCCCATTCGTTGTCAACGCCTGCCCAGGGTCGGTGGCCCGTGGCCATTTCGAGAATGACACATCCAAGCGACCAGATATCCATGCACCCATGGCGGCCGGATGTATGGCCAACTTCTCCCCTGACTAGTTCTGGCGACATGTACATTGGAGTGCCTGTCACCGACTTTTGGTTCTTCCTCTGCCCAAGTGCATCCTTCGCCTGGCCCCTTCCATCTCTTGCGCCTGACGAGTAATGATCCATGGCAGCTAGAGTTTTGCCTTGGCGGGCGATGACCATTGCCGCACCGAAATCGACATATTTGATGACTCCATTATGGTCAAGCAATATGTTTGCGGGTTTGATATCGCGATGGACAATGCCAGCCTGGTGGAGATAGGCCAAGCCCTCCAACATCTGGAGAGTGTATACCATAATGACCATCTCGTCTTCGATTCGACCATGCTCCAAGAGGGTTGCGAGAGACCCGCCAGAGCAGTATTCCATGAAAATATATACCTTATCCCGGTGCACCTCAATACCGTAGTACGAAATAATATTAGGGTGATCGAGCACTTCGAGAACACCCATCTCGTCGCGGATTTGTTGAGCAGCTCCTGGAATTACGGAAGGTTCCTGGAGGCGGATTTCCTTCACAGCCATCAGGTAACTAGTATCCAAATCAATAGCAGCATAGACCGAGCCAGATGTCCCTCCACCGATAAACTGGCCTTGCTGCCATCGTAATGTGACGTTTGTTGCCGATGAGGACAGAACAGTGACAGATCGATCCGCTTCATTGACACCTTCGAGAACTTTACCCAGAGCTTGACGCTTGGCATCAGCCTCGATTCTAGCCAAATCAATTTCCGCAAAGAGCTCCTCCCGCCTTTCTTGAACCTCCCGTGAAGCTTGCTCATCATCCGTAATCCGGCTCAGATCAAGTTTTCTGAATCCTTGCCCGGAAGGATCCGCGTGTTGTTGCTCAGCTTGGGCTGCCAACGATGATCTTGCGCCCATGATATCGAAATGGGAAATCAAAAGTGACATACATCCGGCCACTTTAAGTCGGAGAAGGCAATAATCTTCATCGCTGATGGCAAGTACGTTTTGGCCATGCGTTACTATCATAGCAAATTCAAGAGCCGCAACAGCCCATTTAAAAGTTTTGCGATCGGCAGCGTCACAATCATCGCAAATGAAGGAAACCCAATCAAGCGCCAAATTGATAAGCTTGGAATGGTTCAACGAACGTCGGCTGGCATCCATATACATTAAGGATCGCTTGCCAAATTCCGTAGCGAATGCGAAACAGGATTGGATGAGTTCATGGTTTTCTGCGTTTTTGCTCTGTCTTCTGATGATTTCGACACTATCAATGATGCCGGTTGAAAGTTTGTAAGCAGTCTTCTTGATCTTGTTCAGCTCAACATTCACTCGACCCAAGTTGGCGCGCTGTTCAATGGTAATATCCAGCTGTAGCCCAGTAAGTCTAGTCAAAGCTAGGCGGGCATTCTGGAGCCGTTGTTGAGATCCGTCTGCAACAAGGCGTAGTTTCCCAAATCTAACATCAGTGGGATGTTCTAAGAGGTCCACTTCCATCCTTTTACCATTCCAAACCAGGCCCTTTTCAGGGCGGACGACAAGAACATAGGGGTTGGAAGGATCTTCAGGAGAATCTTCAGAACGGAAGGACGTGCCTAGGATAGACTGGATATCCTTGGGTCGCCCGTATAAGGAAGGCGATGCAATCAAATGAACCCCCTTCTGGCCCACGGAATCGTGAGAAGTAACCAGAAAATGACCCGACGCCAGGAGAGCCTCCGACAACGTGTCTACCATATCCTCCCGCAAATTGAATTCGGTTGCATTTTCGAATCGCTGTCGCAAAAGACGAGAAAACCGAAAAAGCTTTCGCTGGCGGACCCGGACTGAATCAAAAATCTGCTTGTAGCGTTTCTCCGTCTCGACGGCATCTTCTTCTGGTCTACTGTGTAACTCCCGCTCAAAGTGGATCATTAATCGTTGGAGGGATTTAGCGGTTAAAGTACTACGGGTGCATGAGCAATAAGATCCCCACATCCGCTTTCATGTACACAAACACAAAAAAAGCAACGCATACCTAAACTGTTCAGCCACCTCAATATCTCCATTCTCAAGTTGTCGGCCAATTTCATTCGAGAACTCCCACTCCCCTTCCAAAATCTCCGCTTCCTTGAAAGTGTTCTTATTGGCACTTAGCTTCCAGTTTAGTAGTTTGAAATAGTACTTCAGTCCGTCAACGACTACGTTGTCAAAGTTTTCGTCAACGCACGGTGGGAGATCCCAACCAGGCTCGGGATCCGAGATGATGAGATAGCGTTGTTTGATATCCACAGCAACCTTCAGCAATATTTGGAACTGTGAGATCATTTGGTCGACCAAGATGGGGGATTGCAAGGCGGGATCCTTCATTTTCCTAGCATAGGAAAGCCGCAGTCGGATGACTTCCTGAATAAGGCGTGAAGGGAAGTTTATGAGGGTTAATAGTTCCTCGATGTAAGGTGGAAGATGGCGTTTGGCAAATGCTTCCGCGTTCTCAATTAATGTGCTTTTTGCCTTTTTAATAACACCACCAATACCATCCAAGATAGAAGGCTCCTTTTTCTTATCGTTATCGTAGATGTTATCGGTTATTTGTAGAGTTTTAAGTCCGTCTTCCTTCATTATACGGTCGAGAAAAGATCCTTCGTCTGACAAATCTGCTGCAAGGGACGACATCGTCATGGGCTTCGCGAAATCCAATTCTTCGTTACCCACCCATCTTTGCAGGATGGCAAGCTCCGTGTTAATGGACATGGTTGTATTATGCCACGCGATGATAGCATCGCAACTTTCTTGGAATTCTTCCGATGCCGCGCGAGGATGCTCTGCTTGTAGGATTCGCCTACTGGGGTAGAGGCTCTCGCACTTTTCGATCTTCTCCACGACATCTTCAACTTGTTTCAGAGGAGGTTTCCCAACTTGTGTTCCCCCCTTGATCTCAAAGGATATGATGTCCTCAATGAGAGGGCCGAGGTTGCTTATCTGATACTCGACAAATTTCTTCTGTAAAGGAAGCGGGCGCCCAAACCTCGCTGCTTTGGCTCCGACAAAAATTTCCAAATTCCATACCTCACGGCTTTTCTGTTCCATTGTCCCAATTAGCCGCTGCTTCTCCTGCCTAATAACATCACCTTTAAGGACCGACGCCAGCATAGAATACCACTCAAGTCTTTCTTTATTTTTGGGATCCTGCAGCTCCTCAAGCGTGGGTTGGGCATCGTCATCTTCTAAGACGAGGTGGGTGTCAGGGTCAAAAGGATCGTTGTCAAACTGTGACTCTGATGAAGGGGATTCTTCCTCTGGTTCGGAATCGGCGGCAAAACTCAGGCCAGGGAGCTGCGTGTCAAAATTGAACCATTCATTAGGTCCCTGGCGCACTCGCTGCACGTAGGCCTTCTCCTGGGC